AAAATTCCTATAAAATGTCAGTAAAATTTACATAACGATATATATCCACTTTTGCACTTTCAGTGTAAAGAAAATAGAATATAATATATATAAGTATTGCAGTATTTAACTACAAATGTTATTCCATTTCAAAGAAAATGGTACTGTATAGAAGTTGTCAATAGCGAGCATTTCAAAGAATGAAAGGGTTTTGCGTGATTCATTACAACTTAATCTCCCTTCCCATGTGAAAGTGTACAATTTGCGCACCTCCTGCTGTTATTGTGCAGTCATAAGATCAAAGAAATATACAGTTGTAAATTCCAGACATATGGAACAGATTAATTAACGTTACAGTATAGGCTTGAAATACATATCTTAAAGAAATTGGTGATGGTTACTAATAAAACATAAACGAATTTATATGCGATATAAATTACGATTATATATTCTTCCGATACTGAAAAAGCTAATTGTTTGAATGATTATTTTGTTTCTATATCAACAATTGACGCCGCTAATGCAAGTCTTCCAAACTTTAGTACTAAAACGAATGAAGTTTTACAATCTTTTCAAATTCTTGAAATGGAAATTATTGATATATTATCGTCCCTTGTAATTAATAAGTCATCAGGCCCAGATGAAGTAAGTCATCGTATGCTAAAAGAATGTAAGGCCTCTATTTGTAAGCCTCTTTGTATTCTATTTAACCGTTCACTATCTGAAAGTATATATCCGGCCCCTTGGAAATCAGCTGTTGTCATGCCGCTTTTTAAAAAGGGTAATAAAAATATCCCTTCGAACTATAGACCGATTTCATTAATTAGTTGTACTGGAAAAATAATGGAAAGAGTTATGTTTAAACACATTTATAACCATTTACACGCAAATAAATTAATTTACGAAAATCAGTCGGGATTTTTGCCAGGGCATTCGACTGTGTATCAATTATTTGACATCTACCATCAAATTTGTTATTCTTTTGATAATAAAATCCCAACATGTATGGTTTTTTGTGACATTTCAAAAGCCTTCGATAGAGTATGGCACGAAGGACTTATATTCAAATTAAAACAATACGGAATTAATGGTCAGATTCTAAAATGGGTTAATAATTATCTAAGTAATCGAAATCAAAAGGTCTTTGTTGGTTCCTCCTTTTCTGAAAGTAAACATATCACTGCTGGGGTCCCCAAGGCTCTGTCCTTGGCCCCTTATTATTTTTAATTTATGTCAATGACATTGCCGATAATCTAATCAGTGTAACAAGATTTTTTGCAGATGATAGCTCTCTCGCAGTTTCCAGTTCTGATATTGCCTTTATGGAACGTACCCTTAATGAAGACTTAAATAAAATTACGGAATGGTCGAAACGTTGGCTAGTTAACTTTAATCCTAACAAAACAGAAGTGTTATTTTTCACACTTGGATCTGACGATAAGCCATCTCTCTTCTTTGATAATGTTTCTCTTGATTATGTTAACAGTCATAAACACTTAGGTGTCACTTTTAGTACTGATGGTAAATGGCATGACCACATAAACAATATATTAATGTCTGCTTCCAAAGTTCTAGGATCTATGAGAGCATTAAAATACAAACTTAAACGGAAAACTTTAAATCAAATATACATTTCCTACATGAGACCAATCTTAGAATATGCGTCAATTGTCTGGGATGGATGCGCGGATTACGAGAAACACTCTCTTGAGAAACTTCAATATGAAGCGGCACGTATCGTCACTGGCCTAACAAGGTCTGTTTCTATTGAGCGTTTGCTTAATGAAATCGGTTGGGTATCATTGTCTGACAGACGAACTATTCAAAAACTCGTTACAGTGTATAAAGCTAAACAGGGCACCTTACCGGATTATTTATTAAACATTTTTCCAGATACCGTTTCTAATAATGTACCTTATGTCTTAAGAAACAGAGATAATTATACAACTGTAGCACGTCGTACTCAAATTTTTACAAACTCATTTATTCCATCAGCAACGTCATTATGGAATAACTTGGATACCGACATAAGAAATTCATCCTCCCTTAATATATTTAAATGCAAACTTAAACAGAAATACAAACCTCCGACAGTTCCTATTTTTTTCTGTATCGGGGATCGTCTATATTCGGTTCTACATGCTCAAATTCGTAACAAATGTAGCAATTTAAATTTATGCTGATTTATTTATAAATCATTTAAGAGAAAATGCATCTTGTGAATGCGGTTATGCTTTCGAAGATGCTGAACATTTCTTTTTCAATTGCAGACGGTATACATCACAACGTATTCAACTTTTTAATGCTACTCGCATTTTTCATCCATTAAATACGTGTACTCTTCTTTTTTTGGTAAGATTACCTATTCCGAAGAAGACAATTCATTAATATTTTTAGAAGTTCAAAGATATATTAAGCATACGGAACGTTTTCGATAAAATCTGCTTAATGCTGAAGAGTTTTGCTCTTAAAAAATAAATTGCAACTGTCAAAAGTACATCCTCTCTCTCTCTCTCTCTCTCTCTCTCTCTCTCTCTCAGCAATGATCTAACATTTTTGGTTCCTAAAATACATGTACTTTGTTATATTTCTCAATGCCATTTCAATGTAATCTATAGTATCAATACTTTTTTTATATTCGTACTAGGGACGGACCGATTCACTAATGTTATTTGAACTTGTGGTCCAACCCTTTTTCTTTCAAAATGTATTTATATAGTTTTCTTTCTATATATTTGCATTGTATATATTGTAAAAAATTGAAAGGAATAAAATATGTTTAAACTAAATTGACAGTCTGAATCGAGTGGTATGAAAATAAATTTTTTCATGAGCGGCGGTAGCCACGAGTGAAATATGATAATTTTCATACCACAAGATGAAAATACATCCTGTACTTTGAAGAAAAAACTCGATTTTTTCTGTTTTATAATAGATCTAGATACATTTTTCTCCTTTTTGACATTACAATTTGAAAGACTTTCCATTAAATTTTGTATATCAATTGGCTGAATTTAGAAGAAAGTAAAGTCTAGTCTGGCAAGACGTACATGTACACCAGTGAAAATACGGAAAATATGTTTCACTGCAGTAAAACATACGGAAAATGAAAAAAAAAAACGAATTTTATTTAATTTAGATCTACATATCATTTTTAAGTATAGAATAAATATCTCTAATTATAAATAACGTTTGCCTTAATTGAATTTGATGTAGATTTTGATCTTCTTATTTCCTGCGCGCCAAAAATTTGACCTAGTTATGTTTTGTAATTGGCGCATGCGTGGTGTGAACTAAACACTGGTGTGTGACAATATTTTTTTCTTCTAAAACTTCTTACTGTTTAAATTATATTATGTAAGGACCAGAATGAATTGTGCTCAAAGCCAATTTGAATGTAATATTGATTTCACAACATTTGAAATATTGTAGATCTCCAAATATATTCAGTCCAAAATATTATTTTCGTTTACAGTACGGTCGTCTAGCGGTTATAGCAACTTCCGGTTGTAAACAAATCGGTAGTAATTTCTCTTTCAGTATTTTGAAAGTAAGTCTCCAACAATTATAATCTTTAAGCAGAAGGCTGACACATATTTTCTTAAAAGTTATTATTTGCTTTACAGAGATTCACATTTTTTTCTCACGATTTAAACAGACATTTATGCGCGGAAATTTACTAAACGTGTCTGTTCCTGCTGAAGTTTTCTTCCTTAGCCATGACGTTTGTTTAGGTGTCAAATTTGCTCGAGTATGGTAGAAATTCCTGTTATTGAAACACTGTGTAACATCTGAGCTTAAGTGAGTTCTTAAATGATTTGTTGCTTACATGCGTAGCTAAGATAATTAGTGGAAAATATTAAACAGTTATAAATATACAATACATGGACGGTGCATACATGGATGTGGAAACATGTCAGGAATGTAAATTATAGGTGGATATTTGGTTTTTCATGTGATTGTAGTCTCATTTAATATAAAGATTTCTGAACAGGATATTGTTGTGTTTTTGTGTGGATAAAATTAATGAATACATTAATGTATAAATATTTATATTGTCTGTTACATTGATTAATTTCATTATTAAACTGCATAACACCTTTGGCTTTGACAGGACATGCAACTATTTACGATAAACAAACAGTCCTGATGTTGTCCAACAGAAGTTGCTTGATCATTTTTAAATATAGTGCAGTGTCAATTCTAGGAATTCAAAGATAGAGGTGAATTTCTCCCCCTCCATTTTAAAAAAGTGTGGGGGAGATTTTCATAATAAGGGGGTGCCAATATAAAATACCGGAAAAGGTGGCATGTGCAACGGATTAGACGAGAAGATCACGCATCCCAATTCTTTACTTGCTTTTGTTGTTAACCTTTTTATGCCCAAGTTAACTCTTACCTTAGCTCTTTAATTTAGCAATAGAAAATTGACTTTACATTAGATTTTGATGCTTGATATTTTCTTTGGGTAGTTATATGTTCCAAACCGTAACCAAATTTGGCGCATTATGAATCAGACTGTTTTTGTGAGGCACATAGGCCCATATGATCATATTGATTTAGGAAATATATTTTACTAATTAATAACTTTTTTTGTTCATTTTCAGAAAAGTTTACATTGTTGCGTTAAATTTATTTACAATTACATTCAAATCCTGAATTCATATCTATATATTGTAGAAACATAATGAGTACATGATGTACATAACATTAACCTTACATTATTATCATGTTTTATATATAAAACTGCATCCCAAGCTCTATTGCTAAATATTGCTATCAAATATTCAAAGCTTGTTCTGTTTCTTTGATGCAAATACTATGATATTGATGAGTTTCCCTTCATACTTGCTTCTTTTAAAAGGTCAAAAATGTAGGGAATTTGAATTTTGGTTAATTATTGATTTTATAGGGGTTTTGGGTTAAAAATTTGTCAAAAAATTAAATTTTGTGTATATTATTCATTTTTAAAAATTTTTTAAAAACTAATAAAAGTAGGTGAATTCAAAAGTTCATGAAAATGTAAGTGAATGTTAGGATGTGTGTCACTTTTTCAACTTTTTTAAAAATGGTTTGGCTGATGCATATATTTTGATTTGACATTATTTATGACATACATGTCCTAACATAGCATTAACTCATGCTAAATGTTAGAATTAAAGTATAAACGTGTCAATGAAAATGATTATTTTTTAGCTCACCTGAGCATATGCTCAGGGTGAGCTATTAGGATCACTCTTCGTCCGTCGTCTGTCGTACGTCGTCCGTTGTCCGTTCACACTTTTCAAACGACATCTCCTCTGAAACCATAAGGCAGATCATAATGAAACTTCACAGGGATGTTCCTTGTGTGAAGCCTTAACAAAGTTGTTCAAAGAATTCCATTCCATGCAGAACTCTGGTTGCCATGGCAACCAAAAGAAAAAACTTTAAACATCTTCTTCTAGATAACCCAAAGAGCTAGAGCTTAGATATTTGGCATGAAACATCTTCTAGTGAGTGTCTACCAAGATTGTTCAAATAAAAAGCCCTGGGGTCAAAATTGGCCCCGCCCCAGGGGGTCATTGATTTTCCCTATAGGCATATAGTAAAAACTTAAAAAAATCTTCTTTTAAAGAACCCAAAGAGCTAGACCTAAGATATTAAGCATGAAACATCTTCTAATAAGTGTCTACCAAGATTGTTCAAATAAAAGCCCTGGGGTCAAAATTGGCCCCGCCCCAGGGGGTCATTGATTTTCCCTATATGCATATAGTAAAAACTTAAAAAAATCTTCTTCTAAAAAACCCAAAGAGCTAGAGCTTAGATATTTGGCATAAAACATGTTCTAATGGATGTCTACCAAGTTTGTTCAAATAAAAGCCCTGGGGTCAAAATTGGCCCCGCCCCAGGGGGTCATTGATTTTCCCTATATGCATATAGTAAAAACTTAAAAAAATCTTCTTTTAAAGAACCCAAAGAGCTAGACCTAAGATATTAAGCATGAAACATCTTCTAATAAGTGTCTACAAGATTGTTCAAATAAAAGCCCTGGGGTCAAAATTGGCCCCGCCCAGGGGTCATTGATTTTCCTTATATGCATATAGTAAAAACTTTAAAAAATCTTCTTCTACAAAACCAAAGAGCTAGAGCTTAGATATTTGGCATTAAACATGTTCTAATGGATGTCTACCAAGTTTGTTCAAATAAAAGCCCTGGGGTCAAAATTGGCCCAGCCCCAGGGGGTCATTGATTTTCCCTATATGCATATAGTAAAAATTTTAAAAAATCTTCTATTAAAGAACCCAAACAGCTAGACCTAAGATATTAAGCATCAAAATTGGCCCCGCCCCAGGGGGTCATTGATTTTCCTTATATGCATATAGTAAAAACTTTAAAAAATCTTCTTCTAAAAAACCCAAAGAGCTAGAGCTTAGATATTTGGTGTAAAACATGTTCTAATGGATGTCTACCAAGTTTGTTCAAATAAAAGCCCTGGGGTCAAAATTGGCCCCGCCCCTGGGTTCATTGATTTTCCCAATATGCATATAGTAAAAACTTTAAAAAAAATCTTCTCTTAAAGAACCCGAAGAGCTAGAGCTAAGATATTAAGCATGAAACATCTTCTTATCAGTGTCTACCATGTTTGTTCAAATAAAAGCCCTGGGGTCAAAATTGGCCTCGCCCCAGGGGGTCATTGATTTTCCCTATATGCATATAGTAAAAACTTAAAAAAAAAATTCTTTTAAAGAACCAAAAGAGCTAGAGCTAAGATATTTAGCATAAAACATGTTCTAATGGGTGTCTACAAAATTTGTTCAAATAAAAGCCCTGGGGTCAAAATTGGCCCCGTCCCAGGGGTCATTTATTTTCCCTATATACATAGAGTAAAAAGTTAAAAATCTTCTATTAAAGAACCCAAAGAGCTAGAGCTAAGATATTTAGCATGAAACATGTTCTAATGGATGTCTTCCAAGTTTGTTCAAATAAAAGCCCTTGGGTTAAAATTGGCCCTGCCAGGGGGAGGGGGGGCAAAAGTCATTGTTATTCATAATTTGTGTATAGTAAAATCTTAACATCATGAAATATCTTCTAATGGGTGTCTTCCAAGTTTGTTCAAATAAAAGCCCTTTGGTTTAAACTGGCCCGGCCCTGAGGGCCTATGTTCAGGTGAGTGACCCCAGGGCCATCATGGCCCTCTTGTTATTTAGTATGAACTGTTTTGTTTTTTGGGAGTATGATAAATAAAAGATAATATTTGTGTAGCTTCATTACTTAATTTGTTGAACTTGTTTAATAAAATTTTATGCTATTCAGAGGCTAGCATATATAATTCTATTTAACTTGTTCTATAAATTCAATATTGAACCTACACTCATTCAATTTCAATAACCTCTCTTTATATGTGTGAGTCAAGGAAGAAACTTTAGAATTTTTAAATCGATAATGATTTAACTTACTGGACCTTCTTGGCTATGAATATGGACAACACTATGGATATTTATCTAGAAAAGATAATATAGATTGCAGATTTTCCTTGTTTATATATGATATTTTATAATTTAAATTTGAAAATCTATATAGAGGAAGTTAATGCTATTCGATTCAGATACACAAAGAAATGATGATTATAATGTCTAGTTAAAAAATGTTTTTATTTCAGTGTTGATGATTAGATGGCAACAACTTTGATACAGAAAAAAGTTTTATTAGATACTGCAAGTACAAAGTATGATAGACATAAACCAGATGTAAATGCGAGACCAATGGCAAGAGACGTTCCAAGACAATATCAAAGGTTTGAATTACAAGAATCATTATAACCCTTACCACACTTAATATATTAAATGGACTTTTTCATTGTGGACATAACCATTCATCATTTTTATGGAATTTTCAAAATATGTACTATCTGATTATTAAACAGTGCTGACCATAAACTGACGTCACAGATGTATTGGCTGACTTGGTCTGCACTGATTGCATAGGTATAATCTGTTGCCGAAATCAGACTAAGGGTTAAGTTTGGACTATCTAAGTAATCTAAAGGCAATCTTACTCGCCTACGCATTGACATCTGTGTAACACTTGGTCAAGATTTTCAATTTAACTTCATATACCATTAACTACTGAAGAGTTTCACTTGAAACTTTTTCTCTCTTCACTGTTTATATACTTTATGCCAAAAAAGTTTGTATTTGCAGTAACCTTGTCCTTAAAACCTTTGATATTCTTAATGTCTTTCATCTTGGTTTAAAGTCAAATGTGAAAATTTTTTTTGGAAAGAATAGTACAGATCATGATTTTGGATTTTAACAGGCATTTTTTTTTGTGTGTGTTTGAGATTGACTAGAGATGTGTATCATTTATTTTCATCAGATATGAGAACTTATTCTCAACTTGTATTTTCTCATGGATTATTCCTGCCATCTGTTGAGTCACTTGCACAAACATAAATGTAATACAAAGTAAGAAATATGAACAGTGAGGTACATGTACACTATGATAGTTTCCTATGCACAAATATCCTGCATGATGTAGATGAGACAAAATAGTTTTATTTTTCTGTTACAGGAATACTGATGAAGCTCAGTTGTTGAAGTTTCCAAGTACCAAAAATATTCTGTGGGACCACACAGTGACAGGGGATCCACAAACTTTACATATATCTTACTTCAGGTGAGTTCTATTATAATAATTATGACAGTCAGATAGAGTGATACCAATGTATGTTGTTTTGTTATCATTGTATAAAAAGCTGTGGCAGTCTACTAGACTTATGAAGGCATAGTCACTGACTCACTTCGGCATGTGTTTCAATTCTGTATCTTTGCTATGCAGAAACATTATTCTTATTCTAATTAGTCTTATATAAAAATATTGTATTTAAGTTTGGTCAAAATAGGACATGTCTGTTAAAATCTGTAATGATACTTGCCTAAAAAATAATTTCAAATGTTTTATTTTACAGCTAAAAGATTCTATGTTTATATACAAAATTAAAGCTACATTTAGGGAATGAAGAAATACAGAATTCTCATTGCAGTATTTCATTTTCTTTACATGATTTGAATGGCAGACTTGGAATTAAAATTCTCTTGAGATTGTTTGCGGTTAATTTTAGTTCTATTATATACAACATTCAACAGAGTCTTAATGACAACCTTGAATGGCCTCCTCATATAATGAATTTCTAAACAGCAAAGACAAAGACAGAATTATTTTACAAAATAAAAATTCCAAATCAATTTGATAGGAAAATCACCAGTAAAGCTGGAAAGTTGACATATGAACTGTACTGTGTTGGTGCAATATAAAACCCAATAATAAAAAAACAAAAATGAATTTTAGATTTGACTTAATTTGTTTTTTGTGTTTTAATATTCCAGGAAGCCGAGGTTATGTATAACAGAGAAGGTTTTAAGGTTTGCACAAAGACATGTGGAGAGTGATAATCAACAATTATGCAGCTGTGTGCTGGTTGGATCACTTAATATTGATGATGGTAAATTAAATAATCTAATTCATTTAAGCCAGACGCTGTTCTTACTGTGTAGGAGAAAACATTGATTAATATTGTTGTAACATGCAGTATATATTTGTTGATTAAAAAAGAGCTTGCTTAGAAGATTAGAACAATGTAAAAATCCTATTCATTTGTGAGCAGATGTTCAGTCAATGAAAATAAGATAACATATGTCCTTTTATTTACAATGAGAAACAGAACAGAAACATGTAGTCAGTTTGAAACATGGCATTGCTATGTTGTGTTTTTGAAATGTAACAGTAGATCAAATTGAAAATAGTTCAATTATTTAATGGTTATATTTTCTTAAATTAAATGGTAGCAGTATTTCCATTGAAGTTTAACATAATTATTTTTTTTTCAGATGGGGAAGGAGTATTGTTTAATGTTGAAAGATTGGACCCCGTAGGTGACCCAAACAGTTCCACAAGTCATGCTGCTGGGGATATGCTTATACCATTTACGGTAAGGGTGACTATTTTAGATAAAGTCAAGTGAAGAAAGTGACATGTGAAATGCATAATACTACTTTTATAATTTGCATAGTTTTTCTTTCTTTCTTTTTTTCCAACTACTGTACCCTTTCAAACCATTACAAATCATATAACTAAGAAAACTTTAACTGAAATATCAGTTTAAAGTTTTGCACCAAGTAATTTGTGATTTCAGAATAAGATTGGATTGTGGCTTTTTCCCTATATAGTACTGAAGAGTCGTTGATTTTGACCTGTAGACACTTTTACTTATATGAATGATGATATAGTTTTAAGTGAGGAAAATACACGCTTTAAACATTTAGAGTTTATTCATGAAGGTGATGTTAGCTCCCATTTTATAAACTTTAAATGACATCAAAACAGTTTGTTTATGACATTAAATAAGCAAGACATGCCATTTAAAGTTGTTTGGTTTACAATGGACACATTTTCAAATATTAATGAAAACAGTAATATTGAATTATTTGGATATTCTTATGAACTATTTCTGAATAGCAAAATGGTGATTGAGTTCTAAAGTGATTAAGTGTAAATATGCATAATAATGAATAATAATATTTTGTTCTAGAACACTTTATCTGTCATATATTGGTATTTCATATCTGATCAAGTATCTATATTGGATCATGTATCTAACTGTTACTAACAACATCTATATATGCAGTTTGTTTTCATATATGTTATTGAATACTATCAACATAATAATTATTTATGGAATTACAGACTTTCCACTATAGACCAATTCACTTTAAATTCATCAGTCATATAAAAAACAGAAAGCACATTCATTCATCACCAATTCTTATTTTATAGATCCAGACAGGCAGTAAAGAGAGAGGCAGTAGTGGGGAGGATTATTGTAATGCTCTACAACTTCTGAGACAAAGATGCTGCTCCAAGGACCCAGTGGAGTTAGGCAACATTTTACTAACAAAGGGCTGGTGCAGTTTTTACACAAAAGGAGAAATTTGTGTTCATCATCTGGAGTTTGAGGTGGTTACTTTGGGAACTGAAATTAAAGCTGTACCTATTGATCCAGTTCCTATTGTGCCAACTGCCCTCTCAAAGAATCTCTCTGGTCCCATGAGTATTAGTCACATGCAAGGCACCCCAAAAACTGGGTAAGTTTTTTTCATTGAACATGTTAGTGTTTTTTGTGGATTCAATTCATTACTAATGGCTGCTGCCAAGAAATTTCAGTATCTAAATATGTTTGGTTTGGTGGTGATTAAAATCACTGACTTTCAATTTTAAGTTCTTGTGAAGAAGTTATTTAGCTAAGGTGGAGAAGGTTGCTGGTTCTACTCAGTTCATGCTTGAAACTATACACAAGGGAGCAGCCGATGTCTTCCTCCATTAGTAAAACTGCAAGTTCATAACCTTACTGTGTAAGTGTGACTTAATCAAAAAGTGATAGATTGACAAGTGTTGTGAAATTTATTATTGCTGTTATATTATCAACACGATTATTGTTGATCATATATGTCAGATACAGTTTTTGTTGTTGCTTTATTTCAGGTACCTTACGATGGACCATACTCGTAAACTGTTGTTGGTGCTAGAATCTGACCCTAAAGTTGTAAATCTACCTCTTGTTGGAATGTATGTATCATATATTGAATTATTGATGATTTGTAAAATGCTTAAATCTGTTTAATAGAACACCACTGAGGTCCAAAACATTAAAAGAATACATAATTTTTATGCCACCGCAGCATCTGCGATGCGGTGGCATATAGCGATTCACCTGTGTGTGTGTGTGTTTGTTCGTTTGTTTGTTTGTGTGTGTGTGTGTTATATAGATTATATAGTGAACTTAAAAAATCTTCTTGTGAAAAACCACTAGTCCAATTTCAACCAAACTTGGCAGGATTGATCCTTGGGTGAAGGGCTTCCAAAGTTGTTCAAAGAATTTAATTCCATGCAGAAATCTGGTTGCCATGGCAACCAAAGGAATTATAAGAATAAATTTAAAAAATCTTCTTGTAAAGACCCAAAAGGCCTAGAGCTTAGATATTTTGCATAAGGCATTGTCTGGTAGACCTCTACCCAGATTGTTCAAATTATAGCCCTGGGGTCAAAATCGGCCCCACCCCGGGGGTCATTGATTTTCACTATATGTACATATAGTAAAAACTTAAAATACCTTTTTGTAAAGACCCATAGGCCTAGAGCTTAGATATTTTGCATAAGGCATTGTCTGGTAGACCTCTACCAATATTGTTCAAATTATAGCCCTGGGGTCAAAATCAGCCCTGCCCCGGGGGTCATGGATTTTCACTATATGTACATATAGTAAAAATTTAAAATACCTTCTTGTAAAGACCCAAATGGCCTAGAGCTTAGATATTTTGCATAAGGCATTGTCTGATAGACCTCTACCCAGATTGTTCAAATTATAGCCCTGGGGTCAAAATTGCCCCCGCCTCAGGGTCATTGATTTTCAATAAATACATATAGTAAAAAATCAAAAAAATCTTATTGTCTGAAGGTACAAGGCTTAGAGCTTTAATATTTGTTAAATGATATCATATATAGGTACTCTACCAAAGTTGTTCAAATTTTGCCTCTAGTGTCAAAATTAAAAGTGAACTTTGATATCAGCTGACCTAGATTTTGACAAAGTGTATTACATGTTGTCCTTTGATGCAGTCATGAAATTTTAGGCTGTGTGAAATATGACCTTCACCACCAAATTCACTAGACTCAAGTGCATTGATATATTCCTACTCTGATCTTTTATTGAGTTAACAATAGATTTAACCACTAATCTGATAATAAGAATTAGATATGCATTATGACATTTTTCAATTGTATAGAAACAAAAAAATCTGTTCCTACACTACTATTTAGTGTTGTTTTATTGCGGTGGCATAGCATTTTTCTCAAATGCAATCTTGTTTACATAGATCAACTGAGGCATTTAATACAGAAAAATATGCAAATGATAATTAAGAAATATACAAATATAAATTGAAAACCATATTTTAATGCTATTCTTAGGCTGATTTTCGCTTTTCAATCTTTGGTTATTCTATTTTACAATTGAAATAATTATTATTGAGCGAATTATCTCAAATGCTGCACACAAGTTATTTGTTTAGACCTGCATCAAATAAAAAAGAATTAATTTCAGTCCTGTCATGTCAAATTTATATGGACTTCCTTGATGAAAGATTATATGACGTCTATCATCAAGGTCAGGCTGGAAAATAGCTGATTGTATTTATTGCATGAACTTGTAGACTAATGGCAAAAATTGTTATGTTTAGCTTCCATATACCCAACTTAAGAAAGTCTTGAAGTTCCTTTTCATATATATTATTTATGACATCAAAACACAACATAAATTGTATAAGAAATACAAAAAATATTAAAAAAGACATTTGTCAAACATACTTGATGTTTATATTTGTGATTACAGCTGGGTGAGTGGTGTTCCCTATGTATATAGTCCTTATGTTTGGGCATGCTGCTTGAGATATCTACACAATTCTGCGATTCAGGACAGGTATTTACTTTGATAACATTGGTGTTCCTCATTAAATGTTCTAGTGTGTATTTAATTACTGTATGAGAATACAAGAGGAATTTGCTAAGTATTGATAAGTGTAAATTTTTACAGTGCATATTGGGCAAGTGTTTAAAATGTATAAGAAGGTTAGATTCTTCGTTTTATGTATATGCATGAGAAACTCCTGGGGGTGGGGGGAAACATACACAGTGAATATCATGTTCTCTTAAACCTATTAGGTTATGTAGACTGTGATTCAAAATGACAGTTGTTTAGCACTTTGCTACAGTTTGTCCATATTCTGGCGTATGCAGAATTGAGCTCTTCCTTTACAACACTGCCCATAAATCAGCTTTGTTTCTTACCATAGTGACAATCGATGCTATTGAACCATAACAGGCCTGATCTTGCTCAGTCTGATTTTTGGCTCAACACGTACATAAAGAACTACAAGAGAGGTTGCCTCCACAATCTTGTCTAAACACTTTACCCATAGAAGCCCTCTGCAATACATTTATTGAGTGGATATGGGATCTTGAAAAAAGCATCAAATTAAATGGGGAAACTTAAAAGGGTTAGACTAACTATTTACAAAGAAATATCTGCCATAATCTACAGCACTGATAGATGCCTTTCACATATCCCTCGTAATATGATTTTTTTTTAATCCTCCAACTTTATAGTGGATGAAGACTTGACTTTTCATTGAACACCTTATACTTTATTCTTGTATGTTAAAATGATACAGTTGTAATAGGTAGCATGTAAGGGTTAACACTATATGTAAATAACTTAAGTTATGCATCAGATATGTCTACCAGTGCTGTATTTTGTAAACATGGTTTATATGATACAAATTTCAATTTCAGAGTTTGTTCGCCACCAGATCCATTTTTATTAGTGCTATATAATCCCAGCCATTCTAGGCCAGAGTTTTATGAATGTTCAACTGCTACAGGATCAAATAAAATGACCTTTGACTTTTACTCCGGTTATGAGGCTGTACAGATTAGTAAGGTAACAACTTTTTGTTTCTATTTTCTTTAATTTTCTTCCTGTTTTTTTCTACAGTCCTAGTACTTCATTACAAGGCATTGTGTGTTGCTTTTCGAATAAAAAGAGTAATTCTTTGAGAACAATTTAAATACATACAGTTATTAAATTATAACAAGATTCAAATTTCAGATGCATTCTACATTTAAACACCATGCACTATGGGTGTATAGAATTTAAAGTTACTTGCACAATTGAAGTTTAATGAACATGAAACCAAAGGTTAAATGTTTATAGTTTTTGTTGGGTGCTACTTTCTTTATGCTACATTGAATATCGCACTAATTGGATACAAAACCTTTATAGTTGAAATTTGTCTAGCATTCAGTATGTAATCATAAAGTTATTAAAAATTTATAAGCCTAGGTTTTCACATGGGCGTGTCATGTTATTTCTAATTTTAATTATTTTCTTTTTATTTTCTTGTTCTAGAACTCAATGGGTAACAATGAGATTGTTGAAATTGATCTAAATCTAATGAGAGATGGTAATAAATTTGAGCTGTTCAGAGAAGCTGTCCTTAATAGTGCTAATGACAGGTATGTTATAACCAAGACTGGTATTCAGTTATAATGCTGCAAACTGAATATCGAGGGTTTATTCTTTTACATTATTTCTAAGTACTGTAAGAGTGACATGGGTTATTTTAAACAAAAAGCAATAAAATTCCCCATATATGGATATAAAGTAAGTAGTATACTGTAAAACTAATTAAATCGCTTTCATCAGTCTTACTCATTGATCTTTTTTTTTAAATAAATTTACTATTGTTAATAATATATTAGACATTGTCTTTTTCCTTTTCTGATAGACAAAAAAATTTTCTTTAGCAAGCTCTGAATGGAATTGTAATAATCTGATATTAACCAGACAATCTTTCATTATTATTTTAGTGGTCTAGATACCAGTAGAAGATCACTGTCACCAGAACCTGTTAGTAATGATGATATAACTCCACGACTGAAACCAGCACCTCACAAGTCAAAGGTTTGTAATTTACCCTTATTAAAGGCATTTCTCTAGTTAGTTTTTCATCTGTTCTTAAAAAATGCTGACAATATGCAATAGTTTGTCATAAACATTATTTGTTACCGGTAAAAGATGTGTTAGTTATGCATGTTTATTGTTGCAGATATGGTTTGCTTTGGGAAAACAATAATAATCTTCTTTACAATGTTAAATGTTGCAGAAAATGTGATTTTTTTCATAAGAACCTTTCGTTGCTATGGGCACCGCAATCTTAGACTAATGGTTACGCCAAGTTAACTTACAAAATAAAATTAGACAGAAAGAAATTAAAACAAAAAAATAAAAGCAGCATGATGTAATTTCTGCCATAGAAATATTTTATTTGGGGAAAAAAAATTGTTGATCATGTTACTGCAAACAAACTTTCAGGGATGGCCTGATATAAATTGTTTTATAACTAACTTTACCCTTCATACACATACTCAAATTTCCTTTACTGTTGTTTTTACAGTTACCAATGATGCAGTCCATGGTGCCAGAAGTGTCGCTATTTTTTGGAGATGAAGACACAACTTTTGTTCCAAGTGTTCAGCATCCGAGGCCAGTACAACCAGTTTCTCGTGCTAGCATAGGGCAGCATTCTACTTCTGTACCATCATTTAATGGTCACAATTCAGTTCAGTCAGTGCCAAACAATAATAATGCTCAACATAAACCAGCATCATCTGTGGCAGTTAGTAACTATATTAATAATGCCCAAGGCATGAGAACTACACAAAGTGTAAATTCCGAAAGTAAAAGTCTGCCAAATATTCCAAACCAAGCAACTCCACAGGAACCTATGAATGTGCATTCAACCAGCTCAGCACATGGGAATCCTCATAGTTATCCATCTTCAAGCCAGGCCTCACAAAATGGGTACCAACAGGCACCACAAGTAGGATATCAGCATGCACCTGTAGGGCCAGGACCTAGGCCTGCATTCTGTAGTTGCCCTGACTGTCCTAAACCTCCTCAGTTCTACAACAGACCACAGTCATATGATCCAAGAGGTCTTCCCCAACCACCTAGACCTTATTATTCTAATTATGGACCACCTCCAAGACCAGCAGGAAACTACCCTGGATACCAGCCTCACCAAGGGGGTTATACACATTACCAAGGACCTGTGCCCGCAAGTCAACCTTACCCTCAATATTCTCAGACTCAACCATCAAGTGTACCTTATCAAGGCCCACCATCATCTCATATGAATGGTTTCCAACATGGCATGCAACAATCCCATTCCAATGAGTCCATTCCAAATATGCCAGTGATTAGTAGACCCATTCCAGTATCAAGTCAGCCAGTATACTCAAACATGATTCGTCCAGCAACATCTCAAGGCCATTCAGTTCAGAAGCCTTATCCAAATCATCCTGTGCCTCAAGCTAGTGGTGGACTGCCAGTTAAAGTAGAGGAGAAGGCTCCTTTACCAAGAACTCCTGCACAGAGTGCTGAAGGAGCGGTGTCAAATAGTACTGAGATGAGGAGATCAAACCCAACCTCTGACAGTAGTGCAAGATCCAGTGATGATAGTGGCCTTAGTTTTACACCAGAGAAACATAACTCACCATCAAATCCAAGTCCGAAGTCAACACAATCTGCAGGTGATCTTAAATCATCTCTAGGTGGTGTGAACTGGGAAAACGTACCACCAGAGATTTACCAACTCCTCATCAATCAAGATAAGCAGTTAAAACAACTACAAGCTCAGATTGAGGTTCTTACCTTGCAACAAGCGCAGTCCTTAAATAACACTGCTGAAAGTGTTAATGTAAAAAACACTGTACCGTCACCTAGTGAAAAATGTAACATTGCCACTAATACATCTTTAGGCTATGTTCAGCAGAAAGAACAAGTGTCAGCTTGCATGCAGACAAGTCAGCAGGAGGTTGATAGTTTCCCGAGAGTCCTAGAGAACTCTCGTGCTACCACTGAACCAACACATCGAGGGTCAAATAGGGACCAGTCTAATTCTAGCTCCAATGGCAGTGGATGTGATGCCAGAACTCCTGCTGAAATCCGGCACCGAGGGAGATTACCTATGAACAGTACGCAGAGAGATGATGCTGATCTTGATATTTCCCAAGGAGAACTGGTAGCTTTGATGAACAATATGCATGACAGGACCATTGATAGTGTACAGTCCGAGATGATTGTTGATTTACCAAGTTTTCAATCCTCTCCAACCAGGTATAAAAAAAAACGATGTTTCTTTACTTTTAGCAAACAAATAATTGTCTTTATAAGATTACTGCTGTGATAACTTGTCTATTGCATGTATGATCAATGCTTATTGATACTTTGTTTGTGTTTAGATGTCATATAGGTTGAAGAATAAAGGAAGCAACAAATTTATTCATTCATGTGGAAGTTAAAGACTACAAAGAGACTTTTAATTGTATTCTTCCATCATACTTCATTCTCATTGTTAACCTTGCTCTGCATAAAAAGATGTTATTATATCATGTCTAGGTCACCAAGATCACAGGAATCATGTAATGACTCGGCAGCATTTAACATGTCACCACGGTCACCTATATCTGCCAGCATGTGTGAGCAGGGTCAAAATGGTGGTGTGTCCGAGTATACTGATGATGAAGATGATGATGATGAAGGGGAGGGTGAGGAAGATAATACTGCAGGCACGGATAATCCTGAATATTACAACAGGCTGATGGTAATAAAATATTCATATTATTTCTCATCCATTATGGTATTTTGGTAATATTTTTAATTGACCAAATATGAAATTTGTTGTCAATTTTGTGATTTCAATGATAAATAGGTATGCATTTATAAGGTGATTTACAAAATATCATAGCATAATCAAATAATTAAATATATTAGTGGACACAAATTTTGTTCCATTTGAAATAATGGTAGATCTTCTTTAAGAATATTCATAAGAATATCAAAATGCATTTTGTACAAAACAATTGTATTTAATATCATCCAAGTGCTATGGAGAGAAAATATTTAAGATGTTAAAGGAAGAGGGATGATTAGAAGTAGTCTCATTTCTGAAATATATAATTACATTTGTATGTAAGAATTGATCTTGATTAATATATTGCAACTTTTAGTGATAGGTAAGATATTATATTTTTTTGCACATTTGCTTAACAATAACACAATTAAATCATTGTTTCAGGACAATATAAAGAAGTTGTTAAGTCAGAACACAACAGAGAACACAACCGGTGCTGATTGTGGTTATTCTGGTGATATCTCATCTGATCCTAGCACACCAGTCAGACTAGCAAAGGAGGATATAAACCTTGGGGAACACCTTCAATCATTCTTCAGGTTAGATAAAATTAACTTTTTATTAGTCATATTCCTATTTGCGCTAAACAGTTACCCGAGAGCTAGATATTCCCATCTGTACCGACAGCGGGTGTTTGGTTCTTTTTCTTGCATATTACATATCAGTTGTTTTCAGAACAGAAATTACGAAAAACTGATATTCTCATTACGCACTTTTTTCTTATAATAGCGTATGAACTTCATTCATTGAACTATCAGTAAAATGATCTCATCCTAAGAACACAATTTATTCATAAAATGCATGTGGCAATGACTTGTCTTACTTGGAGGGTTTTCTAGCACCGGTGTAAACTGTAGATAATCCTGCCTGATATACAGTATCAACAATATCTCCTCTTGATTTTCTTCTTTTCAAAAAGTAGTTCAGACTGATTTGACACATAATCTGTCAATAATTATGTTATGTGAATATTTTAGGATTTATTACATAAATAATATGTTTTTTTGTGCATAATCAATTCTAACTCTCATACCTTGCATTGCGTTGAGTTGTGACATCATGAATGTGTATTGACACTGCCAGCGTCATACACCTTAAAGAACGAATCGTGTTTTGCTCAGAATTTCAGATGTATAAAAGCAATTTACAGTAGGTATATAACAAAGGGAAAATTACACCAGTGTGTCATTCTGACTGATTGTATCAGTTTCTTTTACTGTATAAGTTTGTATTCATACTTTCCATGCGGGCTTGTGAAAATACAAGATGGCACTTATACAGTATTTACATTATGTAAATCGTGCTGTATTTACATTATGTTAACCGTTTTCAAAAGAGTTAAAAACATATATGTTAACATATTCATTATAAATCGATATTGTTGTTTGCCTAACAGTACATCTTAGACTAGAGTTATTTGTGAATGAATGAATGATTATAAATTTTATCTCTTTTATAACAGGTATGAACAGAGCACAACAAAAGGTCCTGTTGACACCACATTTATACCTAAGATCAACTATGTGTCCATGCTGCTGGACTCTGACACAGATACTTCAATGGAGATCAATGCAATGGCAATGAAATATCTGAAAGATGAGCAGCTCACACAGCTCACTAAACTTCAGGCAAAAAACAGATTACTTCAGGGATCTAAGAAAACTTCAGAAAAGACTGCACTTCTCCAGAAAATTTTAAGAATGGAAGATGATAGTACTCCTAATGTAACAAATGTTGGCATGTCGCCAAATGACCTGACTTTTGCCACTAAGAGATATCTGGAGAAGCATGGTTTGTTAGATGGAGGAGCGTCAAGCGGGAGCACGTCTATGAGTGATGCTACACAAAATGATAGTTACAGATTAAGAACTAATTATAGCACAGTAACTTCAGGGTCTGAAGATGGACCTGCACAAATAACACATGAAATTCTTAGCACACCAGAAAGTCGTAGAAGTGGAACTGTAGATACGCCCTCTAGTGGCAGATACACTGATGCTATGTATAGTAATGGAACAACTCCAACTTATAATAGTTCACGGACTACGTACAATGATTCGAGAAATAGTGTAGGATTTAATAGGACACCTAAACCTAACCATGTTCAGAGCAGGTTAGAAGATCATAGAAGAGTTACCCAAAATGGTTCAAATGCTCATAACAGTTCTGTTCCCCAGTCTCAAAAAGCATCGCCATATTCACAAAACAGTTCTCCATATAATCAAGATATTAATCGTAGAGATATTGGTGCTAAAGGTCGCTATGTCACTCCTCAAATTACACGTCCACCTAACCACCAAAACCATTCCCCACCAGAAAAAGAAGTTCCCAATGATGGTTCTCCTCGTGATATGGGTCGAGACAATGAAGAAGTTGGTAAATATAGAGTTGAAAGTTATGGTAGAAAACTCCCACAGAGACAAACTGGTGCTGAAGAATCTGTTGGTGTTCGAAATTACTATGATTCTAGACAAAATCGACCAGAAACAATTGAAGACGATAGAATATTAGATATTACACGTCTTAAACAGCTTCCAAAATTACTCTGACATTTTACATAAGTTAGTCCCATTTTAACAAATAATGCGTATTAGAGCTATACATTAATACAACTGCATTTTCATAGGCTTTAGAAAGCAGCTTTATATCAGTTAGCAAAAATATTTAGAATTGATTTTCCTGCTTTGCTTCAGTTGCGATACATTTGTCAAAATTTTTATCATATCAGACTTGTATCTGATTATCATATCGGACTTGTATCTGATTCCAACGGGCATTTAGTTAATTTCAATTATTTGTTTATTTATTATATTGGTTTGCTTGAAAATTTGAATGTAACCCTAGTCTACACATAGCAGAAAACGAAGCATTTATAAATGTAAAGTTAATGGCATATCTTCAGAGTAGTGAATAGACCGTCCTTATCTTTATAGTCAATGAAAACTTTATTTATACTTTAATTTTTTTTGTAAAGTTGGAAGTTGTTCTATATATAGAAAATGTGATTTTTAAAAAATCAAATATATAATTTAATGGAAAGAGTGAGTGGGGGTTAAGTTTACAGTATAAGAGTTGCCAACATTTTTACACAAGACTGTGATATCTATATATTCTATTGTCTCATATTGTTGTATTTTTATTTTATACTCATTCTTTTACTCTTTATGTCAGGTTTTTATTTATTTTTATTTTTTTGAAAAGCTTTTTTAGTTGTTCTGTCCAGTATTTGAAAGCAGCTTTTTATTTTCATAGTTTTATTTTTAACATTTTGTTTTATTTAAAAAGAGTTTGAAGTACATTAGGGCAGCATTAATGAATGTAGTTCTAAGCTATTTAGAAAATATTAATTTAGTGCTATGTAATACATAGAACATTAGAAAGCAGTATTTAATTTAGGTTAACTATTTTATATCGTATTAATAAAAAATTATTTAAAAGAGATTAGTATTAGAATATTTAAATAATTCACAATATGTTCATAATGTTGAGTAGTGCATACATGTTTTATAGCTTTAAATTGTAGGAACTGTGATTTTGAATTGTTCATTTTGTGGTCTCATATACATGAATGCTGATAGTTTTGTTCTACTTAAACTTTTATCTGACTTACCATAAAACAAATGTACAGGGTTTTCCCGTAACCAGGTTTTCTACATGCCTGACATAAGTTTCGGTCGGAGGACATCTTACAGCAATAGTGCATCCCAATGACCATAAAAACTCACCATTTTAGAATCTTCTTTCGATTATGATAATTTTGTTACTTTTGTATAAATAAAATTTGATCTTCTGTATAACTTAGGCACCTTTTCTATTCAATATTCCAAGCTTACAACATCTACAGTTAAATAGAAGGCTACAACTGAAAAGTATGAACAATTTATAATTGATTTCAGTAGCTTAAATCATGTTACAATATGGAGACTCCTTTAAAATGTCAATGGACTCCAAAAATGTCAAATTGTCTGAAATTTCTAGGGAAAACCCTGAATTTGACACTGAATTTACATATATTCATTAGATCATATAATTGAGAAGGCCTGTTGCCATAGATAGATAAGTAATTGACCATGACTTTGTCTATATCACTTGGGTTTTATTTACATGAAATGTGAAGATCACTGTTTGAATTAGTGCCAAAAAATTACACATTGAATAATTCTTTAAAAGAAAAGCTGCGGCCAGGATTCTTTTACTTTCAAATGCAATCTTCTCTTTTTTCATAAAACCTAAACAAATTACTTAATGCAGGACATTTGAATATATAAATTTTACTATGGTAATATAGTTAAGAACTGTTAATAAACCAACTAAAACAGTTACATTGTTAAGCATATACATGTTTTGTACTGCTTAAGGAAGTTTTGAATTCTGTGTTCTTGTAGTGAAGCAATATCTCATATCATTATTACTTCACTATCTTTCACTTATTCTAAAGTATGTTTTTATTTCATAAGTGTTACTACAAATGGAAATGAAACTGAAATGCATGAACAGCAGTTGGCTATTCATTATTTTGAATTTCCTTTCAGTTTTTATTTGTTGAAACATTACATAGTTTTAAGATTTTAATTATAACAGATATTGAATAGCACTAAAATTTGTTGCCATAGCAACTTAAGAAAATAGAAAGTAATTAGCTGTTAGATTTTACTTTTAATTATTTATTTATTAGTGTATATAAATAAATTATTTATCTTATTAAATAATTTCTTATTCTCTTTTGAATCCCAATCTCACTAACCCCTCTGTGGCTGAGGGGTTGCCTCTAAGGGTTGAGGCATAAAATTGCAGCCACTGTTTATCTGCATGATCACAACAGGTGACTAAATTGGTTCTTATTACTAGTCTGTGCATTTCTTAGCTCCCAGCACAGGTGAGATGGTTTTGTTTCCTGGTGTTGCTTAAGTTTGTTGCCAAAAGCATCTATCCTGTTTGGCGCCATATAACCTGGATTGTGTTGGTGCACAATCAGTAAAAATAAAAACTTAAACAGCTCTTTGTTACATCAAGGCCATGTCTGATGTTTGGATCGTACTGCAATAGTAGTCATTGCAGTATTTGGGAACCATACAACTAGAAACAAGCGGGCCATGATGGCCCTGAAGTCGCTCACCTGTATATAGGCCCCCGGAGCGGGGCCAGTTAAAACCCCAGGGCTTTTATTTGAACAAACTTGGTAGACACTCATTAGAAGATATTTCATGCTTAACATCTAAGGTCTAGCTGGTCAAGTTTTTTTCTTTACACATATAGTTAAAAACAATGACACACCTGGGGCAGGGCCAGTTTTGACCCAAGGGCTTTTATTTGAACAATCTTTGTAGACACTTACTACAAAATGTTTCATGCTTAATATCTAAACTCCAGCTATTCGGGTTTTTTTAAAGAAGACTTTTAAGTTTTTGCTATACACATATAAGGAAAATCAATGTCAGCCCGGGCGGGGCCAATTTTGACCCCAGGGCTTTTATTTGAACAAACTTGGTAGACATCCATTAGAACATGTTTCATGCCAAATATCTAAGCTTTAGCTCTTTGGGTTCTTAAAAAGAAGATTTTTTAAAGTTTTTACTATATGCATATCGGGAAAATCAATGACCCCCTGGGGCGGGGCCAATTTTGACCCCAGGGCTTTTATTTGAACAAACTTGGTAAACACCCATTAGAAGATGTTTCATGCTAAATATCTTAGCTCTAGCTCTTTGGGTTCTTTAAAAGAAATTTTTTAAAGTTTTTACTATATGCATTTAGGGAAAATCAATGACCCCCTGGGGCGGGGCCAATTTTGACCCCAGGGCTTTTATTTGAACAATCTTGGTAGACACCGATTAGAAGATGTTTCATGCTAAATATCTTAGCTCTAGCTTTTTGGGTTTTTTAAAAGAAATTTTTTTAAGTTTTTACTATATGCATATAGGGAAAATCAATGACCCCCAGGGGCGAGGCCAATTTTGACCCCAGGGCTTTTATTTGAACAAACTTGGTAGACATCCATTAGAACATGTTTCATGCCAAATATCTAAGCTCTAGCTCTTTGGGTTTTTTAGAAGATTTTTTAAGTTTTTACTATATGCATATAGGGAAAATCAATGACCCCCTGGGGCGGTGCCAATTTTGACCCAAGGGCTTTTATTTGAACAATCTTGGTAGACACTCATTAGATGTTTCATGCGTAATATTTTAGCTCTAGCTCTTTAGGTTCTTTAAAAGAAGATTTTTTTAAGTTTTTACTATATGCATATAGGGAAAATCAATGACCCCCTGGGGCGGGGCCAATTTTGACCCCAGGGATTTTATTTGAACAATCTTGGTAGACACTCACTAGAAAATGTATCATGCCAAATATCTAAGCTCTAGCTCTTTGGGTTTTTTAGAAGAAGATATTTAAAGTTTTTTCTTTTGGTTGCCATGGCAACCAGAGTTCTGCACGGAATGGAATTCTTTGAACAAATTTGTTAAGGCTTCACACAAGGAACATCTCTGTGAAGTTTCATTATGATCTGCCTTATGGTTTCAGAGGAGATGTTGTTTGAAAAGTGTGAACGGACAACAGACGATGGACGAAGAGTGATCCTAATAGCTCACCCCGCACCCCGAGCATATGCTCAGGTGAGCTAAAAAAAAATCATCGAGCAAATTTGATAAATTAATAACCCTGCCAAATGTCTATAATTTTTTGGTACCATAAATTTTCTTCTGAAATACTGAGGATATGGTCACAGGCCACATCTTACTTAGATGGTAAATACTTGTGATGTGTATTGATAATTTACTTCGAAAAGTAAAATCCATCTATTTCTAGTCATGTCATTGCTGTTTGCTTCAATTTTTAGACTGGATAAACTTTTTGGACAAGATGTTTATGTTGACCAGATTTAACTTACAAACCCTAATGGGCACCAATAAGAATTGGCTTTTCATTTTTTCTTTCCTAGATAGCATAAGACATTTATTTTTCAAATTATAGAAAATTTCACTGTCCCAAGAATGACTCATCTTTTCCAACAAGTCCATGTGCAAGAAATTTAATAAAAGTTGAATCAAAAACATCTTCAGATACATATAAACAAGTTCTTAAAATATAAAACACTTTTATTGTCTATTACAGTTTGAGTTTGAAAACCTAAAAAATTTGCTCTGCCAGAGTTTCTTCATCATTTATGTACTATTTTCCTATTTTATTAACACTACTATACTTTTATACTTTGCATATCTTGGCTAATTTCTTGAGAAAAAATGTTTACATTGCTAAAAGAAAGTTTGTACCTCTCGCATCTTAAGGGTCACCCCTGGACCATGGCTTTCAAAAAGTTTTAAGCAAACCAAATTATTCTAAATTTAGAATTTCCACTCATGGCCTAAACTTATAAAATTTAAAATGTTTTGAATTTCGCTTCTATAACTGGCTTATAACACCATTTCATGAATGAATTGTCATTGTACTTGGACACAACACAGTTTAGTACAAGACCTTTAAAAAACTGATTTTGACTTGAAGCATAAATTATAGTATTTTGTGCTATTCATAGCATATGAGTGAAAAGCATTGCAGCGCTTTTTTAAATTTTGGGTCATTTTTCAGTTATCATTCTGGAAGAACAAAGAGAGAGAATGATCTAAATTTTACATCATATGCAACATCAATCTTGAAAAATTATTACCAGTCCCGTCATGTCAAAAAACCTAGTAAGGTAAAATCATTATAATTTTATACTTTATTGATTTATTTTTTTAGCAAAACATTACTTGTAACAAAATTGATATGTTGAAGAATTCAAATCTGACCTTGATGATCAAATTATTGAATTCATAAATTTATTATTTCTTGGCAGATTTAATCCATTCTTGAAGAAAAAGAACACTAACAAAAGAAAACAAACAAACATGTTGAGTACCGGTAATTCAAATATGACCTTGACTTTAAAATGACATTGACTGTTGGGGTCAAGTTATTATATTTCGCTTAAATTGGCCATCACTTTATTTTTTCATACTTAAAACAACAGAACCAACATTTTAAATAAATTTGGTAGGACCTTTATTTTAAAATGACCTTGACCATCAAGCTGAAGTTATTGCATATTGCTTAAATAATAATAACTTTTATTTCCAAATTTCACTTGTACAAAATGTGAAAAACAACTCAAGTTTGACTTTGTCCCTGAAAAGGTCAGATTATTAAATTTTACTTAAATGGAGATATTTTTCTTATTCATTTACAGATTATATTCATACAAAGACTAATAAATGACCTAGAGATCGAAGGTCAGATCATTGTATTTTCACTGGGTACTCTTAACTTGGCAATTGTTCGTTTTTCCTATCTCATCCTGGGGTACAAACAAAATTTTACAGTTAAAAACTTGGTAAATGTATTTGTAAGTGCAAAGTATTGATAACTAATGTGAAAGATTGCATGTATGTGTTGTGATTTCATAATTGATGAATTTAGGAAAAAATCTTTAATATTCTATTCACATGAGGATTCGTAGGCAACGAATAACTGTTGTGATGATTTGTTTCAAATAAAGACCATTTTGAAGTGAATCTTTAACAAACAGTAGTTATTAGTGGTTTCCATAAACGGACGCCCTTTACAATTTCAATAATTTATTTGTCTCAGCGAGTGAATACAAAGTCATTTAAACATGGCCCGTCATTCAAATAGAGGATATTTGTTTTGCATTCAATATAGAAAGTTATTTCACAGAGTCAAAATCTTACCAGTGGTATGTTGGAAGATAGAAACAAAATGGTTACAAAAGCTCACTGTGCTAAAACTGATTTTACAATGAGTGGATGGTTTTCAACAATTTTTATTAGTACCACCATATGAATTATAATACTTTTAAACTAGTTTACCACTTACATTTCAGCATCAAGACCTGCATCAAATATCACAATTTCAGTAAAATCACCTTATTTTAATACACAATTAAGATAGGTATAAACAACAGAACTCAACTTTTTTATAAGAATGTATTTAGCTGCATGACTGTACATACAAATGTTATAGAATTGCAAATGTTGTCAACATTAAATAAATAACGTTTACATATTAACACATATAAATCATCAAAGTGCAAAACTCTGCATCCTCCCAAAGGTTTATGTGAAATCAATATGCTATAACCACTAACAAAAATATAATAATGGAAATATAAGAAGATAATAAAAGCAAAATTGTCTGCCACTTCTTACTACTTCTTAACATTGAAACTAACCAAATTTTTGCCCCCTACTATGCTTACTACTTTCCACTACATTCCCCAGGTAATTTAAATATCCAATAGCTATTTACTTCTACCTCAGAGTTAAAATATATCACAAACTTCAAGATTTATGACATCTCTTTATAAATCCTATATCAGTTCTGTTTTTATGTCTTTATATGTTTACCAACCTTTTCAGAATATAGAGTTAAGGAAATGTATAGACTTTCAAAAAAAATATCAAAATAAAGTTCTGCGAAATAAAGAAGGAACACCTGCAAGCCCTTAAACATGACCAGAAAATTGATATCATCATGAAATATCTATCAAGTGTTTCTCAAAATCATACACTACCCAAAAATACAGATTTATTAAATATTAATGATAAGCTTCAAAATAAAAACAGAAAAATAAGATTTATATAAAAAAATAGCACAAGAAGCGTTTATCAACAGTTACTAAACATCTAACTTAAAATGTTGCCAGATATTAAACTATTGTCACTGAATATCCAAAAAGGCTCAAAAAAAAAAAAAAAAAAAAAAAAAGAGAGAAAGAAAATTTAAATGAACTTAAATATCTAAATTTATATATAAAATATACTCTAAAAGTAACCAGTGACTTGACTATCCCATTCTGTTTTAATTCATCACATATGCCCAACGATCATACCAATATACACATGTGAACACAACGATAATTTATAAAAATTATTGCTAGAAATGCATAAAAATGAATGATGTGGCTGTAAAAAAATGATCTGCATAAGAAAGCAACAAATACATATACTGTACAAAAGAAAAACACCACTTACATCAACGACAGCACACTATCACATTGTTCCAATAAGCTTCAACATCTCATGTCAATAATAAAAAGGACAAAACAAATCACAGCATGCCCTGCTTATTACCAAAATTAGAAGGAAAAAAAAAAAAAACTGAACTTAAGATACACATTCTCTGGAACAACTGCCATTTGACAAGAGTAACAATAGAATTTTCATAACATTACATCTTTAAACTGCCAATCCAAGAAATGAAATATTTGGCAACAAATTATGCCTGGCTTAACGCTTGGCAATTTTTGTAAAATAGTTGCAATAATTAGAATTTCATCAAACATAATGTTTCAACGAAAGTCATGAAACTGATATTATTATCTTGGCAAAAATCATCCGCTAAGCTGCAATTTGTGCTGTGTCTAAAATTTAGCTTTAATCAAAGCAAATTATTCTCGTTGAAATTTCTTAGCATGTTAATCTGCTTCTAGCAAAGTCATACTTACACTTAACGGCTCCAAGTTTTTTGCATACCTTGTACATGCTTATGAGTTATTACTACATGGTGTTCCTGGAATGTAGACCAGTATCAAACTACATGTATTCATCTGTAAGTAAATTTCATCCCATAACTTTTTTTAAAGCTGACTAATTTAGATGTCATCAAGCAAATAGTCAAAGTATGTGCCGTGTCTAAAATTTCAGCTTTTAAATAAAAGATCTAAAATTACTATTTACCCTCTGACTTTAGGCTTAATGGGTAAAACTGGTCTTGACTAACAAAATATATATGAATTTCTAATCATTCAAGATAACATTTTTGAAAAAAAAAAAAAGGATATTAAAAGATTGAAAAAGAATCCATTTCAAAGACCCTCCAAAGACTGGGTAAAAAGCAACATCAAAAACACTGACCTTTAGAACTAAGTGATCTTTAGAACAAAGTGAAAGGTTAATGCTGGGAGAACCTGCTTTGTGTAAACCATTCTGTGTTCCCTACTGACACACATTATAATACTAAATGTTACTTTAAGTTTAAGTAAAAGATGTTAAATTGACACATTTAAGTGTATTTTGACTTCTTTCAATATGAAATTTCGAGGTTTTAAATTAGTAAGGCATAACATAGAACCATTTAGAATAACCTGAACTTCATTAAATCTTCAAAAAAGTTGGCAATATAATACAAACACTTTGGTATCTTATACATTAGAAAACAAAATAGAAACACAAAATTTAGACTTACACAAATGATTTCTATGAGAGCAATAATAAAATGCCAGCATTGAAAACTGGTATATAATTGGCTAGAATGTTTATAATACTGCACCTTTTTAAAAATATTCCGTTAATAGATGACCAATTTATGACAATAGCTAAACAATTTAACAATCATGTGTGTTGAAAAAATACATAGTTCAACTTTTGAGCTTCAAGTACAAACTAATACAAAAGAAGCAAAATAATAAAAATATATAGATATCCCACAAAACAATTTAGAGCTCATATATTTCACAATTTTTAATAATATGCAAACTTCACCTGTAAATTGAAAACCCAAGATGGAACGACTTGAATAACACTATGTAATATCTAAGTTACCCTGTGCTGCAAAGATAAACAATCCAACAAATTAAAAAACTAAAGAATTTTTCATTTTATTAACATAATGGCACCTAAACTGGATTTCCTTAACTAAGACTTTGAATTTAACATTTTGAAATAGACTACATATATTTTGGAACTATATGGAACTATATTAGCACATAAGACAAATATAACTTTGTGACACTTTTCTAAAACATTTGAAACTGCAAAAACAAAATATGTACCCTCAGTATTTAAAATTTATATATGATTACAACCTTCATAAACTATCAATTTTATCATCATAAATGTTCTGTCCATCTCTACATTGAGTAAAGGCAAACTTTTGACATTATCATAAAACAACTCTTTCTATTCAAACAAGGCAGCCAATGTTTATAAAAAGATTTCAACAACAAGAAACCCATCTGAAAATAATGAAACAATGACAACTATCTTTAGAAGATGACATGTGGCATTGTTAATGAGCTAAATTGAAATTCTGATGTATAGAAATTGTTTACTTAAAGGTAATGGCCAAATCAGTAACTTAAAGGCTTTGAGAACTGAAATAAAAATGCTCCACATGGTCAAACCTTATCATGTCCATTTTAAATAATAAAAGCATTTGCGAGACAAAATTTACCAACTTGAATTAGTTTTGCTTCTAACAGTTTTCTGTGGAAAAACAAAATTCTCAACTCAATTCTTTTCTAGAGTCACATACATGTAGCCCTTACTGTAAAATCATAAAATTCAATATTTAACAATAAATCAAACATAATTTAAGAAAAACATGTCCAAAAAATAGTAAACTGAAATAACATTAATATTAAGCACTAGATTAAATCACCTAATCCAGAAACTTTAATGGGAGTTTATGCAAATATAAAAAATATATGATCTTAAAGTACAAACAGTGTGCCTTTACTCTTTATGATTTAGTGAATTTTTTTTATGTATTTCATTTAATATATTAATCAATCCATTTTCATTGCAACTCATATCCCCCTAAGACAACTTTAGAATAATATATGATTAATCATCAGTGATCACATATGGTAAAATATGAAGTGGATCAGAATTAAATGACTGAAACGAAACTGTTTGTGTCCAATCCCTCCAAGTACCCCAACTGTCATAGCAACCATTCATTTCTGTCCAATGCTGTGTATGCAATCTATTCACATCATCATTAGTAATCTCCAATGGTTCAGGCATTTCATATGTATCATCATCTAATGCAAAATTGTCAAGATCTAAGGGTGGATATTTGCTGTAGATTTCTTCTAAAGTCAAGGGCTTATCCTGTTCATTGGATGTCCCTGGCACTGGCTCAGAGTTTGCATTTGGTTTCAATTCAGACTTGAGACCTTTTTCAGAGATCACAGATTTGGAATCAACACTAGGTGTTGCTGACCGAACATCATTGAGATTACCACTCTTCACAAAGGATTCCGTACCAGCATCAACATTATCTTCAAAACTAGTTGAGGCACTGGGGGACTCAGTACGAGGTAATTCATATTTTAAAGGGCTTAAATCTTCTGGGGTCACTTGACTAACAGAACTTTCTAAGAATTTTTCAACCATTTCAGTTTTTGAAACTGGGGTACTTGGAGGTATAAGGTCATTTTTAGCTCCTTTTTTACGATGCATTCGTGGCTTTGCACCATCAGGCACAATAGACTGAAATTCATCATCTGCCTCCTTTTGAATTAAGTTATCTTTGATTTGCCGGACTGTATCTCTCCCAACAGAAAGGTTGTTTTTTGCCTGCAATTGTTGCATAAGTTCAGCAGTGCTTTTCACTTTTGGTGTAAGGCTTACTGCTCTTGAAGGAGTATCTAAGTCTGTGCGAATACCAAGTTTCACTTGTCGTTTATCACACAAACTTTTAGCACTAGAAACAGATCCATTTTGAGGTCTTATTTGATCACCAGGGGTTTGAGGTTTCACTTTAGGAGGTCTACCTCTGCCCCTTTTTTTCGGTGTTTCAACCAACCCATTAATAGGAGGGGCTGGTGGAGAAGTTTTATTAAATCTGATAGTAGTTTTTAGTCCTTTTGTTTCAATGGAATGAGTAGGTGTTAATATTTCTTCACCATTTTGCTGAACTCGAGACACAACCACACCATTTGGCCCTGGACTGGTTTTGAACTGAGAAGGCAAATTGCTAGTTGACTGAGACACCCTCAAATCACCATCAGGTGGTTTCTTTGAAAAACTATCACTTGAACGAGTTCGTTTTAACTTTGAAGAGTCTGAAGGGCAAGGCCCTGCCTTTTTATGAGATGATGGTAAACTTTGAGATATTTCACTAACAACAGTGCTGGATGCACGACTGCCTTGACTACACACACTATCTGGAGTACCTGGCTGAGAACTGGCAGCACTGGGTGATATGCAAAAACGTTTAGCATTTGAGGCAAGCTGTGGAGAAGAGTTGGACCTCTTGGCGGCTTGCTGAAATGTCAGTTTGTTGTTCGCATTTGGTAATGATGGTGTAATAGGTTTGTTAGATATCTGTCCTTGTGAAAGACTAGATTTTACACTATTCGGCGACACTAGTTTATTTATATCAGTAACTGAAGCTGATTTGCCAATATGTGCACTTGCAGGACTTATTGGGGGTCTGTTTGGAGCCTGCAGTCTACCAGGAACAGACCCTCTACTTATCCTGTCTCCATTAACTGTAGTCTCTGATTCAGAGTCAAGAAATTTATGCCAACTTCGGACAAGTTCCTTAGCACGCTTGCCAAGTTGTTTGTTTGTGATTTTCTTCCTGACATCATTGACAAGCTTTCCAATTCTTGTCTCCTAAAATATAAACCAACATATACTTGTATAATATCATATATTAGAAACACTTCAATCATTTTAACACTAAAAACATTTCAAATGAATCTTTTTGACAATTATTTTTTCAGTTGGATTTTCAATTTCAATGAAACTGTAATGGCAATGTTAAAAAATTCAAGTGATTTACTTTAAGCTCAGCTGGCACTCTAGCAGAACAACTGACCATAAGTAAGCTAGCTGGCATGACTCAACTAATATCTTATTCTTAGTACTTCTATCTCATTCTTTACTTTCATTACCTGTCATTTTTTCAGTCTGTCTAATGCTTAAAATATAATGCACAAAGTATAATATATTTTTGGACTTCTTTTGGACAAATTTACATCTAGATTGATCAAACTATATCATGTCCAGTTTGTGAAAGGGTATACAGACAAACTGGTCAGAGGAAAACCCTGAACTTGTTAAAAAGTTACATAAATGACCCTGATATTGAAAAAGGACAGTACAACATAGGCTAATTCAGTTAGTTTTAACTTTTAAAATGAATACAAACACCAGTTCATTGTATTTTGGAAAAAGATATTCTACAATGTTCTGCTGACAGCCTGACATCTATATATATTTATTTTATATCTTAAATGAAAACTAGAACAAATAACTATAAAATAAAAATTTAAATTCTAACTACCCTAAAACATATTTTTTCTACAAAGCTTTGCGTCTTAATTTTGACCAAACACCAACACATGGGTCTTTAAGTCTTAATATTAAAATCAATATCATGCTCAAGATCTCATCCCAGTTAGTTTTATGTAAGGTTAATTGTTTTCTTTTATATAAACTTATAGGACAGCATATCACAAGATTTTCGAATAGACTTTAAACAAGAGAAAATCTCTATGAATGTCCATTGAGAGTACAAAAAAAAGTGTACAGTAAATTTACTAGCATGACAAAACATCTGCTGAGCACATATCACACACTTTACAATTCTATACTATTTCACCCATTAAGTAAAGTTAAGATTACCTCCAATATCTCCCTTGTAATGGGATATTTCTCCAACAAGGTGATAACCTCCAACACTTTGGGCATGTCAACCACCTGAAATTGAATAAAGATTTCCTACATGTAAATGTGTCAAAAATTATTGAACAAAAAGAAATACAACATGTTTTAAATTTACGCATGCAAATATTACACTTTATAGTAAGAAGAAACTGTATGTTCTAAAGGGTGACATGGGTTCTGCCCACTTTGAAGAAAATCATTCATTCAAGGGGTTTAGGATTTATAGAGTGGATATGGTGGATACAGACTGACTGATAGATTTACACAATAAAGATTGCTCACTCAACCATAAATCATTTGCTAACATTTCATTAATATGGCTAGTACAAAAACATGCCATTGTCTTAAATGTCATTGTTTTTTAATTAGATCAAGCTTTTCTTAGCCATGTGATAACCAAAAGAATCAGTAAGAACCCCAACAGAAAAAAGTTCACCTTAATCATAGAGAAACAAACAAAAGAATGATCACAAGCTTAACCCATTACTGCATGAGCCTTTTGTGAAAAATGGCTGTTTTCATTGAAGTCTCCTGTTACAAGTTCAAATTGCTACAAAACTATAAAAACTGCTTCAATACTAATCAAACTTGGCACAAATGTTGACTGGACCATTGCCTTTGTAACAACATGCTCAGTCTTAAATTTCCTGTTACCATGGTAACGAGGGGACATCTCAAAATTGCCAAAAATCACTATTTTGCATTGATTTTTTTCCATTAAAATTGATTTCGAAGTGCTGCAACTTTTCAGTGGATTGTGATAGAGTCAAAGGCTTTTCAGCCTTGGTTACATGTTACCTTATGATCGACCTGGGGTCATTTTTAGCCTCTCACAAGTCCAAAATTTTCTTGGCGATGAGGGGGGCTGAAGGGGGCACATGACTTGTTGCCTTATAAAATTTGCAGATTGTTTCTTATATCAACTATAAAATTGATGTCTGGTCTTTATGCAGGGAAATCTGTTCACACCTTACTATGGAAGGACATTGTTTCCTCTCATTAACTTTCACTAAAACGTACGCCAATGTTTTTTTATTAACCTGGGCAAGTATGGGCAGGTAAACAAGTGAAAATTTCTGTCATACTTGTCCGTGGGCAAGTAGAAAAAAAAATTTCAACACCAGTGATCTGTATGTCATCTTGAACTGTTCTTAAATGTATGTATAGGAAACTGTAATCTAAGCATGCCACACAACACTCCTGTTCTCTGCACTTACTTGAGTTCACATTTAAAATAAACTAAAGACCAGTTTTCCCTTTCGCAACATGATAAAAATGATCAAGTGACCAAAAAATCTTTAAATATCATCTTAAAACTAAACAAAAATAGTAATTCCCAACTCAGTAACTTCTGTTCCGGATAAAAAGGGATCCAGCACCTCTCACTTAAATAAGCTATTCAATAGACAGCTGATTGATTGATTGATAATGTGATGTTTAAATTAAATAATAATGTTGTTACTTTAAAAAATAAATTGACGAATTTTCATCAAAACATAATGCCAAGACCATTTATTTAAATCATATACAGGACAGTTAAAATTTTATGCCTATATTTCTAAAGTGTTCACAGTTTACTACAAATAAAACAATACCATTTCAAATGATCAACAAAACAAAATGATGGCATACGTCACATGCAACTGATTGGACAAATTGATATCACGTGTTCTATCCCATTTATGTCCGACACAGTCCTATGGAGTTGTCATCGATAGAGACAATATCGTTGTATTGTTGATATATTCCCTTGATCAATAATCGATACACATTTGAAAAAAATCGATATTTTCGATTCATTATTTTAATGTCTGTGAATTATGAAAATTCACCAAAAACCTATACAAAAGCAAGTGGCCATGTCTTACACTAAGCTGTTGTTACATAATGGACACATTTCATAGCAGTGATGACAAAAAATGGCTAAGAAAAAATTATGCAAACAGGACACAACATATTTGTATGAAGAGAACATATATTTAACTAAAATCATTATACGTAACAGGTATGAAAGTGAATTATATACAAGAAATAAGGATAATAAGTATATATAGATATATTGTCAATATTTGACAAAGCTATTGATGTATCATATATATGCTTAACAATGAATTATTGACAGCTCTAATATCCCAGCAAAAACAAAATGTGCTTTTCTTAATTTATTAGGTTAATAATCAGTAAATAAACAATCATCGGATCAAAACAGTTTTTTCTTTGTTTCATAATATCATAACAAACTATACAATTCACTATAATTATTTGAAAGTCCTACGACTTTGATTTTTCTATATTTTAATTGCCATTTTTGTATATTGTTGAAAAAAATTGTATATTTTTTGCTTTTTCGCAGTAATTACATAAAACTACAAAGTCATACATCAACATGTGAACACCTGATAGTTTACATATGACTCTACACCGGTATCAATGTCATCAAATCAGTTTAAATGATGTAAATCGCGTATTTTCAATCAGGACAAAAAAATCCGACATGACACTCGCCATGTCGGCCAACATGGGCAACAGGAGAAAGGAAACAAATGTGGATTTTTCATGATTCTATACAGATTCTTACATTATTGTCGTTATCTATGCTCTCTAGCAATCTTTCTTTTAACTGGGAAGGACTGTACTGCATCAGTGCGACCAGAAACACCGGAATTTAGGCATATGTGCCGTTTTGGTGTCCGATCCTCTCCCACCAGTATGGCGGACATCCATAAATTGAACAATTTTGTGCAGCGCAGTGGCATCTGGGAAACCTCTCCAATAGCGTGACGTAGACTGACGAAGATAGCCCGAATGAGCGTCGCGCGCAGCAAGTACCACCAGATCGGAAACTTTTGTCAAGGGACGTTACTGATGTATTATTTTAGTCTTTTTTCTAAGTATGGAAAGTAAGTGTTTGAGTCTCTAAATGTACGTGACACAATTGTTTTGTTATAAGGTATCATAATAAGGATAGCACATATGTATAGTAGAATGCGTATATTTACATTTGCATTGAGACTGTAGCTGTAAATTGTACAAATATAGATGGCAGCACATTGAGGATAAGCTTAATTTGATTGGTCAAATTATGGTTTTGTAACGGGGTTTTTGATTGGTCTTTGTAATTAATGGTGGATAAAGTGGATTGCCTCGTGTATCACTAAGAGATTTACACAATTTATTGAAATCCTTTAAAATGGTAGGTTGTCAAGCGTCTCTTTAACACTGTCAATTAACATAATTTTCTCTGTGCAGAAAAAAGCTATCAATTTTTGTTATTTCCGTCTAGTGTCTTCAGTTGCACAGCTTGAAACTTATTTGTCAGTGTTTGTACTCAGATAATTTCGTACCATGAATCAGAATTATATTCTGTTTACTGTTAACTCTTTCCTTGGAGTATCGTAAGCACTTCTGTACTTGTTGACTCCCTCGATCTCATGTTTACATTTGGTGTTCCGCTTCCTGTTGAAAAAATCACACGGAAAAGTACGCGTCTAGGAATATAGGCTATAGTAATTAGATATCATTGTCTGAATAATTCCATACAAAAAATAAAGTAAATACACAAGTTTATGCAGAAAATAACCTCATTTATTATGGAAGATTCCACTACGTCTGTTTTAATTTTATTGATTTTCATTATAAACAATTTTTTTTTGAAAAATTTGCAATAGATATTAAAGGAATATTGATAATTTTCAAATACATCAATTTTTTTCACCTTAACGGTAAAATAATGATAGAAAAATAGAAATATCATGTAACTTTGTTATGTACTCAGGGCTCATCCGGAAGGGCGATTCAGGCGAAAACTTCGCCGTGTATATTTCCATTTCGCTCTCCCAATTGATCAAAGAGAAGTCAACATCGCCGATAAAATCTTAATTCCCAAAGACTAATTACTTGGCGATGTAAAGAGCAGAGATTGTATCCGCCCATTTGACGACTGCTAATTATCATTATCCAATCAGAGCGTCGCTTTATACTACCCTTCTACCTGTATGCAAAGCGATAGACCGCCTACTCTAAACAGTAAATAATGAGAGCATCGGCCCGAAACGGGTATAATTGTGTGACAGTTTTGCGATAGGCGATAATTATAGATTGTTTTTTCCCCGATCATCTAAACACGTGCATATCTTCCCTAATTAATATACACGCGGTGTTTAACCCGAGTAATGGCGATGTGCAATGGGTTTTTCACGGCTATCACAAAACTGTTAGTCAATTAAAAATAATCAATTTCATTAATGATCAGCGACCGGATTAAAAACTTAATTATAGTTTTGAATGATTTCAGTCCGTTAACATGAATTAAAAATTGTTATGTCGCTCACATCATGGCTACAGGGCAAAATGCCCAAACCTAGCAGTAAAAGAAAAACTACGAATCATGATCGGCATGCTACATATCGGTCGTATATCATGTGTACATGTATATAACAACAAATTTTGTCAGGAAAGAAGTGTTCTTATAGTTTCAATATATATATTTGTTCTAATGTCATAAATATGACGCTCATATTAAGATTTATCAATATTGTAAATTTCAAAAAGCATTATTTATAAAGATATTACGAGTTAAACATTTCATGAAAATAAAGGGAGGTAATTAGAAATTTATTTTCTATAATTTCTCAGTCAATTTTTTCAATAAGAAATGAATGTATATAATTTTAGTGATCAAATATAATGTGCACAAATGTTTGCAGTACATATTTTACATATTCTTCGATGTTTGAAAATTGTTTTATAAGCATAATTATATGCACATAAATGTGACATTACAACATACAAGATCTTAAAAGAATTTCTGTAATCATTTTAACAGAACAGACAGATATTGTTCAGCAATATCCAATGCAACTTTATCTTCTAATAAAAGTGAGGAATGTATATAATAAAAAATTAATTTATTCATCATACTTTTTCTTACACATTATTATCAATAAATCTACATGAAAATAAATAAACAAATATTTAGAGAAAGCTTATAAATAGATTAATTGTGTTTATATTATAGTTAAAGGATGTATAGCCATGCATGTTAATGCATACACATTGGGTTCTTTCCCTTCTCCCTATTTTTCGCGTGGAAGTCACTTCTCCCTAAAATTTCCCCCCAGGATGAGCCCTGGTACTTCATTTGGTGTAATTCCCCAGAGCTAAATCCGTAACGTACCGGAAAACGGTGTTTAGCTAGGTTTTTCGAAAAGGTCAATATAAGGTTCATTCCGTTTTTTCTAGTGTATTATATATACAAGTTTTACCCCTGAAAAATACATAGGGGTCTAAACCAGGAGATTGCCGGAATATATATCTTCCAGGTCATACCTTTGATTCTGCCATGCTTTATCCAATTTACGCTTGAAGGACTCGACACTAGTGCTACAAATTATCGTTTGGTCCAGGTCATTCCAGTTGTCGATTGCACGAGCAGGAAAAGCATTTAAGCGTACAGATTTTACACAGCGGGGTTTGGTGAGGCGATACATGTGCCCCCGAGTGGGATTGTCATTGAACGAGAGTAACTTTTCACAGTCAAAATCTTCAAGACCATTAATTAGTTTATACAACTCAATCATATAGTACTGTTTTCTCCTATACAGCATCGTTGGGAGATTAAGTTCTTTCAGTCTTTCAGAATAAGAAAGTCCTTTCAACTCTGGAACTATACGAGTCGCACGTCTCTGAATATTCTCTATGAGTTGGCTATTTTTCTTCGTACTTGGGAACCAAACAATGCACCAGTAGTCAATGATGGATCGTACCAGACTTTTGTACAGTGTTAGAAAAAGTTTCTTGTTCATAAATTGAAAAGATCTCTTAATCAAACCAATGAGTCTGTTACATTTAAAGATCTATTTACCACACTTGCAACATGTTTATTGAACTTTAACGAACTTTCAAAAGTGATTCCAAGGTCTTTTTCTTCTGTGCATATTGGAATTTCAATAGTTTGTTTTTTACTGTCTCTCATGTGATATACATATTCATGTTTAACATTATCAGAGCAACAGATAAGCTTCTAAAGTGAATTGGGTATTACTCCATCATTTCCTTTGGAATTGGGTATTGGCTCCATTTAATTGGGTATTCCAAAACTCAATACCCTATGATTTCAAGATCAATTGGGTATTCAATTATGAAGATATGAATTTATGGTTTCAATATCAATAAAATTTAAACTGTTTTAAAAAGAAAATAGGATTAACAATTTACTAGAACTTTTCACAATTGGTTTATTTTTTATATAAAATGCTCATGTTATATTTCATAATATTTTTAACAAGTTCGTTTTCTGACTGAGTTTTGATTATTTACGACTGTTTTGTTTCAAATCATTTCCCTTTTGTATGACGCCATAATGCTTTCAAAGCGTCTATTGATGCAGCTGGGACCTACTTATTGACGGTCTCCGCAAAATCAACGGTCTCTGTCGGTCTGTAAAGACCGTCGGCTTGAGTAGACAAATTGACGGTCTCATGTTTTATTGATATGGCTAGTCGGTCTTTGGAGACCGCGGACCGCCGGAGACCGTTGTTTAGTTAGCATTAATTCGGGAATATTCGGATAGCATGCATATCGATATAATTTGTCCAAAACTACAAGCATACGACAGATTCATTTTGCGGTGATGAAAATGACAATACGCACAGGTTTTTAAGACAATTGCGTATTTTATTTTTTTTAATGGGTTTTGATACGCATTCTTAAAAAATCAATTGCGTATTTTATAAAATTAATTGCGTAAATACGCAAATACGCACCTTATCTGTTGCTCTGATTATCATACTGTATAAACTTACATTTTGGCACGGAAAACTGTAACAGCCACTTGTCACTCCAGTCACATAATTTCAGCAGGTCTTTTTGAATTACTTGTTGGTCGTTTGGCAAACTAATTGGTAAGTAAATCTTACTGTCATCAGCAAAAAGCTTACAATGCGATTCAAGGCTGTCAGGCATATCATTCATGTATAAGATGAACAGTACGGGACCAAGTACTGAGCCCTGGGGGATTCCGGATGTCACCGGTTGCCAATCCGAGAAGTTGCCATTGATTACAACACGCTGTCTATGACCTGACAGAAAATTTTCGACCCACCTCAGAATCTCATCGTCAAAGCCATACGATTTCATTTTCAAAATAAGTCGTCTGTGTGGAACAGAGTCGAAAGTCTTTTTAATATCAAGGTACACAGCATCAGTCTGTAAACTCACATCAAAGTTTTTTACGAAATCATCAAGTACATCTAATAGTTGCAGAATCCAAACTGACTATTTGAAAATAACTTGTTTGCTTTCATATGTTGCATAATAACATTCCTAACAGATTTTTCACTTAATTTACTTGGAACGCAAGTAAGGGATACAGGTCTATAATTGGAAGGATCACTTTTTTCTCCTTTGTTTTTATATAGTGCACTAATATTAGCTTCTTTCCATAGTGTGGGTACATCTCCTGTTTCAAACGACTTGTTTAAAATTTTACACAAGGGATCACTCAACTGTTTGCATGCTTCATGTAGAATACGAGGGTGACAAGCATCAGGACCCATGGATTTGTTAACATTTAAATTTTTCAGCTGTTTTAAAACTGTTTCACTGTCAAGGTTCCACTAGTTTTGATACAGGAGTATCATTATACCTTGTGTCAAACATGGGCAAAAGTCCTGTAGGCTCTTCCACAAAAACAGAGGCGAAAAATTCATTTAATAGATTTGCTTTTCCTGAAACACTATCAACAATGATCCCATTACTATCCTTCAATTCAGAAATACCTCCCCTACTTTTAGATCTCTCCCTTATGTATCCCCAAAAAGCCTTAGAATTTACAGTCATGTTTTCAGCAATAGATTTTTCAAACTTTCTTTTTGCATTCCTTACAGTTTTTGTGCAATCATTCCTAGCCTTACAGTATATATCAAAATCTCTCCTATTTCTTGTATGCGCATAAGTTTGCCATTTTTTATATTTCCTTTTAACTGATTTCATACAATCACTATCCATCCATTTACTTTTTTTCATCTTTTTAGGATTCACAATGGGTACATATTTTTCTACACATTCACAAATTTTGTTAGAGGAAAACATGTAACTTTCATTTGTCGACATGTTATCGATAATTTCCCAATTTGTATTAGACAATTCAAGCCTAATTGCCTCATAGTCACCTTTATGATAGTTCCTCTTTACAGTATTTGAGTAAACATAGCTGGCATCACAGTCAAGACAAATAAACAAGGAAACATGGTCACTCGCTCCTAAGTTACTGCAATAATGAATAGAATTTACGATTTCTGGCTTGTCAGTTAAACACAAATCTAGAATATTTGATGACTGACGATGCATGTGTCAGGTTGGTCTGTCAATAAACTGGTACAAGAAATTATCCCGCAGACATTAAAGAAATTGGAATACAACACTACCAGTACTATGTGGGGTTGACCAATCCTCCCAGTCTATTGTCGGAAAATTAAAATCACCAATGAGTACAGTGTAAGTAAAATTCATACAAATTGCTGCATCTATTAATGTAAACATATTCTTGGTATTTGTGTCCGTGCTAGATGGGCTTCTATAAATGGCACCAAGTAAAAGTTTTTCTTTAGACTTTAGGTGTAAGATGCACCAACATGATTCTTCAAATTCATAATTATTTAGTACTTCGCAATCTGTGACCGACTGTATTGCGCGTAAATATGCACACCCCGCGACTAGATTTCAGTGTAACACCTCTAGATAAACAGAACCCATTGATCTTAAGCTCGCTGTTACTAATGTCTCGAGAATCTAAATTTTTTGGGTATACTTCTGTTACTATAATTACATCAGGCTGTTTAATGTTTATTTCAACTTCAAGTTCATCTCGTTTATTCATTAAACTGTCCGCATTTGTGTATAAAATAGAAATCTTACCATCAGCTTTTTGTGCAGCCTTTCGTCGCCGTTCCACACGCTGTTTATAAGCCTCATCGCACTGCTTTTTTGTTAGGTCAGATTGGAAATACACATTTTTCAACCTATCACTATCAGATTTGTTAATCTTCTCCTTAGCTAATTTCAAAATGTTCTGTTTCTGTTCAAAAGTCTTACAAATAAACTTCAGCGGTCTGGGTCTCGTACTTTCAGATGAATATTTACCAATCCTGTATGGACCCTCTAGCTCAACAGATTCTGGCCCTTAATTCATGTCATTCTGCAATATTTCATTTATCTTTACGGAATCCTCTTGCATTCATATTTCGCTAGAGCTACCCGTCGATTCTTCGATCCCAAAGCACATAATGTTTAATTTTCTGCTCTTGATCTCGCGTTCCTCCTGAAGTGCTTCTTGCACTTGATCCTCAATACTGCCAACTAACTGATTTGATGATGTACTTGTACCATTTTTAGCTCACCTGTCACAAAGTGACAGGGTGAGCTTTTGTGATCGCTTTTCGTCCGGCGTCTGGCGTCCGTCTGTTGTCCGTCCGTCGTCCGTAAACTTTTACTTTAAATGACATCTCCTCATAAACCACAAGGCCAATTTCATCCAAACTTCACAGGAATGTTCCTTTGGTGGTCACCTTTAAAAATTGTTCAAAGAATTTAATTCCATGCAGAACTCTGGTTGCCATGGCAACCGAAAGAAAAAACTTTAAATATCTTCTTTTAAAAAACCATAAGAGCTAGAGCTTAGATATTTGGCATGAAACATCTTCTAGTGAGTGTCTACCAAGTTTGTTCAAATAAAAGCCCTGGGTCAAAATTGGCCCCGCCCCGGGGGTCATTGATTTTCCCTATATGCATATAGTGAAAACTTAAAAAATCTTCTTTTAAAGAACTCAAAGAGCTATGGCTAACATATTGAGCATCAAACATGTTCTAATAGGTGTCTATCAAGTTTTGTTCAAAGAAAAGCCCTGGGGTCAAAATTGGCCCCGCCCCAGGGGTCATTGATTTTCCCTATATGCATATAGTAAAAAACTTAAAAAATCTTCTTTTTAAAGAACCAAAAGAGTTAGAGCTAAGATATTTAGCATGAAACATGTTCTAATAAGTGTCTACCAAGTTTGTTCAAATAAAAGCCCTGGGGTCAAAATTGACCCCGCCCGGGGGGGGTCATTGATTTTTCCCTATATATGCATATAGTAAAAACTTAAAAATCTTCTTTTAAAGAAACTCAAAGAGCTATGGTTAAGATATTTAGCATCAAACATGTTCTAATAGGTGTCTACCAAGTTTGTTCAAATAAAAGCCCTGGGGTCAAAATTGGCCCCGCCCCGGGGGTCATTGATTTTCCTTATATGTGTATAGCAAAAACTTAAAAAAATCTTTTTTGAAAAAACCCAAATAGCTAGAGTTAAGATATTAAGCATGAAACATCTTTTAGTGAGTGTCTACAAAGTTTGTTCAAATAAAAGACCTGGGGTCAAAATTGGCCCTGCCCCGGGGTCATTGATTTTCCTTATATGTGTATAGCAAAAACTTTAAAATCTTCTTTGAAAAAACCCAAATAGCTAGAGTTTAGATATTAAGCATGAAACATATTCTAGTAAGTGTCTACAAAGTTTGTTCAAATAAAAACCCTGGGGTCATAACTGGCCCGGCCCCAGGCGTGTCATTGTTTTTAACTATATGTGTATAGTAAAAACTTTAAAAAAAATCTTCTTTTAAATAGCCCAATGAGCTAGAGCTTAGATGTTTAGCATGAAACATTTTCTTATGGGTGTCTACCAAGTTTGTGCAAATAAAAGCCCTGGGGGTTGGGGCGGCCTATATACAGGTGAGCGACCTCAGGGCCATCATGGCCCTCTTGTTCAATTCTTTCAAGGTTTCTAGAATTTCTAACTGGGTCTGCTCAAGTTTCGCAACACGACAAACCATCTTCTTCAAACCTGGCAAACACGTTCTACAATGTATGCAAAACCAAACAATACCCGGCCTCATCTTCAGCAATTGCTTTGTATGTACGTTTATCTGGGACCTCGGTGCATGGAAAACAAAACCAATTGTCGCAATAGTCACATTTTATGGCATCATCACCTTCAAAAATGAAGATATTACATTCAACATAGGGGTCACTTGGTTCATGTTTACTGGTTCGAGTTTGCTTATTATGTGATATTCTATCTCTGGTATTTGGTCTACGTCCTTGGTCATTTTTGGCGCCCTGAGGCTTTTTCACAGATAATGACATTTTGCTACACATAACAAATTTACACTCTATAAATGTAACACTTTATATATCTAGGGTTAAAAAACAGTTATTGCAAACAAAAAAGATTTGTTATTCTCCTTGATGCATTTAGATTTTCGAAAAAAAATAGCCGGCCGATTTTGTTTTCCAAAATTGTTCAACCGGAAGCATCCAGTAAAGCATGTTGAAAGATTTTCGTTTAAGAAGAGAAAAGAATAGAATGACTTATTTCCAATCAAGGGTCATATGACTCATGAAGGTCCACAAGTTACTATGCCCATCATGACTGGTAGAATTTTAAGTGGTAATAATTAGTTTGGTGGTTGGTAAACTGTCGAGCAGCTATTAAACCTTTCAGTTAGAATGTTGATCCTTAATATAATCTCTATTCATTACATTTATTACACATGGTCTTGTTTTATTACAGCCAGTAAGGAAGAAAAAGCAGTTCATAGATAAAAAGAATGCTATTACATTCCACCTTGTTCATAGAAGTCAGAAGGACCCACTTCAGGCAAGTGAAGAGGCCTCAAAGCATGTTCTTGTTCCAGAAGGGGAGAAGGTAACATTTTATATGTAATTTACAGTTCATTCTTTAAAATATGGTGGCTGATATGGTACATTGCAAGTTGCGTTGTCGATGGTGACAACGCAACCTATATCTTAATTGTCTTGTCGCTACAGACAGGACAACAAGAGGACAGCATGCCTTGTCGAAGCAAGCTAAACTGCGCGTTGTCGTGTGGCATGATGTCACCCTGTCGCTTGGCTTATAAGCTAATCCTTTGATTTGAACCAAGTGACAATGAGACATTGCGACAACACGCCATTTGGCGTATATATTGTTAGCGACAAGACGAAAGTCCGACAACACACTGTTTGGTGCTTTGTCCTGTTGTCGCTAGCGCCAACACGACGCATAAAAGCTTTCTAAATCAGCCACCATATTAAAAGCACATTTTATTTATTGTTTAATGATTTAAGTCTTTCAAGTCGAAATTTTTTCAGCTTGATGCTGTTGATTATTTAATAACTTGATAAGTACAATTTGATGTAAATTTTTCACTTCCAATGCATCATTTTCATTTAAATTGGTTATATTGCTACCTATTAAATATATTGAAATTGCAGTTGAGATATTAAATATAAATTAGACTTGAATTTTCATACAATGCTCAGAGTAATCTATTTTGTATCTTTTTAGGCTTAAAAGTTCTTATCTGGTGATCTCTTTTTTTTCCACAGGATGCTGGTGTTGGTAACCCCCAAGAAGAACAGAGAAAGTTTGGCGTGTTCTTCGATGATGAGTATGATTATATGCAACATCTGAAGGACTTAAATGAGATCTATCAAGTAGAGATGGTAGATAGAATTTACAAGAATGAGGATAAACCAGTCAAGGTGAGTCACTCGTGCTTAATGTAGGTTTTAAGTGAATATGTTGGAATACTTGAGGGTTACTTGAGGGTATCTTTTACTTAGCAATAGGAGGCTTGCTTTACATCTGAGCTTTAATAATTTGGTGATAATTTGAACCCATAATTTGACGCCTGTTAAACATTCAGAATGACAGTTTTGTGGAAACTACAATGAATAAATAATTGAGGTTAATTGGCAAAGTTGATATAATTGAAACAACAGGGAAGAATATTAAAATAACATTAATTACCATATGCCAAGCAATGATGATACTTCTGGACAGAAATGATTCATGTTGATAACAAATAAATGTCTGAACCACTGAGCATTGGCTGTTGCTACATTACTTTGAACTGATCTCTTTTGTACTGAAACATGTTCTTTGAATATGACATTCATGTATGTAACTGAGCATTTTAGGGTTATGATTAATACAATATAATAAATATAATCACCGACATTTTAGTAAAGATATGATGATAAATTTAGACAGAAATGTTCTATGTTGATAACATTAAATGTCTGAACCACTGATTATCTGTTACACAGTGTTTCATCAATAGATTCAATGTTTTATATTTACATGTTACATGAGTATAATGCAGTGATTAGTAACAACAAAAATGTTTTTCTTAATCACATTTAATTTTTGAACTGTAATTGATAATGACATGTACATTGTTTTACAATGATATTTAGCTTAACAATTTACTCTTATTTTGTCAATATTTCATTTATTTTTTCAATTGTATTTTTCATTGACATTCAAATTGAAAAAAGTATTTAATGAATAGAGTGAATAGTATTAAATAATAAGAATATTATTTTGCAAAGACATGAAATATATGATGATAAATTTAGACAGAAATGTTTTATGTTGATAACATCAAATGTCTGAACCACTGATTATCTTAGCATAACATTGTACTGATCATAAAAGGAAATAATGTCTCATATGATGATAAATTTAGACAGAAATGTTTTATGTTGATACATCAAATGTCTGAACCACTGATTATCTTAGCATAACATTGTACTGATCATAAAAGGAAATAATGTCTCATATGATGATAAATTTAGACAGAAATGTTTTATGTTGATACATCTAATGTCTGAACCACTGATTATCTTAGCATATCATAAAATGAAATAATGTCTCATATGATGATAAATTTAGACAGAAATGTTTTATGTTGATAACATAAAATGTCTGAACCACTGATTATCTTAAAATATATATAACATTGTACTGATCATAAAATGAAAATGTTTTAAGATAAAATATATGATGATAAACAGGCCTAGACATAAACTTTTGAATCAGGTTGTCCTGTCGGGCAAGTAGTTTTTAAAACTACTTGCCCTGACCTAAGACTTACTTGTCCTGACCTAAAAATGGTAAAAATGTATAAAACAGAAAAACAAACAAGCTCATACATTAATACTTCTTGTATTAGGTAATGTTAACATAAGGCAATAAACTGGACATAATGTTTATGAAATTGATTGTTAGTTAGACACAAATATTTTTTGTATTTAGTAGTTTTTCTAAAACATCGGTTCATCTGTTTATTTAATGTGAATATACTACGGTCATGTACATTTGTTGATATAGGAAACGGAAGGAAAAATATAAGCATGCGCCGCGGTAAGGAAATTCCCCGTTCAATCATCAAGTCAACAGCCGTAAATGAGTCTTCGTTGACTAAGTTCATAATGTTGTTATATTAGATTAAACAATAAATCATTTTAAATGCAAAAACTTTATTTAACAATTATATTTAAAGATCAATATGATTAAAATTACATATTTTCAATGATATCTTTACATGCAAACATCAAAATTTAAACAACAGCATAACCCGGGAATTACCTTGTACAAAATTAGATATAGTCTATTATTAGAACGGGGAATTACCTTACCGCGGTGCATGCTCATATTTTTGCTTCCGTTTCCTATATCAACAAATGTACATGACCGTAGTATATTCACATTATTGATAATGATTCATGGTGTATTTTTGTTTTAAAGATGTTTATAAATGAAAAGATGTTATTTCTATTCATTTTGTACATGCATTTTGTCAATGATGCTTTTTATTTTCACTTGCCCTGTCGGACAAGTGCTTTTCAAAATAACTTGCCCGGACCAAACTTTTAGTTGTCCCGGGCAGTCGGACAACTGTTAATGTCGAGCCCTGATAAATTCAGACAGAAATGTTCTATGTTGATACATCAAATGTCTGAACCACTGATTATCTTAGCATATCATAAAATGAAATAATGTCTCATATGATGATAAATTTAGACAGAAATGTTTTATGTTGATAACATTAAATGTCTGAACCACTGATTATGGTACATGTATTGAACATGTTCTGATTGTGTAAAGTTTACGGGTATACTGATATATTGCATTATATTGAATAATACTTGTAAGTTAGAAAAACCCGCCATGGAAATAAACTTTGCTCGTTTTCCAATCCATTTAAAGCTTGTACAGATAGATAATGTTAAAAATCTGGACCACTGATCTTAACATTACCTAAATGAATCTTTTATTGTCATAATACATTGACAAAATGTTACAGTACTTTACACTGACATTTAAGTTAAGATATGATGATAAATTTAGACAGAAATGTTTATGTTGATAACATAAAATGTCTGAACCACTGATTATCTTAAAATATATATAACATTGTACTGATCATAAAATGAAAATGTTTTAAGATAAAATATATGATGATAAATTTAGACAGAAATGTTCTATGTTGATAACATTAAATGTCTGAACCACTGATTATCTTAAAATATATAAATCACTGTACTGGTCATAAAATGAAAAAATGTTTCCAGATAAAATAATATGATGATAAATTTAGACAGGAATGTTTTATGTTGATAACATTAAATGTCTGAACCACTGATTATCTGTACAGAAGTTTACATTGAAATGCTAAGGAAGAAAAAAGACAAAGTACTATGTTTTCCAGTGTCATTAAAATTACAATTACATTTGATATATTCACATGCATAATGTAACATTTAACTTGTGTACGACTAATTATTGATGGATTTATTGGGTTAAAAATGAAGTGTACATATATTTTACATAAGCATGGAAGTTAAATGATGATAACCAATAAATAAAAATTATTCTCTTTTCCTGAAAAATAATTTTGCAGAGTATATCCATAATATATAAAACATTAATTTTGTAGGACTTAGGCTTCTTTTTGAAATTGGAATTTTTTGGAAAGATGTCTGCCATGTGTAGTAACTTTGAAACTTTCAAAGCTTCTCGAGCACACAAAATTGGTCTAACATGTTTGCAGTTATTAAAATACACATAAAAGTAAAATTTGAGGTTTCCATTACAGTTATAGCTTTTATGCTTCACTTGAAACAGACATAAACATTTATGTCTATCACGTTGTTTATCACAACCATTATAGTTAGAACTTACTAGATAAATATCAGTTTTAAACTTTATTAACTAGATACCATTTTCCTTTTATGTCATTTTTATAGACCTTACTTTCTATGATAAATTTTGCAACACTGCCTCCGTGGTCGAGGGGTTAGAGTCGATGACTTCTAATCCAGTAACCTCTCTGGCGTGGGTTCGATCCCCGGGAGATGCTTTGGTAGTTTAGCACGGAGGAAGGTAGTCTAGTACTCACTACTGGTGTAACTCTCCAGGAACGATGGTTAGGAAACTACCCGCCTATATGACTGAAATACTGTTAGGAAAAGGCGTAAAATGAAACAAACAAACAAAGCAACAGTTGATCACAGGATTAAAAAAAACAACTTAACATTGCATGATTGCAGGCAACTGTTCTACTTGCAATAGCTACCAGTTTACCAGTGTGTTTATATAGGATTCTAATTTAAGTCAATGTTTACAAAAAAAGTTGCACTGGTTTAAAATTACAGCAGGATTAAAGTGTAAATACTTAAGTTACTAAAATGGCTTCTCTTCAAGCAAGACATATTATTTACTTAGTTTCTTAATAAATGTATTCATGCGTCTGTGGTGAAATTTTATCTTTTGATGACAATTTATTTTTAAAATTTTCCAACCAGCATAATGTGGGATAGCAGCTTTAAGTTTCAGTTGACACAGAGTTGGTGATCATACTGATCAGAAGGTTATTTACAACTTGTCAATGAGACAGATAATAATGAGCAACATAATGATGATAATATCAGACTGAAAACTAAATGTTGATAAAACAATAATGTCTGAACCACTGACTGTTGCTGCATAATAATATACTATCTATTATTTTTTCCATTTCTTCATTGAAATTTCATGAACAAATCTGTAATTGCAGAGTTCTGGATTGAAATTGCCATCAAGTGTTCTACCCTCCGAGTTTGAGAAACCAGTTGGTCTCCTAAATGAGGCTGTTCCTGTAAGAGGTAAATATATTATACCAATACTGACCAATATCCATGTACAAAAAAGGTTGTGATAATTATACCCCCGCACAACAAAGTTGTAAGGGGGGTATACTGGAATCAGCTTGTCCGTCCGGCTGTCCGTCGGTTTTTTCTTGTCCGCCCAATAACTTAAGATTCCTTTGACCCTTAGTCTTCATATTTGGCATGGAGGTTAGTCATGATTAGTAGATGACCCCTATTGATTTTGAGGTCACTAGGTCAAAGGTCAAGGTCACAGGGGCCTTGACTTCAAAAAGCTTGTCCGCCCAATAACGTAAGATTCCTTTGACCTACAGTCGTCATATTTGGCATGGAGGTTAGTCATGATAAGTAGATGACCCCTATTGATTTTGAGGTCACTAGGTCAAAGGTCAAGGTCACAGGGGCCTTGACTTCAAAAAGCTTGTCCGCCCAATAACTTAAGATTCCTTTGACCTTGACCCACATTCTTCATATTTGGCATGGAGGTAAGTCATGATTAGTAGATGACCCCTATTGATTTTGAGGTCACCAGGTCAAAGGTCAAGGTCACAGGGGCCTTAACTTAAAAAAGCTTGTCCGCCCAATAACTTAAGATTCCTTTGACCCACAGTCTTCATATTCGGCAAGGAGGCAAGTCATGATTAGTAGATGACCCCTACTGACTTTGAGGTCACCAGGTCAAAGGTCAAGGTCACAGGGGCCTTGACTTCAAAAAGCTTGTCCGCCCAATAACTTAAGATTCCTTTGACCCACAGTCTTCATATTTGGCATGGAGGTTAGTCATGATTAGTAGATGACCCCTATTGATTTTGAGGTCACTGGGTCAAATGTCAAGGTCACAGGGACCTTGACAAAAAAAGCTTTTCTTCTCAATTGCTAAAGAATGTCCTGTCCGCAATGTATTGATTTTGACATTTTCACATTTGAAGCATGTAGAATACATAACTTAGCAATGCACTGGCTTAGTAACCTCAGATTTGGCAGGGAGGTTGTCCTTGAGCTCTAAATGGCCACTGTTGATTCTGACAAAGTGGTATGCGGGGGTATTCACGCCATGATAGTGGCAGTTCTAGTTATTCTTAACTTGAAAAAGTACATATTGCTGTTCTGAAAGAGAATTTCAAAGGAACTATACATATTAAGTTTCATTTGTTAGAACGCGCAAATTAAAGTTGGAAGTACAGAATTGAAGAATACACTTGTGATTTCTTGCAAATTTTGCAGGCTCTTAAATCTTTGGTTTTCGTGTATTTCACTTTCGTTTGGAAAAGGAAGCATAACATTGAAACTTTTATTAGGGTTTATTACATCAATAATACTTGTGTGACAGATAATGGACATATATTTGTATCATTTACTTAGGTCCTCAACCAGACTGGGACCCTGATATAGTTGAGGCCCTGGATGAAGATTTCGACTTTGATAATCCAGACAATCAGTTAGATGATGACTTTATGCAAATGGCAAATGCTGAAAATGTTCAGGGACATGATGATGAAGGGTGAGCATTCACTTATGTCATTGTTATTGTTACTGTTTTAAAATATAATTATATACTTCATTACAGAACTTTGAGAAACCACACATCAATTCCCTTAGATTTATTAGTTCAAAACATTGAATATTTTGAAATATACTAGGATAATAAAGCCTGTTAATTAGTAGCTCCACTGTCTTTAGCAGTTGTCATGACCCTATCATAGTTTATTTTTGCTCAATTATGCACGTTTTGACTAATAAGCTATCATATATTTTAACTTGTTCAGTATCAAAAGCGAAATTCATTTCTAAAGGGCAGATAATCCTCAAAGTCACTCCACGTTTGACTTTAAATATTTTCTTCTTTTTTGATAAAAGGTGTTAAAATTCTTAAATATATATTAATTTGACAGGAAAATTGGCCTTGATTTTGGTCCATGTATATATTTGACATTCCTTTGTTTTTAATATTGTATGTCTTTCTTTTGTTCAATCATTCTGGTTTGATATATTTCAGACATGATGGTAGTGACCTTGAAACGGTGAGTGACCTTGGATCAGATATGGCAGTGATGTCTGATAATGATGACTTTGATGCAGACTTTAAATATGGTGATCAAATGTTCATGGACGAGGAGACAAAGTCAAGATTTACTAATTACTCCATGTCTTCTAGTGTGATAAGGAGAAATGAGGGACTCACTTTACTGGATGATAGATTTGAAAAGGTAAATTTGGTCATTTCGCAGTCATTTCATGCCCCTCTTTTCATTTGATGCTGAAGATATGCTTAATTGGAAGATAATTAAACAGATAGAACAATTCTTTCATGTTGATCAACTGTTAGTAGTGAAACTGGCAATTTAAGGCAGAACTTAAAGTCTCTTTATGCCATTTCAGTCTTTCTCTGTGAACCGTTTTAAAGAAATATTTTATTGATAAAAATAATTTGAAGGGGTTGGGGGCACTGTTTTATGATACTAGATAATTTCACTATAACACAAATGACAAGGTATCAACATTTCACCATTGTTTTGCATAATTACAGCTGTATGAAGAATATGATGATGCTGAGGTTGGAGCTCTAGACCAGGAAGACATTGATGGATCAATTCAACAAGGAAGTGCTGTATTAGATGCACTCATGAATGAATTTGATAAAACGCAATACCAAAAGTAGGATTTTAAATGTTTTTCATACATATATTCTTGTTACACAGATATTAAACTCTGACATGGACCCTTGCATTTATACCAATTTTAAGAAAAGTAACATTCTTTATCAAATGCTGAAGTTACACCAGTTTACATTACTTTGTGTACCGATACATTTTTACGTTGGTTCATTGGTAAAATGCCACGCTCATACTGATCTTTGCAAAGCAGACATTATTCTGTTAAATAATTTGAAAAATGCTGCTTAGAGGTCACATATAGAACAGAGTTGTACAAGTTAGTGACGATATAGTGTGACAGCTTTTATAAATGATGCATAACTAAGACATCTAATGGTGAAAAACCAGGTGAAGTATGTCTAAGGAACCACTGATATAAACTAAAGCTGTTTGTCCCAACTATAAAACATGCCAGTTTGAGCCTAAAGTATGCACAGAGGACATGCAGGTTCATTTCCAATAGAGCAAGTTGAAAGTTGGCACATGGCCATTAAAATTAGTGTGAATTTTGTAGTGTTAACCATTACAACAACTTGTTCTAGAAAACGTTAGCAAAAGAAGGAAATAGTGAACTAATACTTTAAAAAGTTAAAATGTAAGAATGTTTACCTCAAAATAATGTAAACCTTAGTCGAGATAAAAACGAAAGTGTTTGTTTGCAGGGCTCTCTATTTTGGGGGGTTCAGTACCTGTATGTGTAGGAGGGGGAAATTTTCTTGTTGATTTCTTTTGTATGGGGTAATTTTGGCAATTTTTTCTGCACATACATATAATAATGACAACAATACTATTGTTGATTATTAATAAAATATTTTATTTTGCTAAAAGCAAATTTCAGTAGACCTGGTTTGCATAGATTCTGTTTTTATCTGCAAGCTTGATAATAATCACCTGTTTTAAATGATGCATAACTAAAGACAACTAATGGGTAAACATACCCAAATGAAGTATGTCTAAGGAACCACTGATACAGGTGACAGGTTTTTCAGCAAATATGATGAATATTACAATATCATTTAATCTATATCGTTATACAAGTATCCATTACAATTTGCAGAAAATTGAAAGAAGTTGTTGATGAGAAGGAAAGTGCACATGTTGATGTCTGTGATTCTGAAGACTCGGACAACTCTGATACAGATCTCATTACTGTTGAGGTAAAACCAGACGAGAAATGGGATTGTGAATCCATACTCAGTACATACTCAAATCTCTACAACCATCCAAAACTCATCACAGAACCCAAAAAGGTAATTTAATAGTATTTCTGTATATTTCTTGTGTATGGTTAAGCTGTTGGAATAGTCTGAAAAAAGGGAGAAAACTAATGGACACAGTTTTATTGAGTCTTTTCATGAGAAATATGGAAAGTGCAACATATTTTATGTCCCCCTGACACTGCTTACTCAGTATTCAATCCTCCATACTTAAAATATTGGAATTAGTGATCCTGAAGGATCAGAAAAATATAACAATTACTTTTTAAGGGTCAATTTATGTTGATTTTCTCACTGAACCCTTTCTATAATAAAAAATTAATTTAAAATTAATTTTTCGGGAGTTTTCATGTAAACATATAGGCAGAATTAAAACAACTTAGCAAGTTTAAAGAAATTCTATTGAACAAATTTAATTTTGCCTATATGTCTATATAAAAACTCTCAAAAACGTATGTAAGAATAAGAATTGTTTTAAGTCTTTCAATAACTGGCTATAGTGATAGTGTCAAAATCACATGTAACATTGTAAAGAGTGAAGTACTATTTTGAATTAATTTAAGGTGAGGAACAGAGAAGTTCAGTTAAAAGGAAAACATGGTTTACCAGCTGATGCCATAACAACCCGAGGACTTACAGAACGCGAGATTACCATTGAAATGAATCGGAGAAATAGAACAGATAAAGCCAGTACTTACAGACCTAAAGATGAAACACCTGAAGAAAAGGCAGAGAGGAAAAGAGCATTAAAGGAAGAGAGAAAGGTTTGTATTTGTTGATGAAATATGTATTTTAGAGGACTTAAGTGTTTGGCTAATCTACTTTTGTAGTTTTTTAAGCCAAATCAAAGTAGAATTTAAGCACAACTCTTAGAGAGGGGACTGTGATACCTACTCTACTTGCATCAGTTTTTGTGAAGATTCTGCTTACAATTAATTTCTCATTAAAACTGAAAGTATTTGCTTAAAACTTCACACATTTACTAATGGTTGTAATTATAGACCTATATACAAAACCCATGTTGCTTGCAGAAACTGATACTGAATTTTTCTTTCCATAAAATGAAAAAATCCTGATTAAGGTATCCTTTTGTTAACTAAATAATTCCAGCAACTCTTTTGTTAAACTAAACAAACAAGGCTGAATCTTGTAGAGTGCACTGTCCATATGACAGCTCTTGCTGCTAGTCTTATAATGTAATGGACACTGTTAAATGATGCATAACATAGACAACAGAATATAAAGTCTAATGATGCTTGTCTAAGGAACCACTGATACAGTGTCCTAGTAGCTACATTGTTATATCTTCAAAATAATTGCCATTTGTACAGCAAACAAGTAAGATTTTCATAAAACAATTTGCCCATCAATTAGCCATTACCCATTATGAACACTGATTATTTTGGGCAGTTGCTTATCAATATCTTGATGACTGATTTATTGAGTAATATTTATAATAGCAAAATAAAAGAGAGAAATAGTTACATTTAAAATTATGGATAGAGATATCATATAGACAGAAGTTTGAGAAAAAAGCATTGTTGCCATTTGTTAACATACCTTTCTGTGCTACCATATAAAGGCTTGTGTGCACCAACAGTATAGTTAGGCCAGCCTTTACTACATTTACACACTGGCGATCCATTTCATTGGTTGACATTGGTTGTATTTTCACATCTAGATTAAAATATCACCTTAAACAAATCAGTTGTTTTCGTTAGTACATCTGTTGACTCTGATAAAAATGAAAATCCTGTGTATTGTTTAACAAAACTCTGTGTTGGTTGCTCAAGGTTTAGATTTCGATATTTCAACTCCTTAAAATGCCAATATTATATGTGTGTATTGAAAGCTAAGTTATTTCATGAAACAACTTGAATATTGTAATAGAGTTAAGAAGATAATGTCATAGATGATGTATAACACAGACAGCAGATATATATAATGATGATGCTTGTCTAAGGAACCACTGATATGACAACTTCTCATCTTAGTGCAATAGCTGATTAACTCCTATTAAATTTAGAAGGACTGCGCTATATTCAGTTACTGCGCTAAGTTGAAAAACTTCTCATCCACTCCTATATACTGTATAACCCTAATGCTGTTTTTTCAAGTTAATACTGATCAAGCCATTTTGTTTTATAAAAATAAAAATCATCTGACTGGGTTTGTGTTCAATAATCTATTGTATAATTGCTTCATTTAATTGAATAGTTCTACAATTATTTTGTAATATTTCCTTTTCCCTTTTTTTTCTAAAATATGTAATGTCTAGTATTTACATTCTTGACTACATATTTATAACATATTTATTTATGTGTCATGTATGTTTGAAAACAATTTATACAAGCTAACAGTTTCTCTCGGCTGTTGGAGATGTTATTGATTATGGAAAATGTCACCAATCACCAAGAGATTTGATCATGGTTTATCTATACATGGCATGTTTGTAATTGATGAAAATTCACATGTTATCTGCAGATATTCCCATGGATGTTATACAATTGTTTGTACTTGATAAAAAGATACACAATGTAATAAATTTCTGATGCTCATCAAAAGGCAGTCTTATTGAAAATGGAAATGTTAATTTTAGTAGAATGAGCATGATTTTGCCCCAATTGTTTTCAATTTTATGGTCTAATACATGTTTGTGATAAAAACCTTCGTGACTGACCAAAAAATGTAAAAATATTTGTCAGAATATCATTTAAGTTTAATTGATAAAGAGAGCAGGGTAGACTTCTTATATTTTAGGCAGTTGTTATATTTTATTCTTAACTTGTTTCATTATCAATTATGGGTCAATGACTGTTATTATAGTCAAGCTTTTTAAATATAATGCTAAATCAGCCCTACTTGACGGTGAAAAATTAAGCATAATGTCACTTAAAAAGTATTTTGTAATATTATTTAAATATTTGAATAAGTTCAATTAAATGTTTTAAATCATTACACATGATGCATAACTAAGACAGCTTATGGATAATACATCCACATGAAGAGGCTTGTCTAAGGAACCACTGATCTGTACTTGACGGTGAAAAATTAAGCATAATGTCACTTGCAGCCATGTACAAGTTCAATAGAATCAGTATTGTTCTCAACCATGTTAAATGACCTCTTTATTTCACACCAACATTGTTTTGACAGAACTTTGTTACTTCAATTACAGTAAGGATTTGATTTTGATATGGATTTTGATCTCTTGAAATGAAACCAAGGTTATATAAGGTGAGATATGGGTTTAATATGAACCTTTTAGACTCCTGGAAATGAAATAAGGCTATAAGGGGTGTGATATGGATTTTTTGGACTCTGGAAATGAAAATGAGGCTAAATTGATAACATTGGGTCCAATAATGAATTTTTTTGGAGCATCCCATAGTTCAAATGCTGAAAGTGAATTGGTTACATTTATATGATGTGAAATAAAAAGTAATAAGTTTTGTATCTTCTGGTAATATAATACTTGCTAGCCATATTTTACAAATTTTGTGTTTTATACAGAAAAAGTCAACAATGATTATAAAGCAAATAACTGTTCACATATACACAGCCATATAACCTGTCAAATTATAATGCTGTAAAATTTGTTCCTATCATTAATTTGAAATGAAAATTGATTTGAAAACTTACAGCAACCTTGTATTTATATGAAATATTGACATTACACAATAGTTCATGAAAATTGATGTTACAAACATGTAGCATTTGCAGTGATGGTAATTCATAAATGATGCATAACTATGACAGCTAATGGGTAGAAATATCCATATGAAGTATGTCTAAGGAACCACTGATATGAATATATTTAATGAAAAAAAAATCCATCTTCATTAACTTAAATTGGATACTTAATTTGCATATCATTTTGACTTATTTGCTAGTTGTCCTGCATTGTTGAGTGCATTTATTCAGATAACTGTTTACGTTAAGGTGATGTGTTTACTGATTTATTATGCAACATCATAGAGAATTTCAGTTAAAGAAAATTTGTACCTTTACTTTCCTGTCATTATTATGTACCATCAAACGTATACAAGTAAAGATGGATATAGGCCTATCATAAAACTTGTGTAATTTAATAAATGTTTACAATATTTCAGGAAAGAAGGCAAGAGAAGAAAATGAACAAGAAAGCATTTACAAAAGAGAAAATTAGACAAGATAAAGAATCATTGAACTTGAACCAAAATTTAAAAGGATTGAAAATTGTGTGATATCCTTATAATTGATGTAGTTGGCAATATATAAGTTCATGACACCCAAATCATGTTTTCTGGCTGCAGCTTCAAGACAAGATATAATTAACAGTAGCTTTGGTTGGGTACCCTGTCTATTCTAGAACGCTTGCAGGGAAACAAGAAGCAGGTCATTTTGTGAAATGAAAAAGATGGTGGTTGATAAATCACTGTAATAATTGTTTAATCTCGAGTCATGTTTAAGGAATTGATGTTGGAGAGGTTTCCTAAAATAATTTGACTTAATTTTGCAATGATTTGCTTTGTGTTTTTGGCATTTTGAAGAGGCTGAAAATGTGCAGATGATTTAAAATATTGCAGACAAGTTTATTACTTAAAAAAAGAGAGCTGAACATTGAGGATTCTGATCATTGTTAGTGAATGTTTTAATGTTTTATTACTGTTATATTGATTCGAATATGTAGATTTTACATGATTTGTTAAGTGTTATTTCGATATCTTCAGAAATTCAAATAATAAGAAACAAATTGTTTTAGTAACCAAGCCCTCTCACCATGTTTTGATTTTAATAAATTAAAATTGTTATCTGTGATACTTATAGTATATATTAAAAGTAAAAATACAGGTTATTGTTTTGTTACATCATTTAGAAGAATAAAGAAATACAGAGCTACCAGAACGTTTACAGAAGAGAGGAAGAAAGTATAAATTAAAATAAAGCAGTTGCAGATTTTTGAGGTATTGATGTAAAAGAAATGTCCAAATTTATACATTTCTGAAGTCCAAACTAACTTGTCAAACAGACTGTACAATATTTTTTGTGACCTGCACAAATCTTTGTATGGAGGGATATAAGTGTAATTTCATACACTTATTCACCACCATGAGACCTAGTGTTGCAAGTCTTTAGTTAATGTTATTTATCACTGGAAACTGCTCTGGTAGGTAGCGCTCTGGACTGTGAATTGGTTAGATTTCCAGACGGTGCAGGTCACTCGGGATTGATCATAAGATCTTTTCTACAGTTAATGCACTGCAGCTCTGCTTTGACCTGTACAGAAGTAACTAGCAGTTTCTTGCAAAACGGAAGGCATCAAGCACTGGTAAAATGCTTGCCCAGGAGCAATGCAATAGCGTCACTGCTCTGGTGAATTCAATGTGGCCAGCTGCCATGATCTTAAGGGTAAACACCCACCCTAAAATTTTCCCGAATCATGCCTGAACCCTAAGCAAGTACACGTAACATGATGGCCCTAAAATTGCTATACTGAATATATTACAAGGAACAAGTAATATTGTAAACTATTAACAAAAGCAGATATAAAACCTTAAACTGATATCACAAAGTTCATATTTGTATCTGAAATAGTGTCAAACATTACTGGTTGCTATATCTAAGGGAAAACAACAGTTCCAAAAGATGTGTACATATTAGGAAAATAGGGATGGCAACGAGTACCAAAATCAATACTCGAGTACTCGGTCATTTTTCCGATCGAGTACTTGGTTACTCGGATGATTTCCAATAATCTTCAAAGTTTAATCACACAATATCAACACCGTCTGCAGGCTACTTTCGGTTTCTATTTAAATTCATAGAATTCGTATCTACAATTAGGACTGCAAGGGAGGTAACTTAGAAAAAACCAAAAAACAAATTAAATCAACAGCATAATATTTTACAACGTTTAATAAATCCATATCAAGTTTAAATCATGTGTAACAGTTCATATATTATTTTATCTTCTAGAAATAATATAGCCTAATCGGCGGCAATGAATATGTCTAGCAAATACGTAACGAATATAAACATCATTTTTTCCGAATAATCGAATATCAATTTTGTTAACCGATATTCGGACGTTCGATCGAGTACTCGGTTAATCGAGTACTCGTTGCCATCCCTAAAGGAAAATCAATGGCCCCCATGGGGCGGAGCTAATTTTGACCCTAGGGCTTTTATTTGAACAAACTTGGTAGACATTCACTAGAAGATGTTTCATGCTAAATATCTAAGCTCTAGCTCTGGTTTTTTTTTAAAAGAAGATTTTTGAAGTTTTTACTTTGGATTGCCATGGCAACCAGAGTTTTTCATGGAATTAAATTCTTTGAACAATTTTTTAAGGTGACCTTCAAAGAAACTGAAGTTTGGGTGAAATTGGCTTAGTGGTTTAAGAGGAGCTGTCATTTAAAGTAAAATTTTACAGACGGACGCTGGACAAATTGTGACCATGTCACTTTGAGAAAATGGTTCTGAAACATAAAGACTGCCATTACTTACTAAATTTTGTATTTTCCATGGCATAAATTAAAAAAGAAAACACTGAAATGTTTAAAAGAAATTAATAGCTTTATTAGTCTGCTTATTACTCTACAATAACAACATGGATGCAAACATGATAAAATATTGATACCCTCTTCCAGTTTTGGGTGGAAACTAATAAATCTTCAATTTTGGTTATGAATATTGAAATATTAGTCTTGTTTAACACCTAGCTGGCTGGCGGAATGCAATCTATTGCAGACCCTGATCAGCCAGCACATCCATGCCATCTGATCACAGTCTGCATTATTCAACAAGTATATACAAATGTATTTTAAAAAATTTCCATAAAACTGATAGATTTGTTCAGCTTGAAAGATGGACATGTTCATTGGACAAAATGTTCAAAACTTAATATATTCTGATATCTTTAAAGGCACATTATGTCTTTAAAACAAGTTTTTCTTTCTTTAGGCAAATACGAGTTTTATAATGTTTACATAATTGTTTTAGAGCATGTTACATGCTAATCATCTTAAGAAAGACGTGCTGAATATTAAATTATATGACATAAAATTAACAAGATCTATATAAATTAGTATTTTAGTTTTTATACTAATTATAACAAATTGCTTAAAAGTAACAGAGGCAAAAGATAGTTCAGGTAATTGGTAACTTTTTGAAACTGAATAAAAGCTTTTGACAGCGTTTCTGAGGCATAATGAGCCTTTAACTAGAACTATCGCTGAATGCGATTCATACCCCCACCAATGTCCTTGACAGAAGACAACTTGGAAAGGTGGTTAAGGGAATAACTTTAGTGGCACAAATACATAAAAAGAAATCTCTGGTGAAAAAAAGACTTATTGTACAGGTAATAGTATAAATATATATTATCAAATCATGTTCGAAACAGTTACAAATAACCTTTCATTTTCCTAATGTACTAAACATTTTATAAGTCAACTTTTGACCTTCAAGTGTGGCCTTGACCTTGAGCTGGCACAAGGGTAAGATGGGTTCTGCACATTGCCCAGTTGGGGTGACCATTTGAGTAAAGTTTGAAGAAAATCCTTCCATAAGTATAGAATTTATAGAGCGGACACGACATATTGTCTATTATTGATTGTATGTAAATTTTAAAGACTTAAAAAGGGGCATAACTTTGTCAAAATGTAATACAGAGTTATGAAACTTGACCTGCATATCTTATTTGTGACACCTCATATATCTTTTAAGTTTCAAGCAAATACCTGTGCTAGTTTCAGAAATATTCAAGTACATGTTAAAATTGAAGAACATTTTCTAAGTCAATTTTTGACCTTCAAGTGTGACCTTGACCTTTAGCCGGCACAAAGGTGACATGGATTCTGCACATAACCTTGTTGAGGTGAACATTTGAGTAAAGTTTGAAGAAAAATTCTTCCATTAGTATAGGATTTTAATTGGAATCTTCAATTGTGACCTTGACCTTGAGCTGACACATGGGCAACATCCCCTTGTTGAGGTGAACATTTGAGCCAAGTTTGAAGAAAATCTTTCAATTAGTGCAGGACTTACAGAGTGGACATGACATACTGTCTAATATTTGATTGTGTTTGATATTTGACCTTCAATTGTGACCTTGACCTTGAGCTGACACATGGGCAACATGGGTTCTGCACATCCCCTTGTTGAGGAGAATTGAGCCAAGTTTGAAGAAAATCCTTCAATTGGTATAGGATCTATAGAGCGGACACGAAAATGGAGACGGACGGACCGACGCGACAAAGCGAATCCATTATAGCCCCCCCCCCCCCCACATTTTGTGGTGGGGGTATAATAATGTAAAAACAAGAATAATGTAATCTTAATATTTGAAAGTCAATAAAATGAACACTGACTTTAATTACATTGTATATACTTAAATAACATTCAATAAAAATAATATTAACAAAACTATGGCACAAAGTAAGACACATTGCATATAACAGAGTGATGAAAACACTTCAAGAAACAAACAAGTCTGTCTCCATATCTTATTTGTATTGGATCATGGAGTCAAGTTAACGGTCAGTCATTCGTTTTGAAACAATAGTAAATAAGCTTTATAAATTTAGTACAATGTACTGTAATTTACTTACTTTAATTAAAGATATGATCATGTATACAATTTGTGTGATATGTACATAAATTTATTATTATTATATCTGTATGACAGTCTTTTACAATATAGAAAAAAAGGTACAAAAACATGTAAGGAATTACTGGATGATGACATTCATGTAGTATTATGTATTATTACCGTCCTGTGTAAGTAGGCAGTTACTGAAACTAACAAATGATCCTGGGTTATCTAGAGTGCTAAACTGTATTTATTAAAATTATATATATGTTAATGTATGTACTATAGTGATTGGTTCGTTTTGACACTGGCACTGTCTGTCTGCCTGTTGACCCAATGCTGAGCTTGTTCAGCATACAGCCTCTGTTCCTGTCTAGACCACACCTTCAAATGCTTGAAAAAGTCAAGACTGCATTACCGATAAATATTTCTGATACAAGTCACTGGCAATTTTCACAGGATCTCCTACAATAAGGAATTATATTTTTCTAAAATATGCAAATATGCTCTAAATATCAGTCTCAAAATATTTGTAGTTTCTATTAATTTAAAAACAAGCAAATAATTATTATCTGTAGAACAATATAACTTTTCTTGATAAAGCTTGATATTTAATTAGTAACAAACAACAAACTCCACATATGGAAAAAATGCATTATTTATATGTGATTAGTGACACTAATTTATGTGACTTTATAAATAAATGCTAGACATTTAATTAATTAACTAACTAGTAATTTGTAATTTTACTACTAATCCCACATAATTTCTGATTCAGCATTGAGAGACGAAATTATCCGTTGAATTTAATGTATTAAATCACAGGGAAATGCCCAAAGATCGTACCAGTGACCCCAGACAAAAATTGAATAAACAACAGTAACAACATACCTGTGGGTACAACAGGGAATGGTGATGTATCAAATGTAAATGGTTGCTCAACTTTATTAAACATTTCCTCATTATATGCTGTCTGATTAAATGCTTTCCTCTGAAAGACAAATAATAACAATCACTTTAAATACATAAAATCATTTCATTTCATATTTGTTCTACAGAAGAAATATTTAAACAGAGTTAAGAAGTTATATTCCGGACAGGCATAATAAACTAAAGGGAGATAATTAAAACTTAAGCAATGCAAAGTAGAGTTATGGCTCTTGAACACTGTACTTCCTCTCATTTGTCTCTTACTGTTAAACGTTTTAATCAAATTCTTATCAATACTTTTCAAATTATTTTCCATACAAGAATGTTTCAGAGAGACAAACAGACAGAAGGACAGACAATGTGACAGCTATATTCTCTCAGAAGGAAGATCATAATATAGTACTTACTTTCTCTATACACTGTAGAAGCTCTTTTATAAAATGATAATATCTTGTCTCATAATATCTGCAATAAAGCAAATCTTTTGATTATTTAGATTATTTTTTGTCAATAATAGCTTACAGCATGGACTGATTTTGAAATAAGTTACTATGCGTTTAATAAAGAACTTCACAAAATTGCAGTTAAATGTATCCTTTTTATCAACATATGACAATACCTATATATAAGATCTTTGACTCTTGCACATTATTTTTAATGAAAATATGAAACTCAACAAGAGCATTGCATGCAGTGATAATACTTGCATGTTAAAAATTTTAAGTTGAAAAGAGGCATAACTCCAAAAATATTCCTTTCAGAATTATGCCCCATGTCTAACAACTGCACCGAATTATGGTAAGCAAGTATTCCAAGCTTGAAATATTTGAATAATGGACTACATTAAACATGGGCACCACCGCAGCAGTCATAACAGCTTTTTCTTTGAAACAGAAAAGCTAAAAATTAATAAATCATAACCATATTGATATCATGTGAAAACAAGATTGCATTTGAGAAAAATGCTATGCCACCGCAATAATAGAACACTAAATAGTAGTGTAGGAACAGATTTTCTTTGTTTCTATACAATTTTGAAGATTGTCATAATGCATAGATCCCTGACCTATCTAATTCTTATTATCAGATTAGTGGTTAAATCTGTTGTTAACTCAATAAAAGATCAGAGTAGGAATATATCAATGCACTTGAGTCTAGTGAATTTGGTGGTGAAGGTCATATTTCACGCAGCCTAAATTTCATGACTACATCAAAGGACAACATAGTAAGACACTTTGTCAAAATCTAGGTCAGCTGAAATCAAAGTTCACTTAACATCTTAATCTGTACACATGGTTCAAATTTCAAAGCTGTACATCAAAGGACAAGAAAGTAGGTCACATCATCAAAATCTAGTTCACCTGATATCAAAGTTCAATTTTACAACTAAAACTGTGCACATGGTCAAAATTTCATTGCTGTACATTAAAGGACAAGAAAGTAGGTCACTGTCCCCTTGGGCAAGGCAAAATTTTGGACCCAAGGGTTTAATACAAAACAATCTTGATACAGGTCCACCAAACAACATTTCAAGTCAAATATCTAAGCTGTAGCTTTCTCCTATTCAGAAAAGATTTGTTTTATTTTCTGTTTTTACTATGTGAACATAATGAGAATCACTGCCCCTGGGCAGGGCCAATTTTAACACTAGGGGTATAATTAAAACAACTTTAGTAGAGAACCCATAGAATATATTATAGAGCAAACATCAAAGCTCTATGCCTTGTACCTTCAGACAAAAATATTTCTTTTTTTTTTTTACTATATGTACATAGTAAAAATCAATGACTCCTGGGGGGGGGGGGGGCAATTTTGACCCCAGGGCTATAATGTGTACAATCTTGCTAGAGGTTCACTACATAATGTTTCATGCAAAATATCTTAACTCTAGCCTTTGTAAATTTAGAGAAGGTGATTTTTTAAGTTTTTACTATATACATATAAGGAAAACCTATGGCCCATGGGGCGGGGCTAATTTTGACACAAGAGGCAAAATTTGAACAACTTTGGTAGAGTACCTATAGATGATATCATTTAACAAATATTCAAGCTCTAAGCCTTGTACCTTCAGACTGTAAGATTTTTTTATTTTTTACTATATGTATATATTGAAAATCAATGACCCCGGGGCAGGGGCAATTTTGACCCCAGGGCTATAATTTGAACAATCTTGCTAGAAGTTCACTTCACAATGTTTCATGCAAAATATCTAACCTCTAGCATTTGCTAGAAGAAATTTTTTTACTATAAAGTTTTTTCTATATACATATAAGGAAAACCAATGACCCCAGGGGCAGGGCCGATTTTGACCCCAGGGCTATAATTTGAACAATCTGAGTAGAGGTCTACCAGACAATGCCTTATGCAAAATATCTAAGCTCTAGGCCTTTTGGGTCTTTACAAGAAGGTATTTTAAGTTTTTACTATATGTACATATAGTGAAAATCAATGACCCCCGGGGCGGAGCTGATTTTGACCCCAGGGCTATAATTTGAACAATCTTGGTAAGGGTCTATCAGACAATGCCTTATGCAAAATATCTAAGCTCTAGGCCTTTTGGGTCTTTACAAGAAGTTATCTTAAGTTTTTACTATATGTACATATAGTGAAAATAAATGACCCCCGGGGCGGGGCCGATTTTGACCCCAGGGTTATTATTTGAATAATCTTGGTAGAGGTCTACCAGACAATGCCTTATGCAAAATATCTAAGCTCTAGGCCTTTTGGGTCTTTACAAGAAGTTATTTTAAGTTTTTACTATATGTACATATAGTGAAAATCAATGACCCCCGGGGCGGGGCCGATTTTGACCCCAGGGTTATAATTTGAACAATCTTGGTAGAGGTCTACCAGACAATGCCTTATGCAAAATATCTAAGCTCTAGGCCTTTTGGGTCTTTACAAGAAGATTTTTTAAATTTATTCTTATAATTCCTTTTGGTTGCCATGGCAACCAGATTTCTGCATGGAATGAAATTCTTTGAACAACTTTGGAAGCCCTTCACCCAAGGATCAATCCTGCCAAGTTTGGTTGAAATTGGACAAGTGGTTTTTCACAAGAAGATTTTTTAAGTTCACTATATAATCTATATAACACACACACACACACACAAACAAACACACAGGTGAATCGCTATATGCCACCGCATCGCAGATGCTGCGGTGCCACCGCATCGCAGATGCTGCGGTGGCATAAAAACTACTAATTAAAACATTGTAAGAGTGATTGGGGAAAATATGGAGTTTCATCTTCAAAAAAATGAACATCAACCTTTACATAATGTATCATAGTTTCAAAATGAATATTTCTTACTTTAACATTAGTCCAGACCACTGTTTTGCTGCATATTCTCTCACCTGTAATAGGTTATAGTCACATTGTCATTAACTAAAACTGGATACAAAAATATGTAGTATTAAGAGAATTTATTTTCTGAGCTTTTTTATCAAATAAACTGTCATTACAAATATTTCATGAATAGAACAGTTTGTTGGCTTAAATCTACTGTTAAAGAAGATAGAGTTAAAAAGAAAACATATTAATATGAAATTTTGGTTTAAAATGGCGAGAGTTTAGAACTTTGTATAAAATTATGTATGAATTACATAAGTGATGTTTTGAAACATCTTTTTGTTACAAATTCCTCATATTTATTATTAAAGTAAGTTAATGCATAAAATCTTTGATGAGAATTATAGAAATGGATGTTAAGGTGAATGTGTAGAACAGCTCTCCAAATATTTTCTATAAGAAAAACAATAAAATCAGACCTCCCCATTTGGTCCCCATAATGTAATTTGGTTCCTAGCATTATATTCCATCAAGTTTTTCTCAGCCATGGTGTGTCCATGTGTCCTGGCATCTCTGAGCCAGGGACCAAGTAGAAAGTGTTTATCTGAGCGCAATAATGTTTCCATGTCATCAAACAACACAAGAAGGGCCTCGCCAGATCTCCTGCATAATAAAAAGTACATAAAATAACTTTATCATTTTCAAAACACTGCTATACTGTTACTGTCACACATGAACTTTTAAGTCTGACTGATGAAAGATGAAAGAAGATCCCATATGTATTATTTTGGGTACAGATTTTTTTCCAGACTTATTCAATATCCTTTTAGTAAACTTTTGACATACCAATCTTAAATTCAATATCTGGTTTCTTAAAATCTAATATGTGAATGTAATTTGACTTCATATCTATGTTTTATTAAGAGATGTAACCACTTGATAAAATTAATTCCTTTTCACCAAGTTTATCTTAGAAATGGAAATAAAATGGCTATGAAAATGCTGTGTGCTATCTATAACAGTATTAATAATAGTAAAATGCCGTTCTTTGTCATGGTTCACTTTTAAATTAGCTGTATCATTTAATCTGCAAGGCCTTTTTGACTGAATTGTTTAGGTCATTGGCTTGTGATCATTGATCACATTTGGTTCAAATCCCAGGTTAGATTTTGGCATGGGAGGCAGCTATTCAGAATTGGTGCCAGTGCTTCTGCAAGAAATGGTGCTCAAACAGACACCTAAGGATTCCACCAGTGAAACAGGAATATTGCCACATTAATTTTGCAATATCCTTTAAATGACTTAAAATGCAGTGACACAAAAATCAACTTACTCTAGTCTGTAATAATTCCTTTCCTTATAAGCAGCTATTACTTCAGTATAATATAAAGTAGATATATCTTGTAAACTGTTCCTGGCTACATCTACAAGATCATACCTGTAAAATATAGTTTCTTATTAATATCAGGAGAGCTATCGACATGGATGCTGCTGCTGTAATAATTAGGATCTGAATGTCACTCACTGGAGGTCACCAACTCATGACCTTTCAATCCTTCAATCAGTGGTGGCCTGCACATTCTTGGAAATAAATCTGATTTTATTATTAACTGTAGGGAAACCAGAAATGTGTACATGATTTTTACGATTTCAAGATATCATGAATGAATGAAAATGGCCGAACTGTGCATGTTCGATAAATAACCTTAACTATTAGATACCAAAAATTATAATAGAATCTAACGTTCCATGGATAATATGTTTTTAAAATAATGCAAGATAAATGACTTGTCATGGATGATCACAATTATTGCAAAATGTTTCATTGTGACCAATGATTTGATTGCTTGGTTTAAAATAGATTTATTGGAAATCCCAATCGACTAGAAGGCAAAACAGAGTTACTAAAGATCAGATCAAAATATAAACATAAGAAATTCTGCAATTTCAAGAGATTGGCAAAACCCACGAGATCGAAATGTTCTTTATAGATAAAATACTATTTTACTATTATACCCAACAATAATGTAATGCCATTAAGTCAGATGTGTAATTTCTAATCATACACAATGAAGAGTTTTTATCTGTCACATCATATTTGTGTATGTGATACCAGTTGAATATACAACAAATCAAGTATAGGTATATAGTAAATGTCTTTACCTGAACAGTGCACTTAAATTCAGGATTTTTGAAGCTTCAACCATATGACCCCAGGCATTAAATAACTGTACTGTATCATACCATATCTGTAATCCAGTCAAAAGTACAAAAATCATCTTTTTATCAAATATCTCTAAATAAATTTACATATGTTTTAGGTTTCATACATAAGTTTCATACATAAATGTGTTTTTAATAAGTTTCCATACATTTGTTTCAATAAGTTTTCATGCATGTGTTTATAATAAATTGTCATAGAATTGTTTATAATAGTTATCATAGATGTGTTTATAATAAGTTATCATAGAGGTTTTATAATAAATTTTCATAGAATTGTTTATAATAGTTATCATAGATGTGTTTATAATAAGTTATCATAGAGGTTTTATAATAAATTTTCATAGAATTGTTTATAATAGTTATCATAGATGTGTTTATAATAAGTTATCATAGAGGTTTTATAATAAATTTTCATAGAATTGTTTATAATAGTTATCATAGATGTGCTTATAATAAGCTATCATAGAGGTTTTATAATAAATTTTCATAGAATTGTTTATAATAGTTATCATAGATGTGTTTATAATAAGTTATCATAGAGGTTTTATAATAAATTGTCATAGATGTGTTTATAATAGTTATCATAGATGTGTTTATAATAAGTTATCATAGAGGTTTTATAATAAATTTTCATAGAATTGTTTATAATAGTTATCATAGATGTGTTTATAATAAGTTATCATAGAGGTTTTATAATACATTTTCATAGAATTGTTTATAATAGTTATCATAGATGTGTTTATAATAAGTTATCATAGAGGTTTTATAATAAATTTTCATAGAATTGTTTATAATAGTTATCATAGATGTGTTTATAATAAGTTATCATAGAGGTTTTATAATACATTTTCATAGATGTGTTTATAATCAGTTGTCATAGATGTGTTTATTCTGATTACAGTAGAACAGTTAAAGCTGTACAACATTTATGATAAAACCACCATTAAACTTACCTCAGGTAATTTAAGATTTATATCTGGTCTAGATGTAGGTACAACATAAGAGTTATCATCTGGCATACTGTCTGTACTATTGAACACACTTGTCTAAAACAGTCCAATTTTATACAGTGTATCTAAAACTGCTATAGAAAAAACTAATATATAAAACAACATTGTTTTTTACATTAAATAATTCAACAATTTTGAATAAATATTAAAACAAGACTTGTCGTTAAAAACAGGCAAATGTCTCTGAGGCTAGGGCCAATTAAAGGAACATGATAATCTTTGACTAACAACAAAAGCATGGTGACTATAAAAAGAATGTTATAAAAACAAATAACATTACAAATACATTTAGTTTTAACATGCAACAATTTTATCAAAATTACTTTAAAATCCATCCATGAATGACAGGATTGTTGACTGGATATAACCATCAATGCACTTCCATGGAAAATTATTATCAGGACTTTGGACATACAAGTATGACCTTGACCTCTGAGCTGCAGACGTGATTCTAGAGTGTGGCAAATCATCATGTCATAAATGACAACATTGTTGACCTGATTCTTGCAAATGACATGTCATCATTACATCCAAATTATTTAAGCAAAATTATAAATACCAAAGCTATGGATTGAAACAAAAGCAACAGTCATAAGGACAGACCCACTTTGGTGGCATAAAATGCAGCATTTCAATTTTTGTTGCTAATTTAAAATGACATACTAAACCTTTAACAACTGCCATGCCATATCAGCATCAGAGTTATATTTGCCATATCTGTTCTGTGTAAAGTCAGTGAACCTGGAAAATAAAAAAATAAAAAAAAAATTATTTCCAACAAATTTCAAAAAGAATTTCGTGAATAATAAGCCAGTTTTATAGCAAGTACATTGAACAAGAGGCCTTATGTATGCTAAATAAGAAGTTTATGACAAGATACTGTTAAAAATGTTAGATAACAACATACAACAGCAAACACAAAACCTTATGTCTAACTTCTTCATGCTCAATTGAGTACTAACAGATCAAGGAATTTAGTTCATGCTTAATCTGCAATAACATATAATATATTAACATTTAAACCTGGAACACTCAGTTATCAATCTGCACAAAGGTTTCTCTTTAAGACAAGTGAGTTAACAAATTTGGCTGTATTTCTTCAGCTTAAAATATTATTCTTACCATACAGTAAGATTCCTTGGAGTTTTGACAAAAGCATTTTCATTCATGAATTCATACATAGCCTCGTTCTGATATAGACCTTCTGGTGTCAATCCTATACCTACCATTGAGCTACCAGGTATGTTTCTTGCTGTAAATGGACCCTGACAAAAACAAAGAAATAAGAATCTACATATCTGAGACCATCATAAAAATAATTTACTAAAAATCAAAAAGCATGATATTAGTACTTGTAGTTGCTTACAGAAGAGAAATGTAGATATCGTTTTAGTATAAATGTTATCACCTCAGTGCAATAACTAGTTTACTTCTATTTAATTTAGGAGGACTTAACATTCTACTGCACTAAGGTGACAAAATTCGCTTCTTTAAGGAAAAAATAAATTTTAAAACATCATTACAAAAATGTTATACAGGACTATATAGATATAAGAAGAATGTACGAAAATATAGTTCATTAAAACATTTCTTTTGATTAGTTTATGAAGTTCAAGTTACAAGTTCAACAACAAGATACTTTTGTTGTTCTTTGCAATCAATATTTCATTCACTGACTAGTCAATATCCAACTGGCCAATATTTAAATATTTATGTCATTTCAACTAGCCATTGTTTAAATATTCAATAATCATCTACTTAATTTTTTGCTGGTCAATATAAAACTAGTGAATCTTTAACAAGTCAATGTTCAACTAGTCAAAGTTCAATAAGTCAGTGTTCAACTAGCCAGTATTCAATAATCAGTTACTCAACAATCATTAGGTAGCGCGATAGCTCAGTTGGTTAGACCACTGACTGTCACTCCTGATTTTCCGGGTTCGATCCTGGGTAACAACACCCTTGGGATTTTTCAGAGACACTTTCAGTGTTTCCCACCTACCTAGAGGTTTACTGGTACGGAACCCAGGTAATCCTCGCATGTATCAGTGCTATACACTGGGCATGTAAAAGAATCTATTCAATAAGAGCTAGGGACTGGTTCCCGGGCTCCCTTGTATCTCATAACTGTCTCTAGAGTCTGCTGAGGTAAAGAACCTACTGGAAACAAGCAATTATCATAGTATTGCAAGCAATCCATAAGTCCCCTACCGGTAAGAGCCAAAGCAACATTTTGAAGGGCCATTGGCCATTCACTAAATAGGTTCCTATTTTAAGTAAATTTGTTGAAAAAGTTCTTTAAAAGTGATCACAGGAAACAGTTTTTATGTACAGACAGACGGACTGAAGGACACTCTAAAGTTATTTTTTAAACATCCCTGTTATCAAAATATAACATTTTTAAAATCCTATCATGATTGAAGAAGTTGGAGTAAAAATTACCAATTTCTCAAAAAAAGTTTAAGTTAAAAAGGGGCATAATTCTGGAAATAGTCTTGCTAGAGTATTGAACACTCATAAATGTTGAGTGACAATAAGAAACATTTATATGAAGTTTGAAGTAGATACATTCAGAAAAAGAAGTTATTAAAGAAAACAATGATTTTTTCATGAAAATTTTAAGTTCAAGGGAGGTAATTCTGATAATTTTTGTGCTAGAGTTGTAAACCTTGTCACATATGATGTGGTTAATGACAAGCAACTTATATTTAAAGTTTGAAGAAAATACCTTAAGAACTAAAGAACTTATAGTGAAAAAACTTAAAAACTAGAATCAGAAATCTTGAAATTCAGTCTATTTGTTGCCATAGCAACCAGAATTTTCAACATAGGAAGATAAGAAAAGGATGTGCATAATTTCCATACTGCCATCTACCCATATGTCAAATTCATAAACATATTTTCAGTACTTTTTGTGTTATCACTGGATCCAGGTTATGTGTAAAATTTGCTTTATTTTCAGTCTATTTGTTGCCATAGCAACCAGAATTTTCAACATAAGAAGAAAAGAAAAAGACGTGCATAATCTCCATACTGCCATCTATCCATATATCAAGTTTCATAAACATATTTTCAGTACTTTTTGCGTTATCGCGGGATCCAGGTTATGTGTAAAATTTGCCATATTTTCAGTCTATTTGTTGCCATAGCAACCAGAATTTTCAACATAGGAAGAAAAGAAAAAGACGTGCATAATCTCCATACTGCCATCTATCCATATATCAAGTTTCATTAAAATATTTTCAGTACTTTTTGCGTTATCGCGGGATCCAGTTTTGTGGACAGATTGACGGACGGACAGACAGACAGACAGACGGTAAACCTAAAGTCCCCTCCGGTAAACCGGTAGGGGACTAAAAAGAACTTATAGTGAAAAAACTTAAAAACTAGAATCAGAAATCTTGATATTCACTCTATTTGTTGCCATAACAACCTGAATTTTCAACATAGGAAGATAAGAAAAAGGATGTGCATAATTTCCATACTGCCATCTACCCATATGTCAAGTTTTTTATAAACATATTTACAGTTCTTTTTGTGTTATCACTGGATCCAGGTTATGTGTAAAATTTGCCATATTTTCAGTCTATTTGTTGCCATAGCAACCAGAATTTTCAACATAAGAAGAAAAGAAAAAGATGTGCATAATCTCCATACTGCCATCTATCCATATATCAAGTTTCATAAAAAATATTTTCAGTACTTTTTGCGTTATCGCGGGATCCAGGTTATGTGTAAAATTTGCCATATTTTCAGTCTATTTGTTGCCATAGCAACCAGAATTTTCAACATAGGAAGAAAAGAAAAAGACGTGCATAATCTCCATACTGCCATCTATCCATATATCAAGTTTCATAAAAATATTTTCAGTACTTTTTGCGTTATTGCGGGATCCAGTTTTGTGGACGGACGGACTGACGGACGGACAGACGGACGGACGGACAGACAGACGGACGGAGGGTAAACCTAAAGTCCCCTCCGGTAAACCGGTAGGGGACTAATAAGTGCTTGCACTTTCGTAGGTTATCCTTGACCACCCGGTCTAAAGAAAATGAATCAAGCTAACCTTAAGTTATTGAATATTCAACTAGCCAATATTCAGTTACATATAATGATATTCACACAACATTTATCACAACAGATATACCTCATTCAGTGTGTCTATGTTACCATACAGTCTCATTGTGCCTCCATAATTGTTTAACATACACCATATAAATGGCTGGCCATAAAATGATCTTGTCAAGTTATAGGCCGCTATCCTTGCTGCCTCTAGATCTAAAACAATCATTCTGCCCTGAAAATGTAAATACTCATATCTTAGTTTGTGAAACATATTGTACAAACAATTTATGGATGAAAAATATGTAAATGAAGAACAAATAAATATCAAAATTTACCTATGTTCTTCTCAATAAACATTATACATGTATGTGTGTCTGTGAATCTCAAGAAAAGTTTTAATAATCATTGGCCAAGTTCATGGCCTTCTTTTTATGGTGCTTTGAAATATACTAGGGCTGGGAACGAATAAGGAATTTGATGTTCGAATATTCGTTTTCCATATTCGAATATATTCGAATATTCGTTTTTACAACATTTGTACCAATATTTCTCTTTGACGTATACGTATACGAAATTGATTGCGTCGAATACTGTACAATTTTAATATGTTTGGAATAATCGACGATTAAAAATACCTATATAACTACGTAAAAGTTTTTTATTTTATATATTGTAAATCGACATAAATGTTTACTTTTGAAATAAATTCATAATTTGATTGCCTTTTGTTCAGTTAATCCGACTGCTGATCATTTGTCTTCATGGTCTTATTAACGTGACTTGATTGACAGTAATATGAATCACCGTAGCTTCTTAGCCCCCAAAACACATAATTTACATTGAAACTTAACTTGAATTAAATATATTATTTATTTATAATTTTAGATAAGGTTTAAAATATTCTTCAGATACATTTAGCTATAACGCAGTAAATATCACACGGAGTCTTAGTTTCTACGGAATAAATATATTTTGACGGAATATAGACACTGACCATGCTTACATAAAGCACCGATTAATACGTGTCGATTTTTTCGTCTTCACAAAATTTAAGACAATGACTGATTAATCGGACAGATTATTGCACAGAAAACAATAAATAAGATAATTAAAATCGGAAAATTACATTATATTCTGTTCAACAGGTAAATTGCAAACTGTGAAACGGGTGCCCTTTTGATCAACTATAGACCCCAAAGTTTTCACAGTTAATTGGCGATAATCGTTGACACGTGTCATACAAACGTGTGAACAACTGGTCAAGTAAAGGTCAATGGTTTAATTTGCTATCTTAATTGAAATTTGAAAGTAATTACAAAAAAACACTTTTTTTTCGAATATTCGTATTCGTTTTTCAATGTTCGAATATTCGGTAGTGTTTCGAATATTCGAATATTCGAATATAATTCCCGGCCCTAAAATATATAATAGGCATAAAATGTGAATCTTATTGATATATGTATTTCCTAAATATAAACTACATTGTACATAAAGTTAATAAATGTCTCAAACATACTATGCACATGAATTACATGTACCATTATAAAGGAAATTGATTTTAATGATACATAAAACAAAGAACACAACATACAGACTATATCTGAATGATAAGCAAGTTATACACTAACAGTTATAGATAGTTGTTACAAGTAGTGTTAATTCTCAAAGCTACAAACGTGTATAGTTATAAAGTATTTGAAAGAACACACTGAAAAAGAAGAATAAGAATAATGAAAAACAAAGAGATAGGAACAAGAAAATTAAGACAGTTTGTTCATATTATCATCAGGCGCATATATACCTGCCAATACATCAATACAAAGAGGTGTGCAAATTAAGCAAAATATCAAAAAAGTTTAATTCAAAAATCAGATAAAATGAGTAAAGGATATGTGATGTAGATATAGTTGTGTAGAGTATGATTGATTTAGTTACTTTCTATTCATTCATATATTTTTGTGCTCTATGCATCAGATCACACTGATGAACATTTGTACCAAATCATACTAAAATCACTCTATGTATGACTAAATAAAGCTTCATACGAGGGGTGATGGACAATGTGTGTATCTCCATAACGTGACGTCCTACCAAGGTGAACTCTTTGGATATTATTAATCAATGCTCTTTTAATAAATTGACCAAATTTTAAAACACCAATTGATTTTTTATCTATTTTATGACAACATCAAAACAGTAAGTATCAAAATCGCGGCGCAGCTTACTTTTTCTCTGTGATGTAAACGTTTTCATCTCATTTAAACACATGTAAAACCAGTCCTGTGCAAACAAAGAAAATTGCGAGAAACGTTATAATAACGTTGCTTTGATGTGTATGACGTCATTCTCTCAGTACCAGAAGACATTTTGAAGTTGCGGTTATTTTACGCTTGTGCTTTAAAGAACAGGTGCTAAGAACAGCTTTATCAAAAATGGACGTCACTGATCCAGCAAAACTTCAAACAGTTATACAGTTCTGTGTAAATCTTGGAAAGACGCCTGGCGAGACAAAAACAAAGATCGAAAGTGTGACAAATAAAATGTCAGTGTGTCGTTCTCTAGTATATAAGTGGCATCGCCGATTTTCAGATGGAAGGGAAAGTGTTGGGGATGATTCGCGGACTGGTGGATCTGTTGAGGTAAGAGACAAAGAAACTGTTGAAAGTGTGCGTGCAAAGATTAATGAAGACAGACGGATAAGTTTAAGGCAGATCAGTAACTCTTTAAATTTATCGTATGGAACTGTTCAGAAAATTGTTACTGAAGAGCTTGAAATGTGTCGTTTGAGTGCTCGATGGGTCCCTCGACTGCTGTCAGCGGATGAAAAACAACAACGAGTTCAGGCGTCAAAAAACTTCTTGCAATGTTTTCAGAAAGAGGGTCAACAGTTTTTAGATCGCATTGTCACAGTTGATGAGACATGGCTTTTTTTCTTTGATCCTGAATCAAAACAGCAATCTATGCAATGGAAAAACAAATCATCGCCTCCACCGAGGAAGGCATGTGTATCCCGATCAGCAGCTGAACACATGTTTATTGTGTTTTATGACACCAAAGGGCCAATTCTCAGTCATGCCGTCCCAGCTGGACAGACAGTCAATGCAGCCTACTACGCCAAGGTACCGTAATATTTTTTTTGAATTTACAGAATAACTATTTTTATTAATAAATAAAAACATAAATGAATAAATAAATGATTTCATAATGTTTTATTCATGATTGTAACATTACAATATAAGACAACTTGATTATCTTCATTTTGTCCACAGGTCATTCGCCGAGATTTGATGCACGCATTGAGAAAAAAGCGACCCAAATCTATTGAAAATTTAATTCTTTACCAAGACAATGCACCTGCTCACCGTGCTTGGGACACACAGCTGACCATTCAAATCCAGCTTGGAGCAGAAGAACTCTGTCATCCACCATATTCGTCTGATCTTTCCCCGTGTGACTTCGCCTTGTTTCCCAAGTTAAAGACAGAGTTGAGAGGGAGACATTTTGGCAATCTGGACGAGTTGAGAAGAGCCACCCAATGCATACTGTCATCATTCAGCCAGGAATGGTATGCGAGTACATATAGAGACTGGGTCTGCCGCCATGAAAAAAGTGTGCAGGTTGAAGGGAAATTCTTTGAAAACTTATAAGGCAAAACGTTAACGTAGATTACTTCCTATGATAGCATTACGTCGTTTGTGACGTCGTGAGCTGCGCCGCGTTTTGTCATGTCTATGTATATAAACTGGTGCAGAATCATTAATTCTTGTACAATCTTTACAATATTTTGAGCATTTGCCGACATATGCTCACTTAATAAGATACTAGAATTTCGTGAGATTTACTTTATTACTTTTTGTTTTATGCAGGGTGTCCACGAATTTTTGGATCACCCCTCGTACAAGCGTTTACTTCTGACCTCTTAGTGTGACCTTTAACCTATAAACCATGGTCATTCACCTGACAGTCTATCTTATGGTGATGATCACTTTTATCAATTTATACTGAAAATATCCATGGATGTAGAATACATGCTCCTGGCAAAGTCTGAAAATTTCATTATATTTGGTGACCTTGACATTACATATATTGACCTAGATTATAATGGTAACACTACGCCTTGATATAATAACTCAATTCAAAACTACTGCAAAGTCTATACAAACATATTCGTATTTTGATCTGACCTTTAACCTCTACATGCGTGACCTTGAACTTTGATGAAGGCTCCTGAATTTTGAGCCTGACGCACCACCTCACAAAGGTAATTATTTATGCCAACATGCCCTTTAGGGGCAACCCATCACATGTCCTGTTGTTTTTTTAACAGGCATATAAATTTTTCCCTAGCCTAATTTATTTTGAGAGTAAGAAAACAGACAAAGAAATACAAATGTTAAATTTCTTGAAAAGCTAGATTCTAAGATTCCATAACCATTAAAATGCAAAGGATTTAATTCACACAACAACTACTGATAAATAAACACTCAAGGTGAATGTATACAAGTATAGTAAATAGTGATTAATTCAACCCAAACTATAACCTGAACATATTGTCACCTGTGGAACTGAAGTGAGTAAAGCTTTAATTTGTTCCTGATGCCAGAACTGAGGTTCAGACAAGAATAACAGTCCCTGCATCAACCTGTTGTTAAAAATTACACATTAAAATGCTCTTGAATGTAGTCTGCATTATAGTAAGCCTGGTAAGTAAAATTATCTTAATAATATGTCTAAAATTAAGTCACAGAACCGTGATAAAACTAGAACTGTGTCCAAAGGACACGAATGCCCCCACTGACAACATATATATGGTATATAGTGAAAAAATCAACAAAGGGCCATAATTCTGTTAAATTTGATCGCAGCGAAAATTCCTTCCTTTACTACCATCTACACATTAAGGTTGTTCATCCCTGGAAGTTTAAGCAAAATCTGCCATCCGGTTTAAGAGGAGTTGCGTTCACAAAATTTCTATATGGTATATAGTGAAAAAATCAACAAAGGGACATAATTCTGTTACATTTGGTCGCAGCAAAAATTCCTTCCTGTACAACCATCTACACATTAAGGTTGTTCATCCCTGGAAGTTTAAGCAAAATCTGCCATCCGGTTTAAGAGGAGTTGCGTTCACAAAATTTGTACATAGTATATAGAAAAAAAATCAACAAAGGGCCATAATTCTGTTAAATTTGGTCGCAGCTAAAATTCCTTCCTTTATTACCATCTACACATTAAGGTTGTTCATCCCTGGAAGTTTTAGCAAAATCTGCCATCCGGTTTACGTTCAGGAGCTGCGTTCACAAGATTTCGGGACGTACGGACAGACAGACGTACGGACGGACAAGTGCAACGCTATATGCCCCCCACTTTGTGGGGGCATAAAAATGCACAATTGAGCCACACCATGACAAAACCAACATAGGGCATTTGCCACCAGCATGAATCCAGACCAGCCTGCACATCCGCGCAGTCTGATCAGGATCCATGATGTCCGCTTACAAACCCTATTACAAGTAGAGAAACTGATAGCAAGCAGCATGGATCCTGATCAGACTGAGTTGATGCACAGGCTGGTCTGGATCCATGCTAGTCGCAAACGCACTATGGTGGTTGTGTCATGGCGCGGCTCAATTATGTATTTTATGTTTTTAGGCTTAACCTCAGGGAAGTTCTTTTAAGAAATCACCAAACTGTAAAATATCATTTGTACAATATTAAGTGGAAACATAACATTATAAAATAGTTATATCTTAATGCAAACATATACAAAATGCAGCCTGATGTTGATTTTATTTTCACTTTAATAACATGTGGTCATTTTTCAAGATTTCCATTCAAGACAGAAAAAGAAAGTAGGGTATTATCTTACCAGACAGCTTTAGGATCTGCTGACGTCATAGCACTGTAAACTGACTGACCAGCTGATTTTATATAGTCTGTATCACTGTAATATAAGCCAAAATACATGTGTTAACATAAATAAACAATGACTATCAGTGCCAAGAAAAATGAGGTGCGTGTAAGTTACAAACATCTAAGACTTGGTATTATCATATCTTGCAAAAAAAAAAAAAAACATTCTCATTAAAATGACATACTGAAGTACTTTGAGGCTCCATCCACACAAGACATCAATAACACCTCACACCATAATTTTCTCAGTGTGTGGATGAGCTTATCAACAACTTAACCCATCTTTCAGTAACTTAATAAACTAAACATAATTTCAGTACAAATGGCCTTTCAAGACTCATGAGACACCAACTTGCTGTTAAGAGCTTTAGCCATATATTCTAAAACCAGCATACTAATTATCTTCTCTTGTATCTCATATGTTGTTACAGCGTAGCTCAAGCTAGTAAAGTTAATAGAACAGGAGAAAATTTAATATATCTTTACATAGTGAATGTTGTATGATCAAGTTTGTTACCGGTATGCCCTACTGTAGCATATGAAGAAAGCAATGCATCAAATAGTATATTTGATGATTAACCCGGGCTAATGTCATATCAAATAATTTATTACTGTCATAAAGTAAAATCAGTTACAGCATGTTATACATCTAAACATTAAAGATCCTGTAACACATTTTTCTCATGGTTTTATTTCATAAACATGTACTCAAATTTAGATTTGTCAATATTGTAAGTTCCAACAAGCATTATTTATAAAGATATTACCGAATTTAACATTTCATGTAAATAAAGGGAGGTAATTAGAAATTTTTTTTCTATAAATTCTAAGTCAAATTTTCCAATAAGAAATGAATGCATATAATTTATTGATTAAATATAATGCTCACAAATATTTGCAGTACACATTTTACACATTCTTTGATGTTTGAAAATTGTTTTATTTGCATAATTATATTCATATATAATTTTTTTGCAAATGTGGTATACACACAGTAACAATATTAAAACATACAGGATCTTTAAAAAAACTTACTTGGAAACTGGAACCATCTCATTAAATGTATCACCATTGTAAACATGATCCACACCAAACTCTGCCTCCATCTAAAATATACAGATGATGAAATTACAATTACCTGTATGATAATTACAGTTAAATAGAAAATATTAAAAAAAGATTGCATTTGAGAAAAATGCTATGCCACCGCATGGTTCAAATTTCATAGCTGTACATCAAAGGACAAGAAAGTAGGTCACATCATCAAAATCTAGGTCAAAGTTCAATTTTACAACTAAAACTGCACATGGTCAAAATGTCATTGCTGTACATCAAAGGACAAGAAAGTAGGTCACTGTCCCCTTGGGCAAGGCATAATTTTGACCCAAGGGTTTAATAACAATCTTGATACAGGTCCACCAAACAACATTTCAAGTCAAATATCTAAGCTATAGCTTTCTCCCATTCAAAAACATTGGTTTCATTTTCTGTTTTTACTACGTGTACATAATGAGAATCACTGCCCCCGGGCAGGGCCAATTTTTGACATTTGAACAACTTTGGTAGAGGACCTATAGATGATATTATATATCAAACATCAAAGCTCTATGCCTTGAACCTTCAGACAAATTTTTTTTTTCTCACTATATGTACATTATGAAAATCAATGACCCCCGGGGCGGAACCAATTTTGACCCCAGGGCTATAATTTGAACAATCTTGCTAGAGGTTCACTACACAATGTTTCATGCAAAATATCTTAACTCTATCCTTTGTAAATTTAGAGAAGATGATTTTTTAAGTTTTAACTATAAACATATAAGATAAACCTATGGCTCCCAGGGGCGGGGCTAATTTTGACACAAGAGGCAAAATTTGAACAACTTTGGTAGAGTACCTTTAGATGATATTATTTAACAAATATTAAAGCTCTAAGCTTTGTACCTTCAGACAATAATATTTTTTTATTTTTTACTATATGTATATATTGAAATCAATGACCCCCAGGGCGGGGGCAATTTTGGCCCCAGGGCTATAATTTGAACAATCTTGCTAGAGGTTTACAACACAATGTTTCATGCAAAATATCTAACCTCTAGCATTTGTCAATTGCTAGAAGAATTTTTTTTAAGTTTTTACTATATACATATAAGGAAAACCAATGACCCCTGGGGCGGGGCCGATTTTGACCCCAGGGCTATAATTTGAACAATCTGGGTAGAGGTCTACCAGGCAATGCCTTATGCAAAATATCTAAGCTCTAGGCCTTTTGGGTCTTTACAAGAAGGTGTTTTAAGTTTTTACTATATGTACATATAGCGAAAATCAATGACCCCGGGGCGAGGCCGATTTTGACCCAAGGGCTATAATTTGAACAATCTTGGTAAGGGTCTTACCAGATTATGCCTTATGCAAAATATCTAAGCTGTAGGCCTTTTGGGTTTTTACAAGAAGGTATTTTAGGTTTTTACTATATGTACATAGTGAAAATCAATGACCCCCGGGGCGGGGCCAATTTTGACCCCAGGGCTATAATTTGAACAATCTTGTTAGAGGTCTACCAGACAATGCCTTATGCAAAATATCTAAGCTCTAGGCCTTTTGGGTTTTTACAAGAAGGTATTTTAGGTTTTTACTATATGTACATAGTGAAAATCAATGACCCCCGGGGCGGGGCCAATTTTGACCCCAGGGCTATAATTTGAACAATCTTGTTAGAGGTCTACCAGACAATGCCTTATGCAAAATATCTAAGCTCTAGGCCTTTTGGGTCTTTACAAGAAGATTTTTTTAATTTATTCTTCTAATTCCTTTTGGTTGCCATGGCAACCAGATTTCTGCATAGTGGTTTTTCACAAGAAGATTTTTTAAGTTCACTATATAATCTATATAACACACACACAAACACACACACACACACACATACACACAGGTGAATTGCTATATGCTATATTGCTATATGCCACCGCATCGCAGATGTTGCGGTGGCATAAAAAGCTTACATTTGAAAAAACTTATCTTCAACTCTTGCATACTGAAATGCAAAAAACAACTTATCTCCCTTGCAGCAAATAAACAAGACTTAGATCTAGGGTAATCAATTCATCAGTCCTTGTAGACTTATTTCCAGATATAATAATTCCATAAATATTTAACATTAACTTTCATCAAGAACAAATTTTCTTTCACATATACATGCTAAATACCAACTACTTGTTTAATTCAATTTTCTTGGTTTATTAAGGGGTAGTATAATAAATATTAGCTCAAAAAATATCAGAGAACCTTTATAATCTCCACGCTAAAAATCTTTGCAAGAGCTAAAATAAACAAGAGCTGTCACAGGAGACAGCGAAGCTCGACTAATAAAAAACTGGACGAAGTAAGGAAGACAAAACTATGAAAGAAAAATCAATTATGTATAATTATGTATTAAGTTATAGTAAAAAATAGCATTGTTCACATAAATTCCAAGATAAAATGTTAAATGGTTCAGTCTAGATTAAATGATGGACAGGTTAATTAAGATAATATATGTGATCAGGTCCAATATAATACCGAAGTTAAGCAGCAAATTTTGTCACAAATCTTTTTCACATAAAAATGGGGGACTCTGATGACGTTTTTATTTAAAAACTTAAAAACACATTGCTATAAATTTCAAAACAAATACCATTGTCTTACATGAGTTTTAAACCTCATAAATTAAGCCTTTCTTGCATAGCAGACTGGCGTTTCCGTGGGTTTTACCCATGCCGGAAATTTCATCTGGCATGGGGGGTGCCAGATGAGTCGCGTGCCAAACAACAACGTCATTTTAGCGCCATTTATGAATGAACCGCGTTAAAATGACGTCGTTTTAGAAGGGAAATATGTCTTAGGATGACGTCATTTCGCCGTTGTTATTTAAGTTGTAAGTTCATACGCTATTGTAAGAAAATAGTTATGGATGAAATGACTTTAATTTCCATGAACATATATCATATTGAGGTAAACCATTTTAAATATGAAATAATATGGCAGAATATGCAAGAAAAAATATCTTTCATATGTTTGCGGTTCGGATTGGAATATCCGTCCCTCGGGAACCGGCCCATGGGCGGTAACTCGGCAAGCCTCGTTACCGCCCAATGGGCGGGTCCCCTCGGGACGGATATTCCGGTCCGAACCGCAACATATGACAGATATTATTATTCCTAATCCTTTACCAAACATGCAAATAAAATCAAATGTATACATTACCTCTTTTATGAATGCAGAACCTATCTTCTGGAAAAGTGGTTCATGGAAATCTAACAAATATGTGCTGAAAAACATAGTTATCATGTATATATAGTACATGTATTTAGTAATCAAGATAAGTGCATTTCAACCTGGACAATAACAAGTTAACATGATAGTTATAAACAACTCTCAATAAATAATGACTATATCTGCTTCAGAATTTTGTTAGGTTGATACTGGTGCACTATTTAGATAGATAAGAATTAGGATTAAACAAAATACAATGGGCATAAGATCTAACATTTTTCTGTTACAGTACTTTTAAATAGCCTAATGTAAAATTTTGTATTGTAATCTAATAAACTAATGCAGATCTAAAGGTTACTTTTTATAATCATACTTTAATAAACAATATAGTTCAAGATTTAATTTACCAGCAGTAAGTTTTGTTGAATCGTCCCCAGTTATCCAGTTGACTATACTTTACTTTAGGGTATAACCTGTAAATATTGTTATTTTATATATGAATCAAAGAAATTACTTCACTGTCAATGTCAGAAAGGGCAATACGAAAAAATATTTCAAAAACAATAATTGTTAATTATAATAGATATAATTATCATTATTTTTTTTTTTTTTCAGAATGATCACATGGTTATAGATTGAAACAATAGTAAAAGTTCAATAATCGATGAATATAAAACAAAAAATGTGCCCCATCACGACAAAACCAACATAGTGAGTTTGCGACCAGCATGGATCCAGACCAGCCTGCGCATCCATGCAGACTGATCAGGATCCATGCTGTTCGCTATCAGTTTCTCTACTTGTAATAGAGTTGGTAAGCGAACAGCAGGGATCCTGATCAGACTGCGCGGATGCGCAGGCTGGTCTGGATCCATGCTGGTCGCAAACCCATTATGTTGGTTTTGTCGTGACATGGCTCATTAATCATTTTTTTCTTCTTCTAATTTTCTACAGGAAACATTGAATCACCTTCAAATTTTCAGTATAAAACAATTCTTAAAACTTGATCACTGTTTAAAATTATACAACATGACTTATGCGAACAAGATTTGACCTTGTAATAGCTTTAGGTACGTGACCAGCAAAGCCAGGGAGTACGGGGATCATCCCAAGTTCTCTCATACGTCCAAGGATCTTGTGTTGTAGCACCAGCTGATCAATTATCCAGCTCTGTGGTAATGGTCCACCCCATCCTTCCATATTACCCATTCTTGCCCTGAGTTTGTACAATGTACAATTATAAATCTACATGTATTTATTACTTACTAAGTAGCCTTTATTTTTCTATTCTGTCCAAGAAAATATTTGAAACTTAGATGGATCTTAAAAAAAGACCTGACAATCCTCAATTTAGCATTATTTTAATTAGTTTTATATAAGAGTGCATTTAGGAGCATAAAAAACCTTAAGTTCAGGTAAATGACTGAAAACTTGTACCCATACTAATTATTACACTGGTTGGATGACATGCATAATATTATTTCTTCAACATGTTCAATAAATTAAGTGATGAACCTACATAGGTGTAAATATTATAGTTATCACATATCCAAAAAAGAACTGTACAATATACAGCAAAGAAGATACAGTATAACACTAACATTAAGTGACCTTTATGTTATGATTGCTTGTTAATATAGTTGCGTAATATTGTTTTTATTAAAATGACTTTATCATATTTCTGATTGATGCTTTATGTAATGAATTACTATTCCTTACCATGCAAGAAAAGCTGGCCCAGCAAAATGATGTCCAAGGTCTTCATCAGTAAACCCCAGTTTTTTGTACACCTTTAACATGTTACAAACAAGAGGGCCATGATGGCCCTGAGTCGCTCACCAGATACAACTGCTTTTCAGTGTTGGAATGTCAATATATTCTTATATTAAATTTGAGCATATAATAAAATCAAATTAATATGAGCAAACTTGATAAAAGACTACCTAAGAATGCTAACAAAGTTTGGTGATCATTTAACAATTATTTCAGTAGGAAATGATGTTTAAACATATATCTATTTTTAACTTTAGCGGCCCTACAAGGGGCCAATCAAAATAATATGAGCAAACTTGATAAAACACTACCAAAGAATGCTACAGACAAAGTTTGGTGATCATCCATCAATTAGTTCTGTAGGAGAAGATGTTTAAATGTTTTTCTATTTTTAGCCCTAGAGACCCCTTAAAGGGGCCAATCAAAATAATATTAGCAAACTTCATGAAAGACTACCCAAGAATGCTAAAGACAAAGTTTGGTGATCATCCATCCATTAGTTCTGTAGAAGGAGATGTTTAAAGGTTTTTCTATTTTTAGCCCTAGAGACCCCTAAAAGGGGCCAATCAAATTAATATGAGCAAACTTGATAAAAGACTACCCAAGAATGCTACAGACAAAGTTTGGTGATCATCCATCAATTAGTTCTGTAGAAGAAGATGTTTAAAGGTTTTTCTATTTTTAGCTCTGCTGACCCCTAAAAGGGGCCAATTGGAATGACATGAGCAAATTCAAGTGTGACTGTCACAAGGATGCTACAGACCAATTTTGAAGTAAATCTGCAAAGTAGTTTCAGAGAAGAAGACGATTGTTGAGGCATGACGACGGACGCTGGAGCATCCCCCTTTGATACTAATAGCTCACCCTGAGCCTTCGGCTCTGGTGAGCTAATAAACAATGATACAGATAGGTAAAATACATTCTTTTATTATAAACCTATAGTTTTATTATTGTTTCCTGGGGAAAATACAATCATTTTAACAGAGTCAGTATAAGCATCACTATCATTGAGAATATATACATGTATATAAAATATTGATGTTGGTAAATTAACTACTATCATAGAATATTTAAATACAGAATTATCAATAATATTTACCCTTTGGAAGATTGCTTCCTGCCCAGTGAATGCCAGGGGAAGGTTGATGCCATTCATCGCCATCCAGTCTATATGTCGCTGCCATTTTGACCAGTCCCACCAAACAAATGTGTAACTGAAGGTGCAGACATTCTCGTAATACCGAAATCTGTAATACAAAAATTCTAAAAAATAAATAAATATCTTAGCAATCTTAGAAAAGAATTATATTAAAAGGTATTATACAATTATTGACTAGTGAGCCATTGAATATGATGTAATATTCACCGGCAGATGACATATTGCTGCGCATACAAAAATAATTCAAGTTTATACTCATTATTGCGGTGTAACCCTTAACTATAATAGTAAAGTATTGATATTTTAATCGAGAAATATGCCATAAAGAAAAAAAAGCAACAATTATTTTTTAATTAACACGCGTAATTAACAGTCTACGGTGTATGATCATTGAATATGAGTCTCAATCTATTTTTAGACTGGGAAAATCCAATTCAGCCAGTGAATATGATACTACACCCAGTAAATATGATTTTATAAAAAGTTCTGTTGACTACTGTTTGGACCAATGAGATTGCAGCTATATTTAGATCATATAATAAAAAGCTATATCTTATGAAATATATTTATCAAATTTATAAACCATAGAATTATGTTGTCAATATCCGTAAGAGTTGTAACAAAGAATGTCTCTGTTATTTAACACACATGAATATTGTACATACACAGAATGAAATGTTCTGGACCAAAATATCATTATGCAATTTTACATAAAATTTTAACCGTTTAGCAATGATTTTGTGCATGCACCATTGGCTTTTCAAGCAATATATTAAAATATTTCTTTTATACAAGTTTTTGGAAGTTTCAAACGGTAATATTTGCTCCAGATACGAAATACATATAGCTTTATACACTTTAAAGATATTTTTGTTTAATACTAAATATTGAAAAGATTAAAGTGACAAGAATGCGCAAGGTCAAGTAGATGTAACTTTGACCAAGAGGGGAGTGTAAAATCTGAGTCTATATATTTAATTACTGCAGGCATCAGGAAAATATACTTGTTTTATTATTATATTTATCAGATACCTAGGCTGTATCATGCATGTTAAGTGCTACTCTCAAATATGTAGAGACTGAAAACAGAGAAAGGCAAATACTTTTATGACAACATATAAGACCTAAATTCATCAATGCTTTCAAATAAAACTAAAATAATTATAACAAGAAACATGGCAATGCCATGAAACCAGGTTTTCAATTATCACCATTGTAGATAAATATGTTGTATTTGAAATACAAATACAAGCAACAAACAATGTAACTATGTGCAATGTAAAACATGAATAATGTAGGAGGAATTGCCACTGAAGAAGTGTTCACTATAATATTATGTATAAGGAAAAAAACAAAGGGCCATAATTAGGTCAAAAACTATCCAATCACAAAACCCCGACAATATGTGCCAGGGTGCTTGATGACAAAGCTTCTGTGAAAGTTTGAACAAAATCCGTTGAGAAATGTAGGACGGGTTCAGCACAGAAGAATTTGTTCACTATAATTATATTGATAATTCTGTATAATGAAAAACAAGTTACAAAGTAGACATGAAATAATATATCATATCTTTTTTAAATTATCTCCAAAGATGATATGACCTTTGACTGCCAAATCAAGTTAAAATCATGTAAACAGGATTTTCAATGTTAATGTCACTGTGACCTTGACCTTGGAGCCAGCCATGCGGAACATGCATTCTGCACGTCATCTTGATGTGGTAAACATTTGTCTGAAGTTTCATCAAAATTCTTCAAAGGGTTGAAGAGTTACAGAGCGGACAGGATTTTCAATGTTAATGTCACTGTGACCTTGACCTTGGAGCCAGCCATGCGGAACATGCGTTCTGCACGTCATCTTGATGTGGTAAACATTTGTCTGAAGTTTCATCAAAATTCTTCAAAGGGTTGAAGAGTTACAAAGCGGACAGGATTTTCAATGTTAATGTCACTGTGACCTTGACCTTGGAGCCAGCCATGCGGAACATGCGTTCTGCACGTCATCTTGATGTGGTAAACATTTGTCTGAAGTTTCATCAAAATTCTTCAAAGGGTTGAAGAGTTACAGAGCGGACAGGATTTTCAATGTTAATGCCACTGTGACCTTGACCTTGGAGCCAGCCATGCGGAACATGCGTTCTGCACGTCATCTTGATGTGGTAAACATTTGTCTGAAGTTTCATCAAAATTCTTCAAAGGGTTGAAGAGTTACAGAGCGGACAGGATTTTCAATGTTAATGTCACTGTGACCTTGACCTTGGAGCCAGCCATGCGGAACATGCGTTCTGCACGTCATCTTGATGTGGTAAACATTTGTCTGAAGTTTCATCAAAATTCTTCAAAGGGTTGAAGAGTTACAGAGCGGACACAATTTCGTTTGACGCCCGCCCGCCCATCCGCCCAGCCGCCCATCCGCCCATCCGCCCGCCATACCCCAATCTAATAACCAGGATTTTCAAAATTGAAAACCTGGTTAAAAATACCTATCATTTGTAGTGATAGAGAGGCCAGGTTTAGGGATCACTGGTAGAGGACTTGGAAGGTTAAGCTGCTCTCCACCCCAGGTAAACTGACATCTGCACTTTGTCTTCAGAAAATAATAGAAGCCCATAGCTGCAGCAACCCCTGATGTAGCTGTTATTGTTACATTTTTACCATCTGACATCAGCTGAATAAACATTATTTACAGAAACATTAGAAATGATCATAAAAGTAAATAAACAGGGCAATATACGCCTGATTGCAAATCTACAAGAAGGTACCGGTATGTGTCATGGACAAAAATAAGCCTTAAAGAAGGATAGCAAATACATTATTGTAAATAGCTCATGACTTTTCAATCAAATGTAAGAGAAAAATATACAGTCTGACTTTTTCTAAATAAGTTAACATTAGTAATGGAAGATAACTGAACATTATGACTTGATTTCATTTTGATAGAAAAAAGTCAATTAAATCACAGTGACAATAACTTGATTGCGGAAAAAATATAACTTGACCAGTGTTTTGATATTACATAGTTACTTGCATGCAAAAATTCAGTGAATTCCTTATAAAGTTATTCTGTTCATGCAAACATTTGCTGAAAAGGAGGTATTACTCTTCCAATAATGAGTTGATTGCAATGAAAATGGAACTTCACCTGTGTTTTGATATAACATACTTACAACAATCACTGAAATCCTTCAAAGTTATGCTGTGGAAGCCAATTGTCTATGAATGAACAGAAGGACTAAAATGGGATAAAGGGCTATTTCTATTGTTTGTTAGAGGGCCATTGGCCCTTTATTCTCTTGTTATGGAATTAAGTCTATTGTTCTTTCTGGTTCCATCTATCTATCCTATCCTATATATCTAATTTTTTTTTGCAGTGTGAACGTTCTCCCTGAATTAACATTACCATTTTTTTCTTTGATCTCAAAAACCCCATAAGCAACACATTTATCAATCCATAAGCAACCTTTTCCCACAGAAGTACAAGTCTGTACAGAATGAACATGGATATTCATCACATAATATCACTTGAGTCTGTGCAGACAGACGGACAAACAATCCCATACCATAACATACCACAATATGTCCCAAAGGTCCTTGGGCAAATAAAAACAAGTTTTTAAAACAAAATTACAGATTACTCATGAGTGCTGGTAAATTTTTCTTCATGTAAGTTAAGAATTTTCTTCAGAAAGGAGCTTGATCTTATTGCATTATCATTGTAACATTTTTTGCCATATACATGTAATTAGTAAAATTCATGTTTACCATAAACAAATTTTACAAATACTGAGTACTTACATTAAATGTGTCATGAAATTCTGGATCCTTGTTTTTGATAATGTCAACTTGAAAAGTATTTGATTTAGGACCAATTATTCGAGCAATCAAATCTAGAGCTGCCTGGCGTTGGTCATTCAAACTTGCAGAGGGCCGAATATGGTCAAGATTGGGATAAACTGAAATACAAATAAATATTACAGTAACAAGAGTTGCCATTTCCATTTTAGGGTTCTTTATGTTTATGCTAACACCAACCTTCAATGGTTAACCCATCAAGAGTGACTTTCTAAGTTTACTATTAGCAATAGAATTACTCCAGAATACAGAATATTTGAGAATTTCCCAGCTAATTCAGAGTACAACTTTTTACAACTTTGTGGTTTGTTTGTTTGGTTGTTTAGCTGGATTTTAAGTCACACCACCACTGTACAGGTCATATGGTGACATTTGAGTTTTTGCATGGTGAAGGGAGACCTCAGGTGCACCTTTGTGCACTATTTCAGGCACAAACTGGCACCTGAGTAGAACCACTGATCTTCCATAAGCTAGCTGGATAGCTTTCTCAATTGAAAGAATTTAAAGTCCCTAAGTGACATAATCCATGGTTATATACCTAAAATAATTGATCCGACATATATTACATTATGACCTCAAAATCAATATTGGTTGTCTACTGGCCATGTGCAATGACTACTTAGTTACATACACCATAGCTTATTGTTGAGCTGACAAGGACAGCAGGATGTATACACTTTTTAAGAGTGGGGGGGCATAATAAACACCAACAAAGATATGGTGTACTACCTGATGCTGATACAACAGTGAACAGGATGGCAATCCGAATCATGGTTGTCTCTTAATAGTCAATAATGTGATCATGTGCAGTGAACCCGGATAAACTGTAATCTGAAAAGTTGATAAAATGTTCATATTTATCTCAATCAAATTATAGTTATAAAAACAGGTATTCTATTAACATGAGCATATTGTTTCTTTCGTGTAGTTATCTTAAGCACTGTTCCTTCTCTTGAAATTGTGAATAGGTGAATGACAGACTGTTCCCCCTCCTACAAGTACCTCACCCTGATGGTTTCCCTATAACCATTTCCTCCCCTGACAGTTCTCACATTTTTATCAATTATTTATTTAATTTTTTTTTTAACAATGGAAATTTACTGTAATCATTTCCTAACGTGGTGAGAATTATAGGAAAAAGTGTAGGCAATGTTTTTATTTTATAAGCGTAGGCAATGTTTTTATTTTATAAGTAAAATGATTAAGGGAAACGTTTAAAAATGTGTTATTTAGATACTATACTATATGCAATCAAGTTGTCGAAGTAAGACAAGATCTACTGGTTGGAGACCACCAAAACTGGACAACCACAAAACCCGGATGCCCATGAAAATGCATGATTTAGGTTTTTTTTAGTTGTTCAGTGGTTCAGTCGCTTTATATCAACAATAACTGCATGTTTGGTCTATAATTTAGTAAGTAAATTTATTTCAATTTCCGTAAACGGTAATATTTTAATGTGTTGTTCAAGAACGTTGACATTGAAAATTTGGACGTCAAGAGTGCAATACCTGACCTCTTATACTAGCTATAATCATTTGCAGAGTGAATAACAGAATATCCAAAACTTCAGCATTTGCTGCTGAAATATTTTATATCACGTTAAAAATAAAAAATTAAAACACAAAAGCTTTTATTGAATTAAATCAGCATCATGGACATATCTGTCCGGACACATGGTACTGTAGTGTGGACAATTTAGGTAATTTTGATACCCTCCTTAACAGGCCTCAGATATAAATGTCAACATAATCAGAAATAAACAAAGTAGTCCGTTAGTTAGGAAAAGAACCTAGCTGCACTGTGTCAAATTTTAAGAACTCTAGCTTTAAAATTATAAAATCTGTATGGAAAAATGTTCAAAAAGTGTCCGATTCGTGGTCCCCAAACAGTAAACATCACAGATTTCTTAAAGTTATTTATTACATGCAACGAAACATTAAATATTTCTGGAGAGATCCTGCTTAAAATGTTTTAAATTGATATTTTTATCTGTCAAGAATAGTATGTATACATGTTAACACCTTTTTCCAGGTATTTTAATGCAATCAACACCTTATTGTCAAAGGGTGAGAAAAATGTGCAGCCTGACCGGGACTTGAACCCGGGATCCTTGAAATACCGTACCACGGCTCTACCGACTGAGCTATCCAGCCGCTTACAAATCAATCTTATCCTCTAAATAGTGAACAGTTCTGAACCATGACATACTCCCCTGCTATATTGAAATTCGTCCTCAAATTTCTAATGGGTAAAGAGAACAATGTGAAATTGAACTCGGAGCTTATACCATCACGGTCCCCCGTTGGGCGCCAAATGTCACAGGGTGAGAAAAATATGCAGCCTGACCGGGACTCGAACCCCGGGACCCTCGGAATACTGTACCGTGGCTCTACAGACTGAGCTATCCGGTTGCTTACACATCTTCTCCCTTAAATAGTGAACAGTTCTGAACCGTGACATTATGAAAATTATGGTTACGGAATAGTGATTAATTGAAAACTACATGTAATTATCATAAAGGTCTAGTGATAAATTAACTCCATTCATTTGTTTAAATACTAAGTCAAGTCATAAAATTATAGATATCTTCTGGTATGTCACCAAATATTAACTTTTTTGGTACACAGGGAGGAAACTGGTAAGGCATGAAGGGGGTGAATATGAAGTTTGACAACCGAACAGGTGAAGCAAACTAAAGCTAAAAAAACAATGGCAAGGCATTATCCTAAAATTTCAGTAAAAACTATGATGTTATGTCATGTTATAAATTGCGAAATGACATAAGCTTGCATGGAAACATTGAAACATTATTTACTTTTTTTATACTATGGACTATTTAATCAGGATCATCTTACTACCACACCGGTTTATACCTTACCGTATAGGCTGAGCACCACTAGTGCTTTTTGTAGGTTAAATATCACTAAACATTTTCCTTCTACTAAAAAAAAGAACGCTAATGTTGGCAGTCAACATTTGGTGAAAATATCTTTAAATTATGTACTGCTTTATCATTTTAAATGAACACATCCTATAACCAATCACCTGTATCGGCAATCACCATGAAAATGTTTTTGTGTCATCAATGATTCTACTATAATATTTCAGTAATAATGGCGTAAGCCAGAGTCTTTCAAATAGAATCTATTTGGAAGACCCTGCTTAAGCCAACAAATTTCTCAATTAAAATCTTTCAGCAAATATATAGGATCTAGGCCATGTAAATTAATACAAGAGGATATAAATGTATTTCTCTATATAAGTTTATGAAAACTAAGTACCCCCAATTTTACAAAGGACCACAATGCATGCTAAACCAAAAATCTAAGTTCTGGGCATAGTAGCTTCTGAGTAGTAGACTTTTAAAATCAATTTCCAATACAAGTCCAAGTAAAAAGGTGACCCTTGTTGGGCTATATAAGACCACATGGACATGATTTTCCTCATTTTATATAGGCTTACTAGACAATGCTCTAGCCTTAGACTCAAGAAGATTTAAGATTTTTCTAAAGATTTTTTTAGAAGTCTATGTAAAAAACAGTCACCACCTGTATATTGATTTATTTAATGTTTGTAAAATAAATACCTTGTAGTTTCAAACAAGGTTTGAATGTGTTTTCCTTTGCAAGTAAAGTTAAAATAAGTAACCAGCCTGCGCTAGTCCAATTTTGACACCAGGGATGTGATGAAGATTTTGTAGTAGGTTGTAAACCAAATATCTAAGTTCTGGGTATTGAAGTCCCTTAAGATTATTTTAGGTTAATTGTTTGCTCCTTCCTATAACCTACTGTGCCTCAAACTGGATCCATATATATTGCAGAATGCCACCAAATGATTGTTCCTATGTAGCTTGGTCAAAATCCAACTTAATCTCCTAACATTGTTGTGAAAAGAAATTGTGGTGAATAATAAACAACATGCACTTGTGGAAAAAATGCTAAGCCACTGCATTAATACAACACTAAAAATTAGGAACAGAAGTAAATTATCTTTTGTTTCTATACAATTAAACTTGGCCATATTGCAGTAGTGTCTAGTGAATTTGGTGGTCAGGGCCATATTTCAGCATGTCAAATGAAAGATAATGTGCAGATGTGTCTTATGTTCAGATACAAAGGCCATAGTATTATAACTTTAGACATTTACATAGCTGTATTAACTTTGAAATACAGTTATGGTTATTTTCTTAAATACGGTCTTTTCAATTTAGCAGTACCTATTTCTGAAAACATAAAAAACATTTACAATTTAAAACCATCATTAGAGACAATCTATATTATTTAAACTAATCTATAATACCTTCCTTTACAAAGAAAAGGTATTCATTTTGCGAATCATAATGTCCTTATAAAGTCCTCAATTCATTTCATAGATATCTCTGAAAAGCAAACATCTCTCTTGCTAGAGGTCATGACCTTTAGACTAACTTCTGGCTGTTGTATCTTTTCTTTTTTTATAGAAAAATTGCATATGATGTACACATGCATAAAAGGCATTCCAATATGTGTAGTTTCCCTTCCATTATTTAACTCATGAGCTGGGGAATGATTTGAAGAAAAACATGTCCTCCTGGGGTGGGGCTATATTTTACCCTAAGGCTACAGTTTGAATCATCTTAATAGAGGTTCACTAGGCAATGTTCATGTTTATTATCTATGCTCTAGCCTATGTAGTTTTGAAGAAAAAGATTTCATTTTAATTTTTTACTATATACATATAGGGACAACACATTTACCCTGGGGTGGGGCCAATTTTGATCCAAGGGTTAAAATTTGAACAATCTGGGCAGATGTCCATATGCCTCTGCTCTAGGCTTTTAAGTTCTAGAGAACAAACATTTTTTATAATTTCTTCTATTAGTCCTGGTTGGCATGGCAATCACATTTCCACACGGAATCAAATTCTTTAACAGCTTTGGAAGCCCTTCATCCAAGGAACAATCCTAGCAAGTTTTGTTGAAATAGATCTGTGTTGTTTTTAAATTTTTATGTTCAGTAACAGACATGTGCTAGATGCCACTGCATCACAGATTGTGGTGGCAGAAAAACCAACATGAGCACTGTTCAGGTGAGCTTAAACGAAAAGAATGCGCATGTTTCTTTTTGAGTGATTGTTTGAGTTTTAAGTAAAGATAATATGCCCCTGCATGCATTATTTCAGGCACAAAAATAGCAGCCTGGGATAACCACCAACCTTCTAAAAACTATCTGGAATACCTTCCTCTCTGTCAGGATTCAAAACATATAGCAGTGGACAAGCGTTTGAGCCACTGAGCAGGGATGTTTTAGAAAATTTTTCATCCAATTACTGTACTCATCCTTCCTCTCTTACAAATGTTAATCATATGTTGTAGGGAAGTAATTGAAACAAACAAATATTAAAAATTTCATGTTACCAACCTTGTGGCCAGATAACTTTTTATTTCAATAATAATGTATTTTAGTTGAAGTCAAAACAACAGAACTAGAAATAAAATCACAATAAGCTTCAATAGATATAGGTAGAGATAGAAGGAGAAAAAAGTAAGAAAAATAAATTTCCATAGCACAGAAAGGAACAATACATGCGACTCCATAAAACAGCTAAAGAACTAACAATATACAATTACATTGGTGGTAATACACCAATTAGAACAGATAGGCTATACATTGTACTCTCTAAGTTTATATACAGACTATTATATGCCAGTGTATATCCCCAAATTACAGAACAATATATATATAATCACTTATTCCTATGTATGATGGCAAAAACTTAACACTTTTGATAAACTTTACAACAAAACTTGATTTCGATGTTTTTCCCGATTAACTAGGCAGACCTTCTACAACAACTGCTAAGACTTTGTTCGCACTTAAAACTTTCCATATGTTTAATATCCACATTCAAATTATAATCATTTTCCTCTTTTTTACAGCAACAGTAATCATTTCTGACATTGCCAAATCCTTTGTTACATTTTAATTGAAATATAGTTAGGAATCAAACAAAATAGGAGTATTTATGTATCCTTTCAATTACAAATAAATCAATTTTGATTAAATAAAGTCGTAACTTTTACAGATCATCTTTAAAACATTTCATAGACATTTCTTAACAGAAATATCAATAATTTCCATTTGTCTCTTAGGAACAGATTTTTGTTTAAAATAAATCTGCTGAGTGATAATAGCTCAATGCCACATTTAACAGAAGCACAGCGCTTAAATATTCAAACATTACTAACAGTTCATACAGTGATGTTCCAAGCAACATTAAAACTATCTTAGATGTAGAATTTAAATAAATTGATAAATGTGTAACAAAAGTATAAAACAATGTGGGGGTATACAAGAGATACAATATAACAACAATGCCTAGACCTGAGATATACTGATTACAGTAAGCACTTCTCATTTGAGCCGGGCCATGACAAAACCAACGTACTGCGTTTGCGACCAGCATGGATCCAGACCAGCCTGCGCATCTGCGCAGTCTGATCAGGATCCATACTGTTCGCTTACCAACTCTATTACAAGTAGAGAAACTGATAGCGAACAGCATGGATCCTGGTCAAACTGCACGGATACGCAGGCTGGTCTGGATCCATGCTGGTCGCAAACACATTATGTTGGTTTTGTCATGGCATGGCTCATTTACCTATAAATATACACCAATATTTATATGTGCACTTAAATAAACAACTATGGTAATGTGAAAAAACTATAGGTCTACACTGAGCACCAGCTTGTCAATAAAGCATTAAAGAAAAGAAAAATATATATGACATATGAGAGAATATGACTTGAATTGGACTTTGTTGCATTACTAAGCAGGTTATTATAGATGCTTCTATCTTTCAAATAACTTTATTACATCTCAGTTTGTTTCATATTTGTTTGAATGGATATTTTTGTAACATTGCTTAACAGTTACAAAGTAGAGAAATCAAATCATCATATTGAAAGAGTTCTCTTGTTTCTGCTGTGCCTAAAATATTATTAATAAAATTTGCAGCATATACATGTTTTCATATCCCATGGTCAGTCATTAAACAACTTTAATGCTGAGCCAACAAAATATGAAACAAAAATATTTAAAAATATCTGCAACTTAAAAATTAGACCAACAAATAGTTTATAGAATTCTTCACTCAAGTACAAAATTTTCAAAGTCTAGTTTGTTTCATTTAACATGTAATCAGAGTAGCTGCACTTTTCAGATGATCAAGTATTTTGAGCTGAAGTTCACAATGTTTATACTAAACAGTTGGATAAAAATCGACTCCAAATTGATATTTTTTGTTTAGCATTAATTTATTATTTAGGTTTCGCCACAGCCTTTATCAGATAATAACTTATTTTATACACTAAGCAGGACAGACTTATGAACCATTGTATTTTCTTCTAACAAGTTCTCAACAACAAGCTAGGTTTGAAAAGCTTCAGAAGTCTATGATCACAGTAAGCAAGGTTTACAGTTTCAGTGTATTAGAGAAAACGTAATATTCCATTTTTTAAATACTTTCTATTCAATGAAATAATCTAAATGTACATGTAATATAATAAGAGTATGTATTTAAGTAGGTGCAATTATTTAACCTAAAGTAAAATTAATATATTTAAACCAAAAGTAAAGTTAATAAATGTAAACCAAAAGTATATTTATAGAGAAGAAAACGACTGAAAATTACAGACGACCAGACTATTTTTAACAAAACATAATGAACACAGTTACTGCTAATGTATCACAGACATATATATATATATAAATGCACGGACAGCTTGTGCAAAAATATGAACACCAAGCACAAGCTTCTCGAGCCTTATGTACAATTTAACCTTAATCCCTTTATTTTACATAATGAACTCACCCTGTAAATAAACCAGCCATGTCCATTAATAATTCAAGGGTGTTTCACACAATAATGTTAGAATAAGACAACCAGCCGTGTAGAGACAGGCCATGAACGTTCACGTCTGACCACATGCTTTTTTACTGGAAGCATAGGTACATCATTATTGATTCTATCATTCTACAGGTTCAACAGAAAACCTCTATTATCCTAGAAATCATTGCAGGGGAAAAAGCTAGAATTACTATTTTGCATCTAATTTTTGTTTTACCTTTCACTCACAGCATATAGATCTTACAGAAGTGAGACTGTTCTATTTGATAATACCAAGATATTCTATGTAAACCTAAGTAAACATACATACATGAAATCAAATTCCATAGATGCAGGTGGTTATCTAAATAGCAGATGAGTTTTAAACATCTTAGAAATTACAATAATTCATCTATACTAGAGATATCTAAATATTTACTTATGTTATATGATACCATAACTTTATTGCAAAAGGAAAGACATAACTTTTCTCCCTGAAACATTTCATACTTCACACAATGAATAAGCCATGAGAATATAATAATGAAAATGAAAAGATTATCCTATCTAATTGTATGAGAATTATGTACAAAAATACAATAATAATTTTTAAGTAGCTATATACAGAACATGAAATATTTCTCATGTTTTTACACAGAAAATGTACAGAGATAACAACAAGTGAAACAAGCTCTAAAATAAGAACTATACACAACAGTCAGATAATAAATTCTAGATACTTGAAGTCTTTGATGAAATAAATAAAATTGTAATGGCTAGATTCAGAAATGAAAAATAGACTTTAGAAGTTATAGGTTCAATTCGCAACACAGTTTTTTAGCCATACAATAGTTCTCTTTACCTATTACCCATGTAGATTAAAGTTTATAAGAGTTATCTTCCTTACATTTTAAATTTCATTCATACAAGAGTTACCTGTACCTTTCCTTACAATACATGTATATAAAGAGTCGTCTCCCTTACATTTATATTCTAGTGATGTAAAAGTTATCTTCCTTACATTATATATGTTTATCTGATTATCATTAAGTTCATGCATATAATGAGATCAAAAAGAATAATATTTACAATGGACAGCTGTTCTAATCTAACATATACAAAAATATACAAAATAAATCGAGACCAAACATATACAAAATATCAAACTGAACAAACTTGTGAAAAAAATATGAAGGATTGAAAAATGATGGTAGCCTGAAACAAAATCAAATTTAATTTCTTCATGATGATGAAATGCCTTGGTGATTACATGAAAATAAAGAAACAAGTATTTACAATTTTCCTTATACAAGTTCAGAGTATACAATATTCCAATAAATAACTTTTAAACAAGTTTGACTTGAACAATATGGTATTAAAAATCTAAAAAAAGAAAAAAATCCAAAAACAAACAAAATAATAGGATAACTTAATGCCATTTATTTAGTCTTCATTTAGATTTTGCTAAAAATATACAAATTAATTCATTGACACATATGCAAATCAAATCAGTAGATTACAAGAATCCAGACCTTTGACATGTTAATATGTTAATTAAAAATTGCTAAGTGGTCCAATACCAGAGTGTCTCAAATTCAACAAGTCTACTCTATAGGAATCTATTCCATTCCAAAATTGTGTAAACATCAAAATATGTTCTTTTCATTTAAACAAACATAATAATTATTTCATTTTATTACATGTATATAAATCAAATATCAATTGTAAAAGTCAATATCCAGTAAACTTGAAAAATTCTGTTTAATGGGAACCAAAGCAATTTGATTAGAAAAGGATAAAGTGGCATCTAACTGCATGATCTATTTCCTTCAGTAACTTTAAGCGTATTTATTTTAAATCTTGCTTTTTTTTACAATATATTTCACCTATCATGATATGTAAAAGAAAGGTAATAATTTATAACTTTTTAAAATAAGCAGAAATTGAGATTATACTTCAAACGATGTTAACCCGTCAGAATAAAGAAACTACAGATATGTGATAACAGAGATAGCCAACATGTGAATTAATCAACATAAGAGGAGACTTTACAAACAAATAATAATTTTAAGCTTTATATTATAATAAATGAAAATCATAATAAATGCCACAGTGTATTTGAGCAGTAATATCTTAAATAAGAAACTATTTACATCTTTCTACAATATATCTAAGCAACAAAACCTAGTGCTATGGAGGATCCAATGATTTACTTTTGTTTTCCTGCAGAGACGATTTTCTTTGTTGAATTTTCTCTGCTGAGTTTGGATGTAGTCTGTCTGGTGATAGAGCTCGACGTAACAGAGGTGAAGTCTGGTCAGGCTTATGTTTTGAAAATGAATGTCTCTTAACTATAGCTTGACTTGGATTTGTGTTTAAATGTGCTGGTATTGTTTTCTGTGACTGATTTGAAGCTCCTACTTGATGCCCCTGTGAAAAAGCTAGCGGACTAGGGGATCTTGTGGGAGATACAGGCATTGGAGATGGTGATGGTGTCCGTGCCAGTGGAGATAATGGAATGTTGTGAACAGATTTTCTTCTGCACGGAGACTTCAAGCTCTGTGTTCGCTTATGTTTTAGACCAGACAAGGAACTTGGACGTCCATAACCAGTCGGTGAGTGTGACTGATTGGCCGGTGAATTAGGTGAACTAGAACTGGGTGAACTACTGGTTGATGAGGTCTGACATGTTTCCGGGGACCAAGTTAGAGATAATGGTGATGACTGAACTCCTGTTTTAAATGTTACAGCAGAAGTGTCACCAAACGACCAAGATTTACTAAATGGACTACTCCGATATGTACTGCTTGGTGTAAGTGGGGAACTATGTCCAAGCTGACCCGCAACATGACCCTGTTGTTCAGCCCGCTTCGTACTTAATCTCCTAAACAATGACCGACTTTTCTTCTTTTCTCCTCCTTTTCCCGCCTTTTTCTTTGATCTCCGGGCCATCTTGCCTGGATTTGTTCCCTTCTTTTTAGCACCTTCAAACAGATAAAATATCAATGCTAAAGCTTTTTAAAATTAAAACTTTGAGAATGTTTAGTGATAATACAATTGTTTTAACAAGTAAATAACTCTATGTTTTTAAAATAATACAGATAACTACAATAAGTCTTATATATAAAGTATAAGATTATCTACGGACAATATTACCTGTTTGGATGGTTGAGCTCTCTAATGGCATGGACCGAATGCGTAATTCTCCTTTTCCTTTGAGGATAAGCTGAACAACCTGTGTATGAAGTAGACTATGGATAGGTTCCTCATTAATATGTGTGATAAGATCACCAGGTCGTAGCCCCGCTTCAAATGATGGACTATTATCTTCAACAGCCTACATAATAAAAAAAGAAATTAGCATGATCTTGGCATCATAAATTTTGAAATCATAAATTTGCAGATGTTAGACCAACACTTAATGACCTCACGATTCAGTTGAACAGACATTAATCAACTTGGCAGTCATAGTTAACTATACTAGTACTTTATTAAATAATTTTATATCCATAGTGCTAACTAAAATTATTAATGATTAATTTTTAATAATTCTAAAATCACCTTCCATCAGTACTTTCAGATATGGTATTTTGATTCTTAATCACTTTAAAATATACAAATAAAGCAGTTACAGCTGAAATAATTCTGTCTTGGTTGTGTCACAACGCAATATCTAATTAAATTGCAATGAATACAAGTAAAGGGTACAATCTACTTATTTTACTTACAACAACAATATGCTGAAGTGCATAAGTGTTTGAGTTGCCAAGGTAAACTCTGATTGCCTTCAATGTGAATCCATAACCTCTTGCACCCTTCTTAATTACAATGGGTGGCTTTAGGCTTTTTGCTAGCGGGGACATCTCCCTGGAAGGGGAGCCGTCACGAGAGCTGGTACTAGAACCTGGAGACTCCATTGGCTGATTGTGGAACTCTTCTAAAAAGTAGTATATTCAAAAATACATACCAAGATTGTTAACAGTACATAGAAATAAACTTATCAAATTAAACAAATATTTTCATTAATGGATTTAACGATTTGTCTTTATAATGACTAATAAAGGTATGAAGTAAGAATAGAAAAAGGGCAGAATTAAATGATCATCATTCCCCAAATTCTTATACAGATTTAAGGCAACCTTCCAAAAGTAATGAAGAAAAATCTTACTCACCAGGAGCTTGGATGAGAAGAGTTAAAGCATTTGCTGAAACTGATTTCTGCATTATCTTTAGCTCCGATCTCTTTTCACGCATTTCATCAACAGGTGACAGTTCTGTAAGTGTATAAAGTGTACAAAAAAATGAAAAATGACTTCACATGCAAGTAATGATCTACTATTTATATCTGGTTCCAGGCACTTTTCTGAGTATTTATACCTATGTTTGCACATACAAAGAATGTATATCAGGGCACAAAAAAAATAATGGAAATTCAAAATGCTTCTCTAATATTCTAAAGGAGTTGACAGCCTTGTGTTTTTTTTTAAACAAGCAAATTCGTTGAATTTATATCCCCCGCCGAGTACTGGTTATTATTAACACAACAACTGAAGACATAAGGCTTTATTTATATATTAATCATGGCATAAACAATAATATTCTTTGAACTTGATAAATATTCAGAGCAATAACAGAGCCATAACTTTGTGTTAACCCATTACTTCATGAGCATTTTGTGAAAAATGGCTGTTTTCATTGAAAAGTCTCCCGTTACAAGTTCAAACTGCTATAATACTATAAAAACTGCTTCAACACTAATCAAACTTGGCACAAATGTTGACTGGACCATTGCCCTTGCAACAACATGCTCAGGCTTAAATTTACTGTTACCATGGCAACGAGGGGACACCTCAAAATTGCCAAAAAATCACTATTTTGCGTTGATTTTTTCCATCAAAATTGATTTCAAAGTGCTGCAACTTCTCAATGGATTGAGATAGAGTCAAATGCTTTTCAGCGTTGGTTACGCGTTACCATATGATCAATCTGGGGTCATTTACAGCCTCTCAAAAGTCCAAAATTTTCTTGGCGATGAGGGGGACTCTGCCCCCCTTCAAACCCCCCAAACAAGGGGTCACATCCCCCTTCTGGCAACCCCCTGATGTATCTTTTGGTTGGGGGGCCGCGCCGAAAAAGAGGTCACTTTTTTTAACAACATTTCTCAAACAAAAACAAGTGTTTGGGGCCTAAATAAGGCATTTTTTCATCATTTGAGACAACAAAAAGGGGGGGGTGAAAAAGGCGTTAAAAGGCGTGTATATGAAGTAATGGGTTAACCAGAAAGTGATGAAAATACTTGAAATTACCCTAAATCGTGTTTTTTCATGTTTAAACATGGCCTGTCATATAAATTTGAAGAAAAATTGTTGTTTTGTAGATTTTTTTATTTTTTTCATTAACCCATTACTTCATGAGCATTTTGTGAAAAATGGCTGTTTTCATTGAAAAGTCTCCCGTTACAAGTTCAAACTGCTATAATACTATAAAAACTGCTTCAACACTAATCAAACTTGGCACAAATGTTGACTGGACCATTGCCCTTGCAACAACATGCTCAGGCTTAAATTTTCTGTTACCATGGCAACGAGGGGACACCTCAAAATTGCCAAAAAATCACTATTTTGCGTTGATTTTTTCCATCAAAATTGATTTCAAAGTGCTGCAACTTCTCAATGGATTGAGATAGAGTCAAATGCTTTTCAGCGTTGGTTACGCGTTACCATATGATCAATCTGGGGTCATTTACAGCCTCTCAAAAGTCCAAAATTTTCTTGGCGATGAGGGGGACTCTGCCCCCCTTCAAACCCCCCAAACAGAAGGGGGCACATCCCCCTTCTGGCAACCCCCTGATGTATCTTTTGGTTGGGGGGCTGCGCCGAAAAAGAGGTCACTTTTTTTAACAACATTTCTCAAACAAAAACAAGTGTTTGGGGCCTAAATAAGGCATTTTTTCATCATTTGAGACAACAAAAAGGGGGGGGGGTGAAAAAGGCGTTAAAAGGCGTGTATATGAAGTAATGGGTTTAATAGTAAAATCTGGAAATGCCAATGAGATGTATGCATACTACATAACTAATCAAGGGCCATAAATCATAGTTATAAGTATCTGACTGGAACAAGGCGACTATATGCACATCTCCTCTTAGTATCCCATAAAGTTTCATTGAATTCCAGCCAGTAGTAGCAGAGAAGTAGCCAAGAAACAAATATTTTTCTATATGGATACTGCATAACTAATCAAGGGCCATAACTCTGAGTTAAAGTGTCTGACCCGAACAAGCCGACGATATGTGCATCTCCTCTTGGTATTGAAGGTTCCCATAAAGTTTCGTTGAATTCCAGCCAGTAGTAGCAGAGAAGTAGTGCGGAAACGATTTTTACTCTATATGCATACTACATAACTAATCAAGGGAACATAACTCTGAGTTAAAGGGCCGGAACAAGCCGACGATATGCGCATCTCCTCTTGATATTGATGATTCCCATAAAGTTTCGTTGAATTCCAGCCAGTAGTTGCAGAGAACTACTCCGGAAACGATTTTTACTCCATATGCATATTGCATAACTAATCAAGGGCCATAACTCTTAGTTAAAGTGTCTGACCCGAACAAGCCGACGATATGCGCATCTCCTCTTGGTATTGAAGGTTCCCATAAAGTTTCGTTGAATTCCAGCCAGTAGTTGCAGAGAAGTAGCGCAGAAACGATTTTTACTCCATATGCATACTGCATAACTAATCAAGGGCCATAACTCTGAGTTAAAGTGTCTGACCGGAACAAGCTGTCGATATGCGCATCACCTCTTGGTATTGATGATTCCCATAAAGTTTCATTGAATTCCAGCCAGTAGTTGCAGAGAACTACTCCGGAAACGATTTTTACTCTATATGCATACTACATAACTAATCAAGGTCCATAACTCTGAGTTAAAGGGTCGGACCGGAACAAGCCGAGGATATGCGCATCTCCTACTGATATTGATGATTCCCATAAAGTTTCGTTGAATTCCAGCCAGTAGTTGCAGAGAACTACTACGGAAACGAAATTCGGACGGACGGATGGACGGACGGACAACGCCAAGACTATATCCCCCTCCCGATTCCATCGGCGGGGGATAATAACAGGAAATATTTTTTCCAAGATTGGTGTAGGCCTGGTTGCTAATTTTCAGATCATTCCCCCATCCTGTTATTCCAGAAGTACAAACTGGTCAAAAGCATTGAAACAGTTTTCACTCCTATCAGGCAAAAAATTGATATTCAATTGAATAGTGAGTATATTTGTTTACTATCCTTTGCGGTTTTTTTCTCCATGATGTTTGAAAGAATTTCAAAGTTTACATTTTTAGGCTTTTTGCATCAGTTGAGCCCCTTTAAAGACCGAAAAGACTTACTATTATCTTTATTTTACTTAATGGCTACTAAACATGACAGAATTTGAAAACTTGAGATATAATATTTCACCTTGATTCTAGAATTAACATTATATTCAGCCATAATCTTGAAACTACTGAAATAAACCAAGCCAATTACAGGAAAATCACAGCCTTGTTCTTGGTTTCTAAGGAGATCAAGTAGATAAAAAGAGGCTTTAATAATTGAAGACATTCCTCTAATTCCATAAGACAGAAATAACATTATGTTTACAACCAGAATTAAATTCTCTCACTCTATTTCTGAGCAAAAGTTAATATCCGACTTCAAGGAGTTACTATGACTACATAATGGTATACAAGCCATAATTACCTTACCAACAGAAACAATTCTTAAGACAAGAAAGTTTTCGACTTTCCACAAATATTTGTGCTGCTTACATAGTGAAAAGGTAGTAACATCAATTTGGTTGTAACTTCAATATGTTAGTAAACTCATACAAGAAATACAACTGTTTCACACCAAACCCTTGATGTGGTCCTCAAGCTCAACTAGTGAAGACCCGAGATTGTCCTCCATACACTGTGTTAAGCATACAAGCTTATGTAGGTAAAACCATTAACCTTTGAAAGCTCTCAAAATTAAATGTCTGTCACAGGAGTGAGCGACAAGTTGGCAAACCATAACCACTTGACTACATTAGTAGAATATTTCTATATTCTCTAGAACATTTTATATTTACCACAAGCTGATGGTTTATCATCATCTGAGGACACTACGGCCACTCTGGGTATTGTTGGGTGGGGTATGTTTATGCTTGAACGGACTGTTTTCTTGGTAACAACAGGTGAGGAGTCACTCTCATTCTGTGATGAGTCAGATGTAGACATTGATGTGCCCTGAACACTGATACTTGATCGGGGGGTACTGAAAGAAAAAAACAAACTTCAGGTCAAAGTCAGTGAGACACAACATGTATAATTAGGATTTAAAAATTTTCATTTCTTTCTAAATGTTCAGTTATTTTATTTCATGAAATTTGTCATTAAAACATTTGTCAGGCTTAAGTGGGTACCCAACAATTTTTTATTAAGTTAAGATAGGAGATACATGTAATGCAAGCTGATATTTTTCAACAGTTATATGGGTTCTCTAATCATTGTACATAGCTTGATAACTAAGAAAAAATAGTGCATGCTATAAACAGGATTAAAACATTTGGCCATCAATAAAATGTTAATGTCTTGATGTATTATTAAGCATATCTCAAATCATGTCTGATAACTCACCTTTCTGCACTACTAAATACGTCTGGATCATCTTCACTCTTGCTTTGATTATTAGTCAAGTCAGGTTTTTGGTCCGTCTTGGGATACGTGTTATCTGACAAGGCACGGTGACGATCGCTGGACGGGTGGTTCATATACGACTGTAACTCTAGAGAATTTTCTGAACTAGTAGACTGGTTCGAATCTTTACGTTCTAATGCCTGTTTTTCAAGTAGCCTTGTCCGCATTTCATCAGCACTAGAATGACGTCTACGGTCCCTCAAATCTGTTCCATAGTCCTATATTAACATATAATGGTACATTTGTTTTAATAATGACTGTAATATCATGTATTATGTGTGTGGCCTGGTGGCCTGATTATACAATAAATTTTTGAATCTGAATTGAAATTAATAATATTTTACCTTAAACAAAATACTATAAATTCCTTAAATACTGTACGGAGATATCCAGAAAATGGAGATTTGCTAACTTGAAATCAAAAAGCGAATAATCCTCTATGAAAATAAATAATGGTCAACTATAGGGATAAACAAGAACATTAGTACAATAATTCTATAAACAGGATGTAACAAATCCTTAAGTACACATCCATCATGTGTACACAAAAAACATGTTTTCTTATGACATAAAATGATAAATGAGTATAAATAAAGTATCTTTAACTCATTTACGTTGCTTATTCTATACAGAAAACTTATATCTGTACGACTATGACGACCTAAGTCTAATAAAATATCACAATATTCCATTAGTGTCATGGTATTTTCAGTCAAACATATTTTCAGAGAATGATTTTAGCATCATAATCCTCTCAGGATGATAAATGACACAAAATTTACAACTCAATTAGTAATTTACAGTGTTTCTTCATATCACCTCAGATAAAAAACACTCCCTATCATGTACAAGCTTATAATGATGTCTTAAATCAGACAGTAGAAATCTGGTCTTTTCTTGTTCTTATAATCTGCTTTTATAGAATAGCAGGATAATGCTACACAAATATTCATGTACTCATTCTCACAAACAAATACAAAATAAGCACTTTTCAATACAAGAAGTTCCCAAAATAAAGGAATTTTTCACCAAAACAAACCCCAAGGAAATATATAAAATATGTCTTAACCAATAAGATATGATTTCTAGAAAGTACATGTACCTATATCACATGTTGCATCATTAGAGAAGATTGAGTTAAACATAGACCATTACTTCTCTCTCGCCCTATTACCCTGTCATTTAACATCGCAAGCATTTCCTACAAGCTCCTAATTAATGTCAACAATACCCCTGACAATGACAAATGTCCGAGACATTTCCTAGTCTAACAATTGTTATCTTCGTTCAAACAGGAAAATTAAATCCCCCTCTAGTCACATTATTCTGCATTGAACAAAATGGAAGCTACACAAAAATTCCCAAGATCCTAATAGAAAGTGGCAAGATTTAAAGCTTCTTCACACAAAGGTCTTGTTGTAATTGACTGTAAGAGTTTCTTGACATTATTTCTGCCTTTTTAACTTGATAGACTTTATTACATCTTAGCTGGCAGTTAAAAGGAATGTCCTATTATATGTCAAGTGTGAGGATAATTACTTGCTATGATACAAAATGATTCATTAGATAATATGACACTTTAAAGAAGCATTATGTCGACTGTAGAATTAGTTTCCTCTTATAAAACTATTGTTTAGTTTCACTGTACTAGATTATACCCGGTCGTAATTGAAAATTTGCAATTTTAATAAACTAAATGAGGTCAGCACAAAGAGATGAAGAAGATATTAATTTTCCAGCACAATTTACCCTTCATACAAGAGCGATCAGTAATCACATGTGTCGCCTCATGATGGCCAATTTTATGTTGGGACAAGTTTTGTGACAGACGGACAGTGCACTAGACTTGGTACTGATCATTCCTGTAAAGTTTGGATAAAATTGCACCAGTAGTTTATGAGGAGTAGTCCGGACAAGCTTTTGTGTATCTGGCAACACACAGAAAAAAACACCTTTTTATCAAAATGCCATAACTCGGCCAAAAATCATTCAATCGGAAAACCCGTGCAATATGCGCAAGGACTTGAGCTACAGATCAATCCTGTAAAGTTTCATTGAAATTGCATTAGTGGTATAAGAGAAGTAGTCCGGACAAACTTTAAAAATAAAAATTATTAAAGGGCCATAACTCTGACAAAAATCATTGAACCGGAAAATACTGACAATATGCACAACTAGACTTGGTACTGATCATTCCTGTAAAGTTTGGATAAAATTGCACCAGTAGTTTTTGAGGAGTAGTCCGGACAAGCTTTTGTGTATCTGGCAACACACAGAAAAAAACACCTTTTTATCAAAGGGCCATAACTCGGCCAAAAATCATTCAACCGGAAAACCCGTGCAATATGCGCAAGGACTTGAGCTACAGATCAATCCTGTAAAGTTTCATTGAAATTGCATTAGTGGTATAAGAGAAGTAGTCCGGACAAACTTTAAAAATAAAAATTATTAAAAGGCCATAACTCTGACAAAAATCATTGAACTGGAAATTGCTGACAATATGCACAACTAGACTTGGTACTGATCATTCCTGTAAAGTTCGGATGAAATTGCACCAGTAGTTTATGAGGAGTAGTCCGGACAAGTTTTGTGACGGACAGACAGACGACGGAGAAGTGATCCCTATGTCGCCACTACTCCGTAGAGGCGACACAAAAAAAGATGTATTTGGGGTTAAAAAAGCATTATCTTTGCTAAATAACATATAAATACAAAATGGTTAAAGATATAAACAGAATAACAGAAATGATGTTAAAAGGAATGTTTTCATACATTTGTAAGGTTATAAAAGTTTTTTTCTGAGTTCTGTCTCGAATCTCAAGATTTTCATTGGTCAATATACATTCTGTGCCTGTTTATAACCAATCAAAAACATGAAATCTTAGTCTTAGCTGAGAAAATTTATTTAAAACCTCATACCCTGAATTTGAAGGAAAATTTATATATATTCACCTCATGTAGCTCCTCAATTCTGGAGTAGACTTTACTGAATCGTGGAGACATGGAGGAGAAGCTGTGGAACAACTGATCCTCAGAGTCATCAATATCTGTGTCTTCCGTCTCGAGCTCGTGGTTATACCTGTCTGCACGTGCTGTAAACAATTAAATAATGTTTTACTCAATTGTTTAAATATGTTAACTTAATCTTTACCAATTAAATCTGACTGTCCTGCTTTATAACTGAAACTGGCCATTGTCTAGTCTGTTGGTTTCCTATATCAAAAAAACTTCTATCAGTCCTCAAAAACATGAAAGAATTAATATACATTTATTGATAAAATTTAATTGTTGCCTAAATTGTTGTTTAATTGTTTGTAAAAGGTTCCATTCCGACTTCATCAAAGATGTTTTTTCTTCTTAATTTTTCTGACTAAAATACATGAAATGAAATATATTAAAAACAAAATGGACAATAGAAGCACTCACTGTCAAAATATGATGTGTCCTCATCATCTTCTAAATCAGGTACAAACTCCGCCTTTTGTCTAAGAATAGATTCCCAGTCGAGACCATCAAAATAAAAATGATCCTTCACCTCCTGAGCACCGCCAACTCCTAATCTATTGAGTGGATTGTGCTGCAGAAGTTGGGTTATCAGATCCTTGGCATCTTCTCGTACCTGCCACTCCTCTTCCTGTGGCCACTCTATGTCCTCTGTAATAATCAAATAAAACATTATAACATCTGCTTCTATCTACATTATTATAAATGATTACATTATTATAAATTATTAATGTAACTAAACTTTACTACAAAATTTGTGGTCAATTACTGTTCATTCATGTGTATGCAGAGCTAATTATATGACCAGAGAGCCATGACGGCTTTTAATTGCTCACCAGTTGATAAAGTCTACATGCACAAGATTTACTAACGATGATATTCCTTGTTCTACAGACAAGAACAATTTTGGAAAGGGCTGGGAAAAATGACCCAAACCCCTGTTTGAAAATTTATGATCTAGGTCAAATTTTTGGAACTACAATGTAGACAAGGAAAACTTAAAAATACCCCATAATACCCGTTTTTGGTCCAGCAAAATACCCTTCTTCACGATTAACATTAAATTTTTTAAATCCCTTGAATATTTTAACCAAAATCGGGCCTTTTGGTTTAAAATTAAAACGGCCACAAAATTCTAAAACAAAAATTATTAAAGTGTTAAAAAATTTAAAAGAATTGAATTTGTAAAATTTGGTTGCCGAAAAATTCCTTCCCCTTACAAAATCTACACCTTAAGGTTGTTCATCCCTGTAAGTTTAAGCAAAATCTGCCATCCGGTTAAAGAGGAGTTTGCGTTCACAAAATTTCTACATAGTATATAGTGGAAAAAATCAACAAAGGGCCATAATTCTGTAAAATTTGGTCGCAGCGAAAATTCCTTCCTTTACTGCCATCTACACATTAAGGTTGTTCATCCCTGTAAGTTTAAGCAAAATCTGCCATCCGGTTTAAGAAGAGTTGCGTTCACAAAATTTCTACATAGTTATCTAGTGAAAAAAATCAACCAAAGGGCCATAATTCTGTTAAATTTGGTTCGCAGCGAAAATTCCTTCCTTTACTACCATCTACACATTAAGGTTGTTCATCCCTGTAAGTTTAAGCAAAATCTGCCATCCGGTTTAAGAGGAGTTGCGTTCACAAGATTTCGGGACGTACGGACGGACTGACTGACGGACGGACTGACGGACGGACGGACAAGTGCAACGCTATATGCTCCCACATTGTGGGGGCATAAAAAGAATGTAAATTTCCAGTGAACATTTTTTCATGTCGACAACCTTAAAATAAAAGTTCTTGCTGAATGAATGACAAAGTGAATGATTTTACTTACCATTTATAACTTGAGCAAAGAGCTCCTCTGCTGAATCACCAAAGAAAGGGGGACAACCTACCAGGAACTCATACAGTATGATTCCCATTGACCACCAATCAACTGTCTTACCTACAGATATAATAGATACAAATCATTCATACACAAGACATATTTTCAATAAATCAACTTAAAGTACAAACAAATCCTTGTTAAAATTTCTAAAGAGAATTAATGTAAGGTCATTGCCTGTCTAATCTAGAACAGGAATACCTTATAATGAGGGAGAATTAATAAGGAATCATAATCAGATTGGGAAACATGATCTGTACCATAACAAACTTAACCTATCTCAATGCAATTAGCGGAAAACTTGAGAACAAGATCATCTGTATTCCCAGAGGGTTTTCTTAGAGACAGTATTTGTTCTAGATATAATAATTTAATAAACTTAATGCCCAACATTTAAGAGTACAATATTAGTGTCCAACCTTTACAAGGAAATTAGTATTAAAGAATTGCCCAAAAAGTCAATATCAAGAAAATAATGATATCTTAAGCATAAGAACTAATTTACATAATTACCATATCCTTGTCGTAGAATAACTTCAGGAGCCACATATTCTGGAGTCCCCATCACTTGTTTGTCTCTAAACTGTTTACTATCTTTGTCTAACGTTCCCTCATACAAATTTGTCGTTAAACTCATTAGTCCAATCTTAGACAGACCAAAGTCTGTCAGCTTAATATGCCCTGTAGCGGTAATTAACAAATTGTCTGGTTTTAAATCTCTATGAACTATTCCATAACTGTGGAGATATTCCAAAGCTAACACAGTCTCAGCAAAATATAATCTCGAAAGATCAAATGGCAGTGGTCCAGAATTTTTCAACAATGTTGCACAATCACCACCTTCTACATATTCCATCACCATACATAGGTGGCGCTTTGTTTCAAAACTACACCACATACTCACAACAAATGGATTATCAGCAAATGTTAACACGTCCCTTTCGGTGAACACTTGTTCGGTTTGATTGCGTAATATCAAGTTCTGTTTACAGATCTTTTTCATGGCAAATCTTTGCTTACTTTCCTTGTGTCGAACCAAATATACAGCACTGAAATAATGCATACATTATAAATATAGAAATAAATGTTATTATTATGTACAATGAACTTGGGTTTAATGAAAACCAAATGACATGTAAAAATCAAGCAAAACTCCAAAAATTATAGCTTTCATAATTATGCCCCTTGTCTCACAACTGCACTTTGTTATGATAGGCCAGTATTCCAAGTTTTATGTTGATAACCTTTTAAATGTTTGAATAAATGGCTACATTTAAGTTTTAAGCAGAACAAAAAAGATGTCACAGGGATCATTATAGCTTGAATATTTCTTCAGCTAAAAATCAACAGAAACTGAAATACCAACAGTATAGCCGCTGGTTAGACAGTGAGAGAGGCCTAACTCTATACTGGTGTAACAAACATTGTAACATACATTCCTGTCAATTTATACTGCATTCAGAGAAACACACCTTAGATGTTTAAAGATGACATATACAAATACTGTTGTTGTAATTGATTAAAATACATAACTGCTAAAAATATTTCATTATATTATGATTAAAATACATAACTGCTAAAAATATTTCATTATACTATTTCTTGATTTAAAAGAAATTATGAATCTAAAAATTAATTGCTTTCCTCAGAAAAAAAGATGTACTCTTAATTTTCTAACTAGGCAAAAATGGAGGTCTCTGTTTACAAATTACATGAACTTAACAAGAGCTGTCAGAAGGACAGCGCGCTCGACTTTTTTAGTGCTTGCCTATAAAACAAAACTTTGACAGTTAAGGGCACACAAGACTTTAACTAGGAATTTCTAAGTACAAGTCAAGAAACATTTTCACAGAGTTATCTTCTCTTGCTTACAGATAGGTCTCATGATGGCACATAAGAACTCCAACTTCCAAAGTAATATCTCAAATGGTTAAGTCAACAAGTGGACAAGAATGAAAATCTTAACTGAGTTTCTAAGTCAAAAAGGGCCATAATTCAAATAAAATCCTTAACAGAATTACCTTCTCCTGCCCATGTTTTGGGACCATGATGGTAAACAAGTATTCCAACTTTCAAATTAATATCTCAAACAGTTCAGTCAAAAGTGGACTGGTACTAAAAACTTAACCAAGATTCTAAGTCGATAAAAGGCCTTAATTTTTAAAACAAATCCTTGACAGAGTTACCTTCTCTTGCGTACAGATGGGGGTAATGATGTGAAATAGCATTAAAAGTTTCAAAGCAATATCTCAAAGGGTTAAGGCAATAAGTGGATTTTACCCATATTCAATGTATTTTCTAAGTCAAAAAGGGGCATAATTCTGTCAAAAACCTTGACAGAGTTATGTCCTCTTGTCTGTTGATGAAGGTCGTGATGGTAAACAAGTATGGTCAGTTTCAAAGCAATACCTCCAATGGTTTTGAAATAAAGTGAGGTGGTACAAAAAACTTAACAAAGCTCAATACACTTTCTAAGTCAAAAAAGGGCCATAATTCTGTCAAAAACCTTGACAGAGTTATGTACTCTTGTCTGTAGATGGAGGTTATGATGGTGAACAAGTATGGTAAGTTTCAAAGCCATACTTGTAATACTTCTGAAATAAAGTGGGGTGGTACGAAAAACTTAACCAAGGTGTGACGCCAACGCTAACGCCGACGCCGACGCCGGGGCGAGTAGGATAGCTCCCCTTTTCATAGAAAAGTCGAGCTAACTAGTCAAATCCTGATAATTGGTATCATGTTTCCACAGTCAAGTAAGTAATGACATTGTTGACCATACTAGGTATACTGTTTCTATTCATTTCCATCTCTCGGCAACAAAACAATTATTTTCAGAATTATTATCCTTCACAAGTTATGATGGATGACCCTTGACAGGTATGTACCTCTATAAGCAGCTTTATTTCAGAACAGGTTACAAATAACAAATAACAATTTGTGATTGTGCTCAGGGAAAAGTACATACAGGTAATTTTCTATGTAATTGTTGTATACCAGAAATTGTTTCTACAAAGAGATTTCATATCAATGGATTATTGTAAATTATTGTATTGATTCTTGAGAAAAAAAGGGTATGAAAATTGATAGTCTCTTAATTCAACCAACATATCACAAAGCTCATGCCAGATTTAGGAGGAATGGTATTTGGCTTTAAACTTAGACCTTAAAGACACTTGTAAGTGAAGCTTCAAGTGAATTCATCCAAGGATAAATGTGAAATGAGAAAATTGTTGACATTTGACCTACTAATTGTTGACAATCAAGCTTAAAATGCACATTTCAACTGACAGAAGGAAAAAAAATAAAATGGCTTCACATAAATTAGTCAAAGTTCAACTTACGCATATGCTCCATTACTGATAAGTTTAATGGTTTCAAAATCTTCCTCACATGGAGTGAGATCTTTTCTGCGACCATCAATGCTTTCTTCAACATCAGATAACACAAGTGATGTGTCCTTCAAACTCTCATCTACTGCTGCACTCTCACGATTCTCTATCTCAAGTTCTAGAAATACAAAATTTACATAAATTCTTTCTTTTTGTTTGTTTTGTTGGTGTTTAATGTGTGACCATCCTAATGCATTACCTTCTCTTTAAAGAGTATTTAAATATGCTATAAATAATGCATTGAAACATATAGAGACTTTCTAGTTTTACTGGTAAAGGAAGACCTCAGGTGCCTCTTTGTGCATTATATCTGGGACAAGTGGGCATCTGTTTGTGGGGTTGTTGGCATTTTACTTTACAAAATCAACTCTAGCACACTTATAACATTCCAGAACTTTCCAAATCGTATAAATACATTAACGAACAGAAAAGATTTTAATTGATTTTAGGGGAAAACACATTCTTATTCAACTCTAATATCCATTTAAAAGAAAAACAACAAAATAAGTAGAATTTGTTTCTCCCATTTCAGATCTAAAGTTAATTGATTAATTGCATTATTCTCAATTTTCTGGTGAAAATGCATTAAGAACATACAGGATATAAATTCATTCTTCAGAAAAGAAATTTCACAACGAAACAAACTAAGTAGGTAGCAGAGTTGTATGAAAATTACTTGTATACATAGCTTGTGATTTTGTAAATTTTTTAAAAGATATCTTGATTATACATCTCCCTTTACATACCTTCTAAAGGATCTCTGTTAAGACCTAGTTTACTGATGATATATTTTGGTATGTCTTTAATTTCCTGTTTGGCTTTTCCCTCAGCAGCCTCAAGTAATTGATAAAACTCCTCTGGATCAAACTCCTAAATACATAAATCATAACCCATGAGAATTTTACTGTATAGTCTGTCATTTAATTCATTCATTATACCTTAGTAAACTTTGACAATTGTAAAACTTGTTTACTTATCAAAGTATAATATCTAAATTCTTAAAAATTACACATTTTCTGATCAAGTGTTGTAATTATCAACATTTAAAGCATAAAATTTGGATTTAAAACTGTAAATTAGATCTTTCTTTCTTAATCAAAACAAATGGTTAGGTAACTGCAGAAATCATCACTTTACAATACAAAATCTTGCTTATTGAATATTTATTCTTTCAAAAGCTAAGTCTAAATTTTCAACTTAAAAATTTTAAATGTTAATAAGTATGGCTATTGGGCAAATGTATACAAAAAATATGATGTAAGACTATAGAGTATTTTCCACTCACCAGACATTCTAGAAGTCGAGATGGTCTTGAGATTATCAGGAGCATTTTCTTAATTAAAGGATACATAAATGTTTCTGCTGACCTCTCCTGAGCCTGTTACATAAAAAAACATTTTTTTTTAAATTGAGTATAATTTACACTTCTACTTATTATTATTGTCAAAAGGGAATCTTCCATCTATTGCTGATGTAAAGAAGACTTATAGTGCCTTCTTTGAGTGTAATTTCAGGCCCCCATTATTAAATTTGTGAATATATGCCGAAACTGTTAAGATTTAGTCATGTACCACACTTTCACAATATGTAATATTTTCTATGTGGACTCTGCTTTATAGATTGATAGTGATAAACAAAATATGATATCAATTAAGAATCACAATATGAAGAATACTTCTTACATCTTTGAGCAGTTTTTCCAGACTGTCTGAGAGTTCATAGAAGTAAGCACTGGTGATTAGCTTATATTGGGACTTTTCAAGACAATCTTTAGCCAGCTCCATAACTTGATGTAAAAGAAAGCTGGAGATTGCATCTATATCACTCTCATTATGTATCAGTCGACAATGTTCCAGAAACTGCTGAAGCCGCTCTTCCATCTGGGCCGTTGCCTAAATAATATATAAAACATGACTATATATCAATATAACTTACAGTTTTGGTGTAATATCATATTTTGATGGGTTTGTGGAAAACCCATAGGTACCTTTTCTGCCAAAAAAAAGTTACAAAATGGTATTTTCTAGCTTAAAATGTGTGAGTGTCTTATAATTATTATTGTAATATTTGTTTCATGTAAGCATATCTTATATTGTACTGATCTGCAGACTGGCCAGACTTCACACATGCAGCAATGACCTGACAATAACACTGCTAGAATTTGAAAGATTTATCAAGTTAAATGGCAGATATTGATAAACTATTTCCTAGAACAATGATTTTTGATCTTATACCAAACACTGGGCGCATGCTTCTATGAATAGAAAGCAGTCATTCTATCTAACATTTAAATCTAACTAAAACCTTATATTGATGTAATGTCTAGACAAAAATATTTTTTTCTTCTATATATGTTAGTTAAAATATCCTGTAGCTTGGAATATTTCCTTTCAAAAAGGAATAAGCTAGCTGGAAACAATTAAATCTATAAGAATTGTCTAAATGTTGTATATATAGAGATTGTAAAGTTGATAATTTTAACACAGAAAGGCACTTTCTTCAGTAGAAGGTAATCCCTGTCTCAAAGGTCATCCTTAAATACTTGCATGTTTACAGTTTATGAAACAAACACATAAAAACAAACAAAATTAACAAACAAAAGAAACATATAAATCTTTTGACACATCACTATATGACTGATAATTTTTGTTGTATAGAACATTTAAATACATATGTAGGAGTAAAATACATACATAGGAGTAATAGCAAACCATTATTTTCTTTAAAAAGATATTATAAGCTGGTACCCACCTTAGGAAATCTGTCCTTGTATACACTGTTCATGAGTATAATCTCTGAATCACCACCCGGGGACCGGCCTGGACTACTGTTAGAAATATACAAAACAAAACGTTAGTTCTATCTTCATATTTTCAATTTCTAACATATAACATGTCACATAAATATCACACACTGTGCAAACTTGTATAAAATAAAACAATGTTCATTATTACGAGGGTTGTCCCAATATTCTGTGACAAGATTGTTTAAAAGCTAAATAAAACAGGTACGAATTTGATATTTTAATATGTTATAAACCCATATAATTTAAACATTTTCACAAATTTTCATAGATAAATATCAACAAACAACAAAAATATGCCATAAACACCATGGCAACTAACTGAATCGCGGCGCACGTCCAACGTCAAAGACGGCATTAAATCTATCTATATGAGGCGCCTTTCTCAAATACTCTCGATGGCTTTCAACGCAATAATGGTACCCATAAATCGTCAATTTCTGACTTAAATCATGTGGTTCTTAATGTCTGTTGAATGTTTGGATGGCATACATTAATTTTTGCTATACGCGAACTTCCGGTCTCGTTACTCCTGTTTTTAGCTGTAGGAAATAGGCGACGAAGGTCGGTCTTCTTATCCGTGTTTTCCTTATTTTCGCTTTTTGTAGCGCAAAACTCTGGTTCAGGTTATGCCTTTTGTACACAAATGCTCAGAATATGTTGCTAAACTGTTATATATGGTATATTTGTTGAAAATCGTTACATGTGTCATCTCCAAATAGTCATGAAACCTGAGTGACATGTTCACTGCGCCGCAAATTCTTCGAACGTCGCCATTTTAACTTTCCGATTTTATATGAGATATTTTCATTTATTCGTATCTTTTTTGTTTTTTAAGATATTTAACTAAAATTTTCAGAGATGATTTAAACATAGCAGCAGAGGAAGTCAACGTGACATTGTGCAGACACATCATCAGATATTTGAAATATACGGAATTAATTTCAGCCTATTCATAACAAAATGTAAATTATTTGACGTGCGCCGGCAACTCATACCAATGTCGTTAATACTGAAAATTTCTAAGTAACTAGGGTAAATTTTTTGTAAATGATTTGTTGTAATGTTAAATAATAAACTTAACGGTTATATGTGTGAATTATTTTCTATTGGCGTTAAAAATGAACCGGCTATAAAATTTGTCACGGACTTTTGGGACAACCCTCGTATATCACTCTGAATGTTAAAGTTTGGTAAAACAGGAGTGGTCAAGGAAAAAAGGTTTAAAATTGTTCATACAATATTCATTTAACCATGAATTAAATGTATACATAATAATTTTACATCAAATTATTGTCATTATGTTAAAATAGGAATCATTCTTCACTTTGCAAAAATGTAATTTACTTCCAATATATTGCATCTTAACACTAGGCTTTCAATTCAATAATATTTCAAGCTTTACAATAGCAAATGTTAAGTTTTTCTTAAGAAAAAAATATCTTTTTCTAAGTAATTAAAAACCTAAACATAGACCTCTATTTAAAATTCAGATTCTTGTTAAAAAGATCAAACTTAAGTATGTATACCCTAACAAGTGTAATATCTTCCTAACATGTATAAAGTTTGTTTGGTTAATCGACAACCTCCAAACATTTAGAAGCAGAAACACCTTCAACCTTACACTTATTCCAGCATGTGCAATTAATATCCCAAATTCTCCAAGAGACTCAAACAATCTTCCTATTTTAGAGGGTTTTTTTTTCAAAATAAAATTATGCATGTAAAATATGTTTTAAAATGATAATTTAAAAGCTCATCAGAACTTTGTCAGAACTTTAAATAATATATACTTTTACTTTTAATATATTAATATATGTTACAATTGCACCACTATGAAATGATCTGAAAATTTGATTTGAAGATTAACAATTTAAGTGCTTTTATATTTCAAAATCTAACAGATAATATAACTGACAGGTAAGAATTTAATGAATTAATTAAGAAATTTACTTACAAAAGAAACATTATTAAGACCTATATAGAACTAAATAGATTATAATGTCAACCCTTAAACTGCTGGAACTGAAAGTAATCAACCTTTGTCACCAGTATAGAGCCAAGCTGCTCATTTCTTTTTTGTATTTTCATATTGAAACCTTTCAAACTTTAAATTTATTACACAAATTCAGCAGTTTTAGGGTTAAACAATTTTTTCTTATGCAAAAATTGTGCATCTGTTTGGATATAATAAAACTGTGCAAATATGTAAGGGGCCAATAATGCACTGTTATCGTTGTTGCAGGATTCATTCATAACTAAATATATAATTAACTGTTTCAGAATAGAACAGAAAAGGCAATATGTAAATATATACATGCTAAACAGAATGTCAATATATCAATATAGATGATTTATATTCTAGCAGAATATGGTATTTTGTCATAAACTTGTTCTTCACATTATATTTAAAGTCACTACTGGTATTATATTTGTGAACTTCTACATCAGGTACTATTGACCATTGACATTAACTGTAAGCAATATATTGCTGGTTTTCTTTCATTTTTTATTTCTTTTTTAAATAATGGTCATAGAAAAACTAGATTAAATATGGATCAAATCAAGATTTATCCTGCTGTAGGTTTGCAATTTCCTCTACCTCATTCAAAACTACAATATGTGTTAATTTGCCCTAACATAAGTTTTCTCCACTATATAATAACTACATTGTAGAAAAATGTGAATTAATCTGTTTTATATTATCATTACTGACTTGTATTGAAAAACTACAATGGTTTAATCTCATAGAAATTACTAATCATTTTTTATAAATACAGATGGAATAATAGATTAAGTTGGAGGTATTCAAAGCATATAAGATGAGTACCATTTCTCTAAAACCTATCAATACCATGGCAACAGTTCACAATTTCTCAGACTTATTTTATTGTTAAAGTCAAACTGGGAAATCAGGAGACAAATATTGTGAAGACAGGTCTGTAAAATAATTTCATCCAGGGTATCATAAAATATTTGTTCCTCCATGCTACAGCAACAATTGAAAAAATACATATTTCATCATTCATATAAACAACTGCTTTTTCAGCAGAAATAATCACAACAAAGCCTGTCAAGATTCCTTTTAAATAAGTAAATAAATGTTGCTTATAGTAGAATTATGTTGTTATTAATTTAACATTGAGCATGTTTATGTGATAAAGGATTTAGTCTGCTTTGACTATGAACTGACTACTGTCTTTCAAGGGATTTCAATATCAAAATAGCATGATTCAGAAGCACACTTATAGAGACTGGCCAGACTGCACATTATGTACACGGTCAAGGTCGCCTGGCTCTATACTGCTGGCACAGGCAATTTATTATACAAGATACAGAATTAAACAATATTGTAACTGAAGTTAGCATAATATGCATGTAACAAAAAAGAAAGAAATGAGATTTATGATTCAGAGAAAATTGGCTGAAAAAAACCATGTCAACTTTTATCTCAAAGAAATACACAAAAACAACTTGATATATAGAACTTGCAAATTTGATTGAAAATGATTGCTTAGACTCTTGAAGTTTATTCCAAGTTTTACAGCATGTAATTTACAAAGGATGTCCACCAGGTGTTAGACTAGAATACACACATGACAGACATTTTTTTTAAAGGGATTAACAAATTTTGGTTTACAAAGAAAAATTGATTAATACAACATTTTACAAACAAATCTGATTCAACTTAAGGACAACAAAGTTGTGAAGATGTTAAAAATAGAGGTAAAATGAAGTGCAGGGTTTACAAAGGGACAAACTATCATCTGGTATCACATTTAACATTAGAAGGACAAGCTATAATTTGGTACCATATTTAACTTATCACAGAAAAACTGAAGTGTATGACGTAAATAAGGGACAAGCTATTATTACATGAAAATATTTCATTAATGTATGATATAAATGAACTGTCAAATGCATGTAATTTTTGGCATTTCAATTAAAATTAACATCAAATAAATCAAAAGAATTCTGTGCATAATACAAATATTAGTTTATAAGTTATAACGAAGCAAGTATTGATGTCTTCTGGTTAAACAACATACAGCTAAATAAGAATACAACATATAAAAACATTTTGTATATTCTAAAGCATGGAATGGTTGCTTCAATTGCATGCCAGTCCATATTTTAGCACATGCTAAACAGTAAGAAAAAGTTGAAGGTGAAAATTTGAGCTTACTGTAAAGCCAGCCAAGACAGACTGTGAAAACACAGAGTGTAAAATGTAAAAAAAATCAAGTACAGGGCAATAAAGTTTACAACATATAAGATTTAATATCTTATCAAAATGTTTAGTGACTCTTTTTCTCTCTCAATTTTCAAATACAAGCATGGTAAGTTTGAAATTGTGAAAATGTGGATGTTATAAAATGGGTAATTCACGCTCATAACATGCACAAAAATCATCAAAATACTAAAATTATAAAATCTGCTAATCATTTAAATATTTTGAATTTTTGATACAAGGAAAAATGACATCAGTCAAAGTTATAACCACATTTATATGCATTTCAATTTTCTAAAACTATTATTTTTTCTTTTCATTAGACAAAACACAAATATATTTTTTTTCTATAAAATTAAAACTTGCGAATTCAATCTGAATAGGAAAATTATACAAAAACTGTACAGATAAAGACAGACATATAAAATGAAGGTAAGAATTTCTGGAAAAACTATAAAATAACTTTAAAAGAGAGGAACTTGAGTATATCAATATAATAAAATAAAATCATTGACATAAGAATTCCATTAAGCTAACCTGAGACTACGAGATCTTGGTCTCATAAAAGGTGAGAGAGGAGACTGGCGACCATCATCTTCTAGACTAGAATGACCATCATTAGTGGCAAAATGTTTGTACAGTTTTCCGATATCTTCCTGGGTAGGCTGGCTGGGTAGTTGATGAAGACGTTCTTGTGATGAATATTGTGACTGAAATAATATCAACACACAAGGTTTTAATACATTATAGTTTAAACCCTTAACCAGGTCAATTTCTTAAATATTGACTTGACCACCTTTCATCATTCTGTGGAACAGTAAATTATCAAATTTGGGGATATCAAAATAACAATCCCTAAGTATATATCCTGGTCAGGTATGCAGGCTGGGCTGGCTTTTTACTGGAGCTTCAGTTTCAACTACACTTTAATGATTGAGTTCTTGTGAGTTAGAGGAATAAAAATTTCAAGCAGAGAATGTTATTCATGGTCATATTTTCATGAGTGTTCTTTATCATATACAGTAGAACTTCGGTAAGTCAAAGTCGAAGGGACTTGGGTAAAATCTTTGACACATCAGGAATTTGACTTAATTCGACCTAAATTGGTCTCACTTTAATGACAAATTTTGAGCTGTTGATGTTGAAAAGCAAGTTCCAAAAGACATAACAAAGGAAAAGGTGATTATTAAACCAGCATATAGAATATATATATACCATATGATATTCACTTCTCGGAAAATCTCAAACAAATATAAAAAAAATTTGTATTGTTTATATTCAAATACAACTACAGCAATTGGAATGATAACAATTAGAGCATTTTCTCACATATAGGAATGCATACGAAGGCAGTTGTCATACAAGTTGATTGGCAATCATTTTCACAGCCAGAAAAAGTATGAAAACATCTCAAGATAGTAGGTGTGAAATCTATTGATGGATCTCGACTTACTTCTCAAATTACTCGTTATGGACCATGTAAAAACTTTGACACATTGAAAAAAAAAGACATAAAAATTTTACTTGATTTGATAAAGAATGTATAGGGGAAAAATAGGGACTTTCATTTTTACTTTGACACATTGAGAAAATCGACTAATCAAAGTTAGAAACATAGTTCTTCTGTCATTATAGGTTTTCTTACAATACATTTTCAAAATATATATATCAGAATCAATTTTTCTATATGCCACATGTTTTGCTGGACTTGTTACATCACAAATGGGTTTTTACACTCTGTTTATATGCTAATTCAAAAAGAAAGATATCACTTTCAGTTTTTATTTCATTTACCTAAGGTATAAAATAAAAGTTACAAAAGTGCCTTATCCTGTTGGATTGTACGTATCTTCCTTTTTATGTTGGTTTGGTTTTATGTTGCAACAACAAAGTATACGCCATAATTCCAGCTTTATTGGTGGAGGAAGATCTCAGGTGCCCTTCCGTGCATTTTTTTCAGACATGAATGTACACCTGAGTAGAACACATTGCATAAACTAGCTGGATAGCTTCCCCACAAGAAAGAATCCAAAGTCCCGGCCACAAGCGCCTCAAAGTTGTTTTCATAGCCCTTGTGTAGGCTTATGGGAATACAACATTACACAACCAATTTTAGTCATGCAACCCATTAAAATAGCAAACTAATGCAAATGCAACCCATTAAAATAGCAAACTAATGCAAATGCAACCCATTAAAATAGCAAACTAATGCAATATTTCCTATCTATCCATAAATAGTTTGTTTTTTTAAAAGAACATAGTGTTTATAGTAATAGAAAGTAGTAAATTATGCTGACTTTCAGTAACATTTTAATGTATATATTACCATAACAATTTTCTTAAGAAATAAATTATTCAATATGCCTAAAGGAAAGAAAGTGCACTTTAAAATTTTCTGTAAAATATTGCTTTTGTAGTACATACTGAGAGACTAGATCCACCAGGTGTGTTTGTACCATAACCCGAGGAAGGTAATGATGCCAGTGACCATCTTCTACCATCACCCCTGAAATGTTTAATTATACATGTAAACCTGTGTAAAAGACCATCTTTTACAGTAATATAGGATGTTTTGCTGCCACATTGTTTATCATTTCAATAGGGAGGCAATAAATGCTGTCATTTATAAAACATGATTCTTACATGGTCCAGAATAAAAAGAACAAGTAAAAATATTGCCAAGAAATAAACGTCCAGTACCATAAATGGCATAAAATGTCACACAACATGGCACTAAAATTCAAATATTATCAATAAGTTAGCTGAAATCAACAGCATGTACAATGTTTGTTTATCAAAAGATCATGGCTCCTAAAGTAGGTGTATAAAGTCGGTGTAATAATACAAATGAAATATTCACTTATAATAGAATTAAATCTATCAGTTTTTCTAAAAGAGCTGTCCGTAAGACAGCGCGCTCGACTTTTTTATTGCTTGCCAATAAAAAAAGTTTTTGCAGTAAAAGGCAATACAAGAATCTCTGTATTTTTAAAGTGAACTAGTTGTTTGATACCCTTGAATATTACAGCAATGTTTATATGACATAATTTATGGTAAAGTGAACAAGTGGATAGGAATGAATTTTTTTAGATTTTTTAAGTTTTTTAGTGCTTGCCTATAATACAAAACATTGACAGTTAAGGGCCATAATTCAAATAAAATCTTTGACAGAATTACCTTCTCCTGGACATGTTTGGGAATCATGATTGTAAACAAGTATTCCAACTTTCAAATTAATATCTCAAACAGTTCAGTCAAAAAGTGGACTGGTACTAAAAAACTTAACCAAGATTCTAAGTCGATAAAAAGGCCTTAATTTTTTAAAACAAATCCTTGACAGAGTTACCTTCTCTTGCGTACAGATGGGGGTAATGATGTGAAATAGCATAGAAAAGTCGAGCTAAAAATGAACATACATATACATGCACCTTGCTGTGTGATTTGCAAGACTTGGTTAAAATTGTATAGATTCTGTCTTAAAGTTCAAAAGTAATTCCAAGATATTAATTCAAGAGAATAAACAGTTTCCTATATTTTCTTAGTAAAAAAGAGGCACAATTTTATCAATTATTATAAGGGAAAGAGTTACAGAAAAAATTAAGTAAAATACTAATAACACCAATAAATCTTATTGTAAATTTTCAATTGGTTCCAGAAATATTCAAGGAAATGTACTGTTTAAATATTAAATGTGATAAAGGGTGATATCTTAGTAAAATTAAATGTCAGATATACGTCATGACATAAGAACTTGTTTGTTTTAGTATTTATGGACTTCTAAAGTATGTCATCAGTATTTTTTTTTTTTTTAATATGATAGGATCCGCTTGCAGAAAGACTAATGGTCAGCTTGAGATTTGGTCAACTGGATTAATATGATTTATTTCTTTAAACTAAATATTTCATAGAAATTACTTTTCCACACAGGTATTGAAACTTGTGATCCTCTAATGAACATATCAATTACAAACAGAACACTGTCCATAATCTGTGAATATTATTACCATTAAGTATGACCCATCTATAAAAGCAAGTGTTAGGAAAAGATGACAGGACATCTCTTTACATATATGTCTGTTCTATCTTGTTCTTTTAAAAATAGAACTCTCAGTTGCTACATTACAAAGGTCAGTTTTTTTCTATAATCATATCTTTATTCTGAGATTCTGAGATTTTCCAAATCTTTTTTAAGAATAATTTGCTGATTCAAATTGTACTGGCTTAAATGTCAGTATCCATTTACTTCAATAACAGAAACCTCAAAGTTATATTTCCATTTGTGTAATAAAGGAAACCTTGTAACAGTGATTACAAACCCCTACAAATGGTAGCTACCTAATGTAATATCCTCATCAACTTCTGTAATGACATTTGTGATTTCTCTTCTTTTTTGAAATTTAATCACAAAATTTCATGGCCTATAAAAATTCTCATACTGATAATGGGAGAAAATTGCCAACTTAATAGAAAGGTCAAACTAAGACAGTATTACAGATGGAATTTAATGGAAATTTTAGGAAAGAAAGTTTTTTCTTGACATGTCTTCTCAGATGAGCAATTTTGACATTTTTTTGGAGTATGACAAAAATGTGCCATACTAACTTTATTTTCATTCCTCTTTTATTGTTTGATAGAGGAAATGATTCTGTTTTGTCAGTCTATGAGCAGAATGTGACAGCAGGAAAGGGTGACTGACGAACAACGGCACATCTATAAGAATGCCCCCACTCACTCCTGTAAGTAGGGGTATAAAAGTACCTGGTAATGTATAACATGTAAGAGGACTTACCTGCGTACATTCTGGAAGGCAAAGTTTCCATGAGTACTGGGTGACAAGTTTCTGGGACTATCATGAGGACTACTTCCTGAAAATACAAAAATAATACATTACATAACATGGTGACTAACTTGTCTTACTGCTTCTATCAGAAGTTGATTCATGACCTTTGTTAAAGAGAAAAGTTTGAACTTAAGTCAAAAACAACAAACTATAAAAACTCTTACCAACTTCACAAACTTTAGAGTGACAGACTGCAAATTATTTATGTCAAACATGGCTAATAAACATGTGTGTGAGAACAATGGAATTGCATGTAAAATAAGAGGATATATATTATTTCCAGTAGCCTGACAGTTATTGTGTATTCCTTCAAGTAATACTTTCTGCATACATGTGAACTTTTTTTGATGATCAAGTGGGAGATTTTTCTTCAAAAAGAGGGAGATTTTAGAATTTGCAATAAATAAAGAAGAAAATTCTGACTTCAAAAATAGGGAGATTTCTTTAATTTGTGAAAATACCCCTTATTTTAAGAAAAATCTTCGAAAATATGGCTGAAGAAAGTGGGAGTCTCCCGCTCAAAGTGGGAGAGTTCACATGTATGTTTCTGCTTCTCGCAATTCTACACAGATTTGTTTAAAACATTAATATTGCCTGGAGAAAAATCTTTTTACAAGTATATCAAATAAGTTTTCACAGTGGAATTGGAGCCTCAAGGTATAACTCACACATTGTAAATCATTCTGTCACACATTACTTTCTCTTTTGTTGTCAGAATTTTCAGGCTTCTCTTAAAATCTTACATTAAGATAACACTTAAATATCACAAATCTAGGTCAGACTTAATGGGGACAAAATCACAGCTCAGAACAATAATTACATATTAAATATCTACAACTAAGATATTGTCTAATCGATATATAACTTAAGTAGCGCTATTATTATAAGGTTTTTACAGTGAATGCTATGGCTGACAGAATGGATAATAATTCTGTCTTAAAACGTTCACAATTATTTTAAAGCTTTTAAAAGATCACATATTATTTCAATCACGTAAGAAGTTTATTCTGTGAAATAAGAAATACTCCGGAAATTGACAAACAAATTTTTCCAATCTTATCCCAGGATACAAACAAATTTTTACAACTTGGTAAATATACTGATAATAAGTGCAATGTCTAACCACTCTTTTATGAACTGCAGTGCACCATGAAGCTTCAACAGTAAAATTTTGTTTTTTTTTTTTTTTTTTTTTTTTTTTTTTTTTTTTTTTTTTTTTTTTTTTTTTTTTTTTTTTTTTTTTTTTTTTTTTTTTTTTTTTTTTTTTTTTTTTTTTTTTTTTTTTTTTTTTTTTTTTTTTTTTTTTTTTTTTATTTGAAATTTTTAAGAGTCACCATTTATTTCATAACAGTAAATTTCTGTAATTTAATCACCGACTTTGAATTTTCATTGATATTTGACAAGCATACATGATTAAAATTGTTTAAAAACTGACTATAATGATTCATTAACTTTTTACTCGAGCACCATGAAGTAATAGAATAAAAATTAACTTTATATATCTTGTGACACTTCAGTAATGATCCAAAATTGAATTAAGTACTGCAAACAAATTCATTTCATACATTCTTAAATTCAAAATAACAATAATGCATTTTTCAGTCATAAAGAATATTTATTGCATATTTGGATTATATTAATTTCTGTACTTTTTATCACTAAAAATATAACGAAATTCCAAATTTCCTAAACGTCATTTTATATTAGATAAGAAAATGCAATAATTGAACATCTAAAGGCAAGTATAAAGCCTTTCTTATAAACATGTCGTATTAACTAAACTAGCCTGCAGGGGACTTTCTTTTAATAATTCAGCCCTAAAAAGATTCTTTATTATTTCTCCTATAAACTTTGTTTGATAACCTCTCTATATAATCATAATTTCATGTACAAGTATTGTTTAAACACTTTTGTTTGCTGCTAATTGAAGGATTATACTTTGTGGCTATAAAACCAGATTTTATTGTCACAATATTTCATATATAACAACATCTTGAAATGAGTCTCTCGGTGACCATTAGATGTACCAGAGATTACCATGTTTCAATGGTTACGAGCTAAATATTGTTCTACATTTCCATTAATGTACAGCAGGAGGGATTAATATTTAATGGAAATACTGGCAAAACAAACTTTCAGTTCAATTAACGCCAGACTCATGATTAACATGGCAACCACATCACTACTGAATATCTAAATATCACGATGATTAAATACAACATTAAATTTATGATTAACCAAAGTATATATCATGTGCCAATTATTTACTTATAGTTATGGTCCCTGATAATTATTTTGTTGCAAACTCCAGATTCTCCAATAACCCTTCATAACTGAATGAATATGTGTTAAGAACTTTGGCAACTGTGAATTTAGAAGTGTAATAAAGTTTCATGTTGAAATAATGGGCTACATTAAAGTTTTTGTACAATGACAAGATGGCCACAATGACGATGCCGCAGCGATCAGGATAGCTCCACTTTTTCTTCACAACACACAAGCTAAAAAATCTGGCTTATGTAAATGTGCATGCTTGCACAGTGTATTAGTTTAGGTGTACAATTGTACAATCTATACCCAAAGAATTAGAATATTTAAAGACAAAATGACATTAGGCAGCACTGCAAAGTTTCAAATGTATTTGAATAATCAAATAACTAAAATTTACTTCTATTGTTGAGCTATACAGGAAAATAAATTTGATTAGTTTACGAGAAAAGTGCAAAACGTCTGCGGGAAATTCATAGCCTACAGCAGCACGATATATATTGCATATCATTAATTCTATCTGTTTACACATTAGAGAAAAAACAGAAGAAAAAACAAGCATTACACATAACATTAGTGTACAATGTTGCACCATTTGAGACTTTCTGTAATTTGAGTAGAAATGTGCAATTCCTTGAATTTGTAGCCACAGGACAGACGGCACCTGCTCTTGTTGGAATCAGTCTGACTGACTCATTACTTATGTCTTCCCTTGAGAAATAGATATTATAAAATCATGAACATTTCAAGAGAATTAGAATTTAATACAAATCATGTATTCATGAACAGGCTCTTAATTAATACTTCCCTTCATAAAGAAAGTTCATGAACATCTGCATGCATAATTGCAGTTCTTAAACACTCGCAGTTCATGAACTGTTCATCAGAGCAAATGATGTTTATAATGTAGGGTTGGACTTCAGAATTTCTTTTAAAATCTTATTGATTAGTCCCTGAATATTTATATTGTTATGTTTCTTTATTTTTTTTGTAGTTTTTGAATTATCTATGAAGGAGATTTAAAATTTCCCATGATGCCTTGCAAAAATGTTATAACTTCCTGTTTCCTTATGCAGTCAGTTTGTTGAAAAAAACTTTCACACAGTCAAATTGTTAACCCTAAATTCCCCCATGAGCATATTGTGAAAAACGGCCGTTTTCACTGAAAAGCCTCCTGTTACAAGTTCAAACTGCTATGAAACTATGAAAAATGCTTCAATACTAATCAAACTTGGCACAAATGTTGACTGGACCATTGCCTTTGTAACGACATGCTCAGTCTGAAATTTTCTGTTACCATAGCAACGAGGGGAACATCTCAAAATTGCCAAAAACACTATTTTTGCTTCGATTTTTATCCATCAAAAAAATTTATTTCAAAGTGCTGCAACTTCTCAAGGGATTGAGATAGAGTCAAAGGCTTTTTCAGCGTTGGTTACATGTTACATTATATCGACCTGGGTCATTTTTCAGCCTCTCACAAGTCCAAAAAATTTTCTTGGCGATGAGGGACTCCCGCCCACCTTCAAACCCCCCTAACAGAAGGGGGCACATCCCCCTTCTGGCAACCCCCTGATGTATCTTTTGGATGGGGGGCGGCGCCGAAAAAGTGCTCAATTTTTTCAGCAACATTTCTCAAACGAAAACATGTGTTTGGGGCCCAAATAGGGCATTTTTTCACTATTTGAGGCCTAAAAAAGGGGGGGGGGTCGAAAGTGCGTTGTTTCGCGTATATATGAGGTAAAGGGTTAAAAAAACTTTTATTCTGACAGTTTTAAATTCATACAAGAAAAAAAATACAGTTAGTTTGTTGGAGATACTTTTTTTAGATTGAGTTTGTAAAAAGAAATTATACAAAAAAAACTTTTTTTCCCCTACCACAGCTTTACAAATATAAAATCAGATTCTTGAAATGTTCAGACATGATGTGGAGTAAAATCTAATTCTATAATGTAAATATTAAGCTTCCAGATGTGAACTTATGCAAGGACATGTCTTGCTGTAATTCAGGAAACAGGCTGAACAGTTTGTATAAAGCAAGACAAATATAGTTGCTAGATTCTAAAAGGCGGGAAAAGTCAATTAAATATTTTTGTCCTAGCTTGTCAAACACAGGATTATCTGTCAAATACAGAGATTACTTTAATATCAAATATTATAACTTTTGGTAATAACAAAAATGATATAGCTTAATTACAATGAAAATCATGTTGTTTTAATGAAATTACAATTATTTTTTATTTCTATTTTCAAACTCACAATTAACCTTCATTTTAAGACTTTTGTTATAATAATGATTATGATATGAAACAATTTTTATGTTACTAAAATTTATCATTACTACTTCCAACTTCTATGAACAGTTTTATGATTATAAAGGACTATATCTTTATTTAAGGTAGACTGACTGCAATGCCTTCCTGGAAAAAAATTTCTAACATCGACCAAAATAGTAAATAATCTTTCATTTCCGAAACGTTATTATCTTACAATTTTCGGTATTCCATGTTTTTTAACCATTTATAACCCGAAATTAGTACATAGTGATTAAGAATGAGTGATTGTATAATTATTAATTTAATGCCCAAGATTAACAAAAAAAATAACCTTCAAGAAATAAACCATTTGCTACGATATTGGCCTATGTTAGAATTTATTTTGTGGTAAAGCATTACAGTAAGACTGTGCGACCTTAAAAGAAAATATATAAGTGCACAATCTGTTTCTAAATTTACATATTTTCATTAGCATTTCATA